CTTAAGTACTGGAGCAGAGGCCTATGCGTAAGCATGACCATAGACGTATGATCAGACCCCATGACGTATGCATAACCGCAAGCATATGACATAACTAAGAGAACAGGAACGGGGACCCTATTTAAAGAAGTAGATTCTTACACACATTGTGAGTACCAATCGTTGAAGAACTTGCAAGTGCCCTGCGAACAGCACGTTGGGCCCGTCCAGCCCTGACCAGCGCATTGCTCCCATACAGCGGCGCAGCGTCCGCCAGTTGGCTGAGGAGAAGTTGTCATGCTTGTCGTCAAAGTTGTCGCCGTTGTTGCTGTGGCGGATGGGTTGCTAGTGCCGCCTTGAATGTCGTTGATGAACTGTAGCAGCTTGGGGCCAATCTGCTTTGCGAGGAACTGGTCACCCTGGTCGTTGGGGTGAACGCCGTCACTTTGCAGCATAGCGTTGGTGAAACCAGCAGCCCGTGAACAATCAGCGATGACGATGGGCGATTGCGAAGTGGTGCGCGCCTGTGCCCAGCTGGGAATGGCATTGTTGAGGGCCTCAATAGTCGCGTCGCTCCAGCTTGTCGGGATCAGTTTGTCCACCTAGAAGACGTACGTCGGCGTTTGACCCAGAAGACGTGAGTGGGATAAACAGTGCCACGACTTACAATGACCTTGACCCTCGGGTTTGCGGCGCGCATGGCATTGAGCATTGTCGTGTACGAGTCGAGAATGGTCTGGACGTTCCGCTTGCCGATGTTGACGTCGTTAGTGCCGAGCATGAACTGAACGATGTCGGGCTTGGTGTTCTGGACCCAGCCCACGATGTTGTTCCTAGCAATGTCGTACGCCTGCCAGCCCGAGTGGCCTTCGTGATTGGGATCAAAGCCTGATGGTCTTGAGCATTTTCCCTGGAGGTTGCTCATGCTGCCGACGAAGTCGACACTGCTCGCCAATCCGGCAGACGTGATTTGGTCCCACACTCGAGGTCTCCAGCAGGTGATCTCAGTAATGGAGTCGCCAAGCAGCACTTTTGCGGGCATTGTCAACTTCAAATTCCCCAACCACCAACTATAACGAGCAGTCTTGAGGGGGCCACTCACTAACTTTGACCTTCTGCCCACATGTAGTGGTGGCGAGCCCGGCAACGACCATAAAAGCGAGGAGCTGCATTATCACGAAGAAACTCGACGAAAATTCGAAGCCGTAGTCTTTGAGCAAGAAAACCGGCATATGAGCCCATCACTATGGTTGCGGTGTGGTCGTCATTTATACTTGTCAACCCTGGAATGCTGGTGGTTGAGGTTGCCAAATCGCGTATGGTCAGTGTAGCAACCGGCTAATTACAAGCATTGCCTTGTACATACCTTTCTCAACCAAGGAAGCCAAAGCGAGGGACTGTTGCAGACGAGTTGAGGCGAATTTAGTCTGGTCTCAGTCATAGAACTGCCGGATAATATTCAAGGGCATCTTCTTCAGACGCGCGCCAGTAGGGTGAATGGGTTTACACCAGGCGACAACAACGCCCCACACAACCCACCATGTATGTACGCGAGTATCACGCTGCTAAAGAAAGACACGAGAAACGGGCCGAGGCAGATGTGCGAGCAACAAGCCAGCTTCCAGGCACGAAACGGATTTTCACAAACCCAGCATACATTCCCGCAGGATTGGGCCGTAAGCAGCTATGAGAGAGAGGTCCTGCAAGATGGGCTTTGTATTGTGTTCTGTGGACAGGCTTTAGTTTACCCTAGCCGCGTTTCCATTTTGCTCTCCTTCTTTGTAAAGGTAGATGCTCTAGAAATTCGGTGCGGTGGGCGGTCGCCAAAATGGTTACACCCCCAGCAGCGAAGGGAAGGCTCTCCCAAATGCCGCTGCGCCAGTCAGAGACCTTAGGGGGAATGACTCGGGGTTACCTTATCTTGTGCGGCTTCAACGCCTCCGGCACAAAATGCTCCCCGTTCGTCAGCCTATTATGCACCATGCTCGAGTATAGGTTGCCCGTGTCATCGACATTCAACCCCTTGTACGGAATACATTGCCCGCCGGCATCATAATCTTGGCATTCATCTCCGTCGCGACCCGGTTGAAGGCGTCCGAAATCTCCTGGATGTCGGCGGTCACCCAAGACGAGATGACCTTCTGGTGATGGGCTAGCCCTGTGTTGCCCGACCAGGCGAAGAACCCTCCCGGTCACCCCACTGAAACATGCCGTATTTAAGACGTCCACGCCGTGGGACTGGTCGGGGTTCCCGTGCACCATGTCGGGCCACGCCGGCGGCTTGCCTTTGCGCCACTGCACGGGCTGCGTGGGCAGGTGGGACCGTGAGGTCTCGAGCGTGACAGCCAATCTGCTGCCGTCCTTGGGGGACAGCATGTACACGAACTTGAGGTTGACCCAGGCGCAGGCGTTGCTTGTGTCGGACCAGTTGGAGCTGCCGCACGGCGACGTCTCGAGCCGGGCTTGCGTCATGTGCTGAACGCGCACGATGATGAAGGCGCGCCGCTGGATGTTGGTCGGGTGAGAGGCACCGGCAGCCCAGTTTCCGAGTTTCAAGTGCCTTCACTTCTAACAATAGAGCTTAGTTTCAGATTACAGTTATAGCATTAGTCGAGAAAAAACTATGATCGCAATAAGGAGCGGCTAGAAGGTTGCAATCGACAAGCATTAAAGGAGCAGGGCTCGGAGAAATGGTCGCCAAAAAGAATACAAAGGGGAGAACTGCGTGTAAGAGGATGTGTACGGGTTCAAGGCGCTGACGGAAAAAAGGGAAGACAAGGAGAGATCAGAGCCACGTAGGTAATGTTCGCACTCGAGAAGACAACGTGCAGAGTGAGGGCAAGGAAAGGAAGGGAGGGAGAAGTCGAGGGTACAAGAAAGGGACGTCGGAGGAGACAGTCGAATTTATGTTGCGAGCGCGTGAGGGCCGTGCGAGTGGGGCAGTTCAAACGTGGTGCTATACCCAATCGGGAGGGCCGCTAAACCCGGCGGGTGCGACAGCATGTTCTGCATTACTAGGGTTTAATTCACAGCAGCCCGACTTCAAACTTTCAGTTTCCCTTACCTTAACTACATTGTCATGAATAAGACACGGTATGCCATCACCAATAATCCATACCACTAGACAATTACATGCAAACCAGATCGACCTGATATGTAGCATTTTGTGTACTGCTATCTTTGGTGCACCAGGCTCAGCCCTCGCAACCAGTATGAACAAGAGCCACGCGATGCGGGCTAGGGAAAAAGGTGCCGAAGTGACCCAGGGCTGCTGCACAACCTTGCTGTCCTTACTTCGTCTCCATCATGGAGAGGAGCCACTTCTCGTGGCCGCGGGGGTCCAGGCCACGGAGCCACTCGCTGGCTCTGGTGGCAGTGAGGGCCTGGAGAGCCTGGTACTCCTCTCTGTCGGTCATGGTCTTCTCGAGAGCTTGCTCCCAGGGGGTGATGTCCTGCTCGGGGACCACGTAGTCGCCATTGACATGGCGCTCGCCGGTGACCTCCTTGACGGGGATGCAGTAGGGCAAGCCGATCTTGGCCTCGGGAAGACCGCCGGCGTTGGACGCAATAACGGGAATGCCGCGCAGCTGGGCCTCGGTCACGACGATGCCCCAGGCCTCGTGCCACAGTGAGGGAGCGAGGAGGACCTTGATGCGGTCCCAGATTTCGTCTGTGTTCGAAGTGGTGGGCTCAATCCTAGCAGAGACCAGATGTTAGCATACTCTGAACAGAACAAGGCAGGTCGTCAATGGGAGCAATAGTTGGAACGCACTTCACGTTGGGGAGAGCCTGGAGTTGCTGGACGTGCACGGTTCTGGAGCCCCAGCTCTTCCAGGTGACGAACTTCATGTGAGGAAACTTCTTGGCGAGCGCAACCAGAATCGAGAGACCCTTGTGAGGGCAGGGGTTGACCATGCCAATCTCCTCCTTGTCAATGTTGTTGCGGACCACGGGCATGCCTCCGGTCGTCCGATCGAGATAGGTGCTCGGAGGGTGGACCAGAAAGGTGGTCGGCAGCTGGCCGTATCTCCAGGCATACTCTTTGACCGCCATCGAGACGGACCAGATGCCATCCAGTTCGCGCAACATTCTGTTTTCAACCTTGGGAGACAGGCAGTGGCCATCGACACCCGCGCAGAAGGGACCGAAAGGGAGCTGCTCGGCCGTGTGGATGATGTTGATCCGCTTGAACGTGTCGCGGTCGGGATGGTCAGCCGTGAACTTCATGGTAATCGGGTCGTTGAAGATGACATGGGTCGGCTTGAATTCGTCGATGTGCTCAGTGAAAAGACCAATGAGAGTCTCCATGCGGCTGCTCAACTTGTTACGCTGGCGGGGATTAGCTGCTGCCGTTTTCGGTCTTGGCTACCGAGGACGAAGGGATGAAACATACCTCCAGATAGGCGCGGGTGTCTTCCTAGAACTCCCGGACCGGGTAGGCCGCGTTGAACTCACCGCGGGACAGGACCACATTGTGGACCTTGTGCTCGTCAATGAAGGTCTTCACGAAAATTTCATAGGCTTTGCCATTAGGGTCGACGACGGGCACAATCTTTTTAGACATGCCGGGCTCTATGTCCTTGGCCTCGGCACGAGCGGCATACTCGTTAATCTCATGGTCGAAAGCATAGCAAATTTGGGCGGTCGCATGGCCCTGGTCGCTCAGGCTGCGCAGAAGGCTGACGTTGGCCTTGTAGCCGCCCGAGGAAGGCGTCAGTCCCTGCGCTGTCTGAACGAGGAAGACACGCATCATGGGTTTGGTGTAAGTAGTCATTGCCATTGTGCCAATGAGTGAATGGGGTGGGTGGCAATTGTAGGTCAGTGTAGTGGCTTTAGGCTGGAGTGATTGTTGTCTCGTGATGTTTTGAATCGGTATCAAAGGAACGAAAGACGGGGATTCTTCACCTGGCCCGGTTCTGATGCCGTAAGATTGTTGCCGCCAACCGAGACTACTCCCGGATGCGAAGTGTTTGCCGTGAGAATCGTGTCCGCCGAGACGCGAAGAGGTATGGAGTTGCGGTACGCGGGTGGAAAAGAGGCAGAATGGAGAAGAAAATTGTGGATTGGAAGGAAGGTTTGGGGTGTTTTCGCATCTCGGCCTCTCGGGCTTAGGGTTCGGGGGAGGGCCGAGGACTGCCAATGATCAGACGGAAGGCGACTCGGGAAGGAACGAGGGCTTCAGGTTTGACTTGACCCTGATTGCACGGCCGCAGGTCCGGACCAACTTAGAACCACCTGGACCTGTGGTAGGCCAATCAGCCGTGAGATTCTTGATTGCGATTGCCTATCTGGGCCGTCCATCTGAACGCGGGCCCCTCAAGACAGGTTGATGCATGTGTAGCACTCTTTAGTTCAATTTTCAGAATGCCGGGCAGAGGTGTCCTTTCCCCCCTTTGCACTGCGTACGAGGTACCTTATGTCCCTGATGTTCCAAGTCCCATGCAGGACCGTGGAAGTCTTAACGTCCTTTCTCTCCTTCCACAAAATGATAAGGGCATGGTACTGGTACTAGGTAGTGCTGCCTGTTCACGGCGCCGCTGCTTACATGTACTGTGGGACAATAAACAGCTGCTGAAGCTTCATGGCAAGATGTCGGTACCTGGGAATTGGACGTATGGCCTGTTTCGGGATATGCTCCAGATGCCAATGACTGTCCACTGCTTGCCGTTCATGCCCGAGACTTCCATCACGACCGCCATCCTTTTGCCGAATCGCTTCAGCAGATAGCTGCGAGAATAACGAAGGGATCTGACTGGGTTGGTGATCGGCTCGTGTGTGTAACGATACTCGGCCTTCCACCCCTTCGGGGTGAAGGTCACCCTCCCAATGCCTGCCTCGCACCTTAGCAGAACGCACAACCTCTCAAAGGTCTCATGCTCTCCAGCTTCCACCTCAACCGTCAGCGCTTCACGACTGACCTTCCCATCGCCGGGAAACCAGAAATGCCGCAACACCCTACACCTCCAAGCATTCCGCCATATCCAACGGACACTCATGCTCCATTTGGAGACGACAACCTGCAACTCCTCTCCTCCCTTCGCATTCATACTCCTCACCCCACCAAGAAACACCTTCGGCCAGTCAGGCAGATATCCCCTCGCTAAAAGAGTCCCCACTATACGGCGCCCCCAGCGCATGCCCAACATCAAGGAGAAACGCGCCCTGACCGACGGCACACGCCCGCCACATGACACCGCACTCGCCCTCGTCGTTGCCGAATGGGTCATCGGTGGGTGTGCTGTATAACAGGCAGGCAGAGACTTTCCTCCAAGAAGCGCGACCAGGAGTAGGTCGTGTGGCTTCCGAACATGTAGAGGGAGAGGCCCTTTGGGTTGTGGCAGCCTAGGGCGGCGTGAGCCAAGACCAGCTTCGTGTCGGTCACGTAGTAGTGGCCGTCGAGCGTGAGGCCTGCAACTATGGGTTGGGCGTCGGTGGTGAGAGGGGGAACGGGGCCGAGGAGGGCCTGGGTGAAGATGGAATGGAGCTAGGTTGTCCTCTTTCCGTGACGCGGGGGTTTCGCTGGGCGAGGTTGGCTTCGCGGAGCTCGGCGGTGGTCTTGTCCATCGGTTCGGATGATGTGGATCTTGGGGCCGACGCCTATGATCGGGCTGTTGAGGGAGAGTTGCTGAGGGTGTCGACCGCCTATTCTTTTTCGGAGCGGAAGGAGCGGCGGCCGAGCCCTTGAGAGTGGAGGTCTTATGCGGGGAGGCCTTGCCACATGTAGGCGGTCATGCGGAACTCGGCGATGGAGGCTATCAGGCTGGTGCGGGTGCTAGAGACCGCGCCATATTTTGCAGGTGGACAGCCCATGAGCAGGAGAGAGTCCTTGGCAATCATGATCGGGAGGTGAAGCGATGGCGTCTGGAAAAGAGGAATGTAGCGGCTGCGAATTTGCTTTCCTCCGAGAACATGGAGCTGTATGATATCAAGGGGTACTGCACCATGATGCGACAAGAGGCATCCATGACCCTCTCCAACGTGATCGTAACCGTGTTCAGGCTGGGTGACAGCAGCACAAGGGCCTTGAAGTACCCAAGGCACATGAGCAATTGCTGTTCGAGGAACAAGGCGTGGTCGGAGTCGTCCTTGGTTTCCACCACAACAGAGCCGCCCTTACCTGTAGCCCCAAGTTACACTTGCCGGACAGAAGGGCATCGCGGATAGACTTTGGACACAGCGCTGTCCTGGTCAGTCTGAAAATTTCCAGGTTTCTAGTTCGATCATGTCGTCAATCATGCAATGGTTCATATGCGCAAGGATGCGTAAGGGCGGAAAAGAAGGACCTTGGGGGATGTTGACGACTGTTAATAGCGTATCTCCTTTCATAGTGGTCGGGATTACTGTGCCTCGTCATTGTTCAATAACCCTTCCTGAAGAAGTCGACAACACCTCCTCTCGCTTCCGAGCACAATACTTAGCACTGATGATCGTGGCGTCGCCCATGTCTGCAGCACCCGGGAGTGTGTGCCGGCCTCTGCCACTTTCTTGATCGACTCGTACCATCCGTTCCAGCAACGGCCAATAATGCAGTCCAGTAAATCTCCTTTTATATTCACGTCGGGGAAAATAACCTTCCTGAACAGTTCCACAACGTTGACCTGGGGACTCCTTCCGGCTGCCAATACGGCTCATGGCCCCTCGTCATGCAATAAAGCAGCGAGCCGATTGCGGACTGCTCCGTCTCCGGACCATCGACACCATGACACCCATGTCCCGTCACCGGGTCGTTGTAGAGACGTGCCCAGCGTGGCGGGTTGCCGGACAAGGACTCCCTGATTCGCGCGACACAGTCGATGTCGGTCAGCTTGAGGTGGTTACGCTCGTTCAAGAGTAGATTCGGAGGGCGCAGGTCGGTGTGGGCGAGACCCAGGGACTCAACCCATGCCACGGCGGCGCAAAGCTCGGCGGCCCAGCGCTCGACAAGACGCCTATCTTCAACCCTCAGCACCTTCAGGACCGTGATCTCGTGGAGAAGCTGATTGCGTCGGAGGCAGGCATCCAGGCTCTCGACCATCAAGGGAGGAAATTGGCATGTGTGTCCGATAAAAGTTCTGCATGACGTACGGGCTCGACGGGTACTGCTCGAGGAGGTTGTAGACGGCGCTTTCCTTCCCAAACACGGGCGCATCGATTGAGTCCGATGACATCACCATGGCGATAGACCCAAGAGACTGCGCCTAGGGAGACGAACCGCGACTTGGATATCTTGCTAGGCACGTTGGGACGCAACACCAAGGCAAATTAAGTAAGGTGTCGTGATTGGCGAGGGCTGCGCCTGTTGCTGGGCCAAATCTGGAGGAGGGAGTGATCAGTCGATTGGGCGAAAGGGTGACATTTAGCGGTGGAGGCTCATGCTATATACAAGGACGGACTGGAGGCAAGAATGGGATTGGATCTGGTTGATGGGATCCTCTAGACTTGGAGTGACTTCGCCTGTTGGAAAAAATCCCACTCAAAAGTGGCACGGTTGACTCTCGGGCTTCGGTGTTATTGGCGGTGATGTGAATGCCATCTTTGATGCTGCCAGTTGCACAAACACCGCACAGAGTCAGCCAGCTGGCATATACTTGGTAGTTTGCCGCGATTTTGGTGAGGTTGAAATAAGCTCTCGGAAGAGTGGGTAGCGGTATGTCAAGCATGCCAGCGAGCCATCCCAGCGATGCCTCTCGCAGAATTCTTGCTGACGACGAGATCAAACCTTGGTCATCTTAAAATTTGGGAGGCGGTGATCTCCAAGAGGGAAAATTTAGCGAACTGTCCCGGCCTGCCAGCCAGGTGCCAGGGTTCATCCGATCTTGCCAGTTTCCTTTTGACAGCGCCACACGGGGCCAGCTTTGGTGACAATTGAAAGAGAGCAAGTTCAGCTCAGAAACAGACAACACTTCAAGCCAGCCATCCAGGCCACCCGAGGGACCACAGTGGCGAGCATAGTCATCAGGTCGCATGGCATTCTCGAGGCATTCAAGAAGGGCACCACAGCGACAGAAACGCTCGCTTCAGGTTGGCTGTGGCGCAGCGATTCGATACACGTATGCTAAGATCTCCGGAGCTCCCGTCTCGACTTCATGGGAAAGAACAAGCACACGGACGCCATGCACCGCGCGGTGCAATCCAGAACCTCAGCCACGTGAACCATTGATTGCCGGCGGACCTTAAGCCTTTAGGCAAATCTCCACTTCAGCGCTTCTTGGCTGAGGCTGGCCAACTGCCGCCCAATGGCAGGTCGACGCCGTTCACTTCGAATTGGACTGCGACAGGCTCTGCCCTGGCTACATTGGTCCCAGCACAAAAGCGGCAAGGACGATGCAGATTCAGCAGCTTGGGACCCATGCCCGTATAAATCATGCAGGGTCCCTGAATGATCGGCACCGGCGTGATCCGCTTCCTTCCCATCATTGTCTGCCTCCGTCTTTGTATTTCCTATTCTTTTCTTCTAACTCTTTTCTCGCTACTATTTGCTGAGAGGCCGGGACGCCGGCCGGAGACGCACGATGCTGCCCCTCGTTCTCGCCGCGTCGTTATTAGCGCCCGTCGTCGCTGCCGCCGCGGCGCCCCGCCGGGTCATCACACGGGGCGACGGCATCATTCGGTCTCCAATCCGCGCAATCCCCGACCCTGCCTCGAAGCTGCGAGTGCGACAAAATGAAGTCGAGGTTGAGAACCAGAGAGCCGGGACGAGATATGCCGTTGAAGTGCAGGTCGGGACACCGCCTCAGACATTGACTCTGATTCTCGACACTGGCTCGCCCGACACATGGATCAACCCCTCGTGCGACACGGCCAACGTGCCCTCCGACTGCCGGTCTTTCGGGCAATTCGATTCCGCCGAGAGTTCCTCCTTCGAGGCGACCAAGGACCGCGACGTTCTCGTCTACGGCATCGGCAACGCGACCGTACAATATGTCTACGAGACGCTGACAATAGGCTGTAAGTCATTGGGCAACAAACCATCTCGACATGCATCGAGACACACTAACGTATGCACTTTCTCTGCAGCCGCAACCATCGAGAAACAGCAGATCGGCATCGCGCTCGAATCCCACATGATCCCGCTCGGCATCCTCGGCATGTCTCCGCCGCTCCGCGGAGTTAACGACTACCCATACGTTCTCGACACCATGGTCGACCAGGGCCTCATCCAGAGCCGCGCCTTCAGCGTCGACCTACGTGGTGTAGACAACCCCAACGGCGCCCTCATCTTCGGCGGAATCGACACGGGCAAGTACATCGGCGACCTGGCCAAGCTCCCCATGCTCGACCGCGAGGACACACCGCTCGGCGCCGACCGCTATTACGTGACCATGACGGGCGTCGGCCTGACGCTCCCCGACGGCACCGTCACGCAGTCCGAGGAGATCGCCGTGCCGGTATTCCTCGACACGGGCTCCACCTTCACCCGCCTGCCGACGCCCATCTACCAGGCCTTTGCCGCGTCCTTCGCGAGCGCCCAGTACGACCCAGAGTCGGGATACTATTTTGTCGACTGCGAGGTGACCGAGCTAGAGGGGGCGTCCATCGACTTTTACTTTGGCTCCAAGACCATCCGCGTGGCGCTCAACGACTTCATCTGGCAGGTGCAGGGGTACTGCATCCTGGGCGTGCTGCCGGACGACGAGGAGCCGATCTTAGGGGACACCTTCTTGCGGGCGGCGTACGTCGTGTTCGACCAGGACAACCGCAACATTCACATTGCTCAGGCGGCAAACTGTGGGACGAATCTGGTGGCGATTGGGTCCGGCGAGGATGCGGTGCCCAGCTCGACAGGCGACTGCACGGAACTGCCGACCCCAACGGCTGCGGCGGATAGCTTGGATGTCACGGCCACCAGGGCGCCGACAAATACCTTTACCGGCACTGCCCGGCCAACTATTAACCAGGGGCCCGGCCCGGCAGCTTCAAAGGGGACCGGCGGGGGTACCGCGCCGCAGCCGACGACGACGACGACGGGGAGATCAGGGTCGCAAAATGCGGCTGGGCGGGGGGTGGAGCTTGGGTTTGGCGCGATAGTGACTTTTGGAGTGGTGAATCTGTTGACTTTGTTCCTTTAGTCGGGCAAGTTGGCGGGCGTCGTTTGCACTTCCTGATACCTAATCAATGTCTTGTTGAGTGTTTATTTGCAGCGGATATGGGTGTGATGCTTGGGGGCTTGATGCTTGCATACTCGGCGTTTTCTTGGGCATGTTTGTTGAGCGTCTGCATCTTGTGTCAGACACTGTACGGATAGACGGCGGGATCTAAATAAATCTCGGACACAGCTTCCTGTTCGCTCATTATTAATCCGAAAGTATGACGTCTCGGTCGAGGCCTTGGTGGCATCCGATGATGGCGGAGGGCTCAGCTGTGGACTCTAGATGTGGGATTTGGCGCGCTTCGGTCCCTGCAGCCGCAAAGGGTCGTGGCATAACAACCAGCGGAAGCGGCGGCTGCACCTGTTGTTGGGCAAAGTGCGACGTACGGCTGGAATAGGTGAGGGAGGTATGTTTCTTTCCACGTTGCTTTGCATTGACCAGTCTGCAGTTCCTGGCCCTGATTGTCGGCTCGAAACATCCGATTCCGACACGCGACTGGCGAACCTGGGTACGCAGTCGCGTTTGCCAAACCGTCCTCTCTTAGCCCGGCGACAACGTCGCCCATCACCACCCGGATCCGGGCTCGGAGAGATGAATGCCGAACTTGGGCACCAGGTTACTCTCCCGCATCGCTACAAAGGTTCGCCGTCGCAACGAGGAACTTGGGTACGCGCGCGGTTCTCGTGTTCCACTGTCACAGTCGCCGGTCACTACATCGACAGTGTAGCATCTTCGGCGCGGGCCCTGGCTAGATGAACGATACACGTTGCCCAGCGGCAGAACTACTTCGAGGGCGGTGGTGGCGTGCGGCCGTGCACTGTGAGACGTTGTCCGAGATGTCCCAGTAGGTAGCCCTTTTTCCAGTCAATGCTCTCTACCTCAGCTGCTGACCAAGGGATTTCCTGCGATTCACAGCCCACTCGCGGCCGTCCTCGGCGACCCCAAGTTCCCAAAAGTCACCACCCTCTTCCGCAACCTGACGACCTCGCGGGAGACGTCCCATGGTGAAAGGATCTCCTACTTCGAGGACCTCCACAGACCCAACTCTCGATTAGCCTTCATGGAAAGGGCCGACCTGCTCGAGCAGCGACTTAGCACGGCTTCACGGCTTGGGGCCGTCTCGGCATCTTGGCCGACGTCGGCATGACGGATGAATCTGTGTTTTGGGTGATGTGCTACGGTGCTGCTGAGGGCAAATGGTAGCGGCTGAGAACAGGGAGCACTATGTATTGCTTGTTGCTCCGAAGTTGGGGATGGGAATGAGATTTTTGATGGGTTATGAGAGAATCGGGGCTGGCCGCGTGCCTGGCAGGCTTATTGAGTTCAAGGAGCCCGGGCTGGACCTGAAGATTCAGTACCAGGTAGGATACCTGGCCTAGGAGCTCTTGTCGCGCGTTTCGAATGACAGCCATCCATCAATAGCCTCCTCAAACCCCATCTCGCTCAGCTTCCTTGCAACGAACCGCCGCCAGTCCGACCTTGCATCTTCGTCCGTAACATTTGGCAAGTCCATGCCCAAAGACAGGTGAAACTTGGTCGTCACCCACTCCTTCGGTAAGTTGCCCGCAATCTCCCAGTCGATGATGCCGATCCCTCTACTTTCGGTGTCCACCAGGATATTGCCGGGCCCCAGATCGCAATGATAGAGGACCAAACTGGAGACATCCATGCCCATCTGCGCACAATTCCGGCGAAGCTCCCCCTGATGCGGAGAGCCGCCCTTCCTCAGATAGAGCTCCATCACTTGGGTCCCGTCCACTGCGCCATCTGCTCACACACCTCCGCCACGCGCTGGACATAGTATTGCTGTGTTCCCTCGTTCATCGCCGGCCAAGCCTCTGTGACGGTGCGGCCTGGCACACGACTGAGAATAAGATAATACCGGCCATCCCACTCGCCATGATAAAGGACGTTGGGGATTGCAAAGCCAAGTTGCTCTTTGCCTTTCAAGAAGGCCAGCGTGACGTGCTCTCTGGTGACTTGGGGGAACGTGATGCCGTGGATCTTGATAAACGCTTCGCCAGCGCGCCAGCGCGCCAGACCGCCGACACATCGCCGGCCGCGTATACCCTTGGCAGCTCTACGGAGTCCGCTGGATGTGGCTGGCAGTCTGGCAGTGGCAAGGACGCTTCAGAGTAGACAAAAAATCCTCCATTTCCGTCGCTCCATGACAGCGTGAGGTGGTCTTTGGACGGGGAAGATTGACGGCTAAGTAGGAGCTTCCACCCAATCAACCACGCATTGTCATTGACGGCCAGATAGAGTCGTTGACCTGAACCCTAGGAGATGCCATTTCTGAAAATTGATGGATTGGTTCGCTCTCGCATCAACCGCAAGGCGCCGCAGATGATTCACAACGGAGGATACGGAGAGCGGAAAATGTTTAGCGTGGACGCGGCATGAAAGGTTGAAACGAACGCCGGATAATCGAGCGTTGGCATTGCTGCTCGATGGCGGAGCGCTGTGCGGGGAAGTAGGCACCGGGCGACGCTCAATCTCGGATCGGAGGTCCAGACGGGATTGGCTCTGGTTCAAAGGTGGATATGGAGACCTGACCCGGGTAGACCCCGAGTCGGAGGCAGCTGGTCGATCGGACGGGGCTGTGCACGCCTATAGTCTCGTTGTCGGTTGGGCGGTATTTTGGTGCCTCCGAGGTTTTCGCCGGTTGCCCCGGCACGGGGACTGTCTCTTGGTGGTTGTCTCGGGAAGCCCGGTCGGTCACACCCAACTGGAGGCCCTTCACGCCGAGGCGAAATTGACTGGTACGAGGCTGATGTGCCAAGTTCAGAAGCTGGCTGGTACGGCGTCCATGTGCCAGCTTCAGAAGCCGGATGATTCGGCGTCGGTATGCCAGATTGGCCTGAAGGCCAGCGTTCCGAACAAGTCAATGTAATCAAGTCAAAGTCAAGTCAATTCAAGTCAAGTCAATTCAATCTAGGACATATTCAAGTCAAGTTGGCCAACTCGGCAACTTGAATTGAATTGAATGGATTTGAGGATTAGTAAAGTGACCCACCTATCCATATTAGGCATAGCGCTTAGATAACCCCTGGCCAAAAGTAACCACACGTTATGGATTGGTTGCCCAAATTTTACACGGGCCCAACAACAACACCATCAAGATGACCGACCTTGACGACCGCTTTTCTGACGATCGTCGTCGACGTTGAGCCTGACGCCTAGCCAGTCGGTTAGCCAGTCTTCTGGCTCATTTACAAACTTACCACACGCCGGCGGCGACGCGTTTTAGGACATCACTTGTATTCTAGCTGTAGCAGGCCACGCGTTGATGTTGCACAAGGCGAGGTGGGAATTGACTAGATTGCTCGAATGAAGAGAGAAGGGAATAAAGCTAAATGACAGGAGGTAAGGAGACAGGTGCGGGAGCGAGCCACGGCCGAGAGTTGCCGAGGCCATACCGGGCCCAGCCCGTCACAGTAGCAACTTGTGGAAAGAAAGGAACGATAGTGATATTCAGCATGGTCGTAGACTCTCTTTCTTGTGGAAAAGGAAGAAAAGGAAGCCAAAGAGGTGGGCGGCCGAGACAGCTGAAACCTGTGTGGTGGGTCCTGTACCCACCACACGACAACTTGAATAGGATTGACTGTATTCAAGTCAATCTCAAGTCAAGTCAAGTCTTACCCCTGCACTCTCAAGTCAAGTCAAGTCTAGGCCTGAATTGAATTGAATTGACTTGTTCGGAACGCTGCTGAAGGCCAGGGGCCGTTGAACGGGCGGCCGATGTTGGCGGGTACTGACAGTTTGTTAGCTGTGCTGACATATCCATGTCCCATCGGAGGCGGGACCAGAGAGTTAATCATTACTTGGAGGCGACCGTGATCGGGACATGGTCATAACAAGCTCCACGATGCTCTATACTACCGGCTGCCAGTTCTGGTCGTACGCGTCCCAAAACTTGCCCATCTCTTGGTGTCCCACACATAGAGGATGTCTTGTGACTTCATTGGTCAGGTTGAGGACTGCCGATGTTATGTCGACGATCTAGGGGGGGGACATCAGCCAGCGCAAGCTACCAGCCATTTGTGACATGATGCATACCAGGTGTGGATTGATATCCCTGCACAAATATCTGAAAAGTTGCCCGAAATCTCAAAAAGTGGAACTGCCCGTCTTGATGTCCCGCACGGTGTCTTGATTGAAGATCCCAATGCCCGGCATCGCTGCGTTGGCAACAGATGCCACAATACTCCTAAAGTTGGCGACACTTGAGCCCTGATGGGGCGTCGCTTGAAGAAATCCCGACGGTGCTCATGCGGATAGGTCGGTACCGGGCATTCAGCTCGGCTTCAATGGGTGCCCAAAGAGACAGTCAGCCATTGAAACGCAAGAGAGTCAACGGAGGATGCCCTGACATGTTTGACAACCATGCCGCCGAGGGAGTGGCAAGTCTAGATAATCTTCCGGTGTACAGCGAATGGTCAGTTTCCATAAAACTCAACATAAGGTGCTTTATAAGCGAGTGTGCAATATAAGTGAGTGTGCAACGCTAACAGATGTTGGTAGAGCAGCAGCTATGCAAAACTGTTAGAAAAATTGTTAGTGTACCTCGACAAGTTTTTAACGAGTTTTTCGCGTCTAGCCATTCCGAAATCTGTTAGCGTGGCGCATTTCACTTATATTGCACACTCACTTATAAAATACATACGTTAGTCGAAGCGTGTGTGCTCTTGACCTCCTGCCCCTGTCTGACTGCCTTCACCCGGTTCAAGAGAATGAGAGACAACTTGTACACGGTTGCCGCCTGGAAGGTGAGACCGGCATCATACCCAAATGTCCAGATGCGGGCCGAGTCGGCATTGGTCTGATGGCGGATGTGATTGGGGAGGAGATGTTGGAACCAGATGACGCCCGATTCTGGTTGTTGCCATGACTCGGTGGCTCCGCCGCGCAGGCCTTGGACGATGTATATGCTGATGGTGACACGGTTAACTTTAACTTGTGCACAGGGAACGGAGAATGCGAGCAGTAAAGCACACGAAGCGTTCTGGTATATTGAAGGTGCGTACCTACTCGGAAGTACATTCCTTTTCCCGCTCTGGATCCTGCTGTTGGACAAGATAGAGACTGGCACATTTTGTCCAGCAAAACAAGTAACAGCGAGGGCCTGATTCACGGACATCAGCACTCAGTATCAAACCTGCAGCGAATATTACACGGTTTTGCATGCACTTTTAGGTGGCTGTTCGTTCTCGTTTGTGGGTCGTCGACCACGCTGATCGTCGGTCTCGGACAGTACTTCAACTGAGCAAGTGAGAAGAAAAGAAGGGAGCGGGGAAAACGCCGTCTATCGTGTACATACCTATATTTTGCTGACACGGCTGAGCTGAAAACCCCCTAGATGTCACACGCCACGATGCAAAGCTGCGCGTCAAGGGGCACCCAACAATTGGTCGAGCCTCGGGGTGCCCGACGTGGCGGCAGCTACTCTCCGGAGGAAGTATGGCGTCAAACAGGGACGTGTGGCCACGGAGATTAAGAGATACGAGCAACCTGTAGAAAAGTCGTTGGTGTCGGTCGCCGCGACTAAGTCGCGTAGACAACCTGAAGCGCTCAATCAAGCCTCAATCGTCATAGCAGCTCTCTGTTCCGTTCATTCAAGTTAGGGTACTCGTGGGCGCGCCCGAATCGCGCAATTCGACTGCCCTCTAGGGCAGCAGACAACGTAGTGCCGCATCTTGGGAGCCTCTCCTTTGCGCCATCTTGCAACTTGGTCGGATGCGCATGAGAACCGAGAGGTTAGCTCACCGCTCTGTGTTGAAATGAGAACGGTGAATGTGGACGCAGCGCACAGACTGCGAGCAACCTGACCCACTCACTCACCTTGCAACCCTGAAACCTCATCTACCCCTACCCCTTACCACTAGGTTTTCGACACACGAATCCTTCGGCCACGAAAAACAACTGTCAAACGCGACCATTTCAAACAGAAGCAAAAGAAACACTGCACCATTGACCCAATTGACCCGGTTATCTGTGCGCCTCTCAGCACAAGATCTTCATAATTCTGGGCTCTTAGCCACATATTGTGGGCTAAACTGGCCTCCACCAGCGCGCCAGGAGGTCGGGATTGGAGAAGACCTCCAGCTGTTTGCCAATCCTCCCGGCGTAGGAATCTTGGAGTCAACCGAGTAATCTAAGGAGCTAAATCCAACTTTCTTAAACCACTGAGAAATGACTCTGGAGCACCAATTAGAAGATTACCGTACCAGTACCTCATAAACCAAGACCCTTGCCGACTTACTCTTGTCACAGCCGCCGACAAACGTGTTATAAAGCGATTCATCGATGGTATTACTACATATCGTGGTCACTGCTCTAACCTAACCCAATCTGTTGACAGTTCCTTTTTCTATGTGTTCGTGTTGAGAATTTTGGTACGTATTTGCTTGGTGCAAGGTAGGGAAGCCCCGGGCTCTCAAGATAGCTCCGGAGGTGTTGCGAGCATTGACTGTTTGGCTGCCACACTTGGCGGGCCGCAATTTCAGTGACGGCTGCGACGACTGTGGTGAGAGTGGTGGCTGGGACGACGGCTGTGGTGGCTTCTGCGGAGCTCAGTAGCAGCCTCCTCCACGTCAGCCGTCTCTCCAGACTTGCCACGGATCCTCGACCTCGCTCCATCGCGGCCCAGATAGGCGCTGGGATGCCTGAAACAAAACGCACCGATGGCAACAATCATCGGCACCGCCTCGAAAATCCAGAAGATCCACTCATGCCGGAAGGCATATCCGTCAACGCCCTCGGCAAACTCGGCGATGCGGTAGATGCAGCGGATCTGTCGGTAGGATGTCAGCACATGGAACCCATCCACCCTCGATTCGAGGAAAAAAAGAAAAGAACCTAAACATACCATGATCAGAATCGACGAGACATATACCGCAGCCACCACATTCTCCCACCCCGCCGGCGCCCCCAGGTCAACAGCGCCCTTCCTCTTCGCCAAGTAATAAAACCGCGACAGAATCCCCAAGAAGAAGCCAAACGCGGCCGCCTGAAGCACCAGCCCGCCAATGAGGATATTCACGCCCACGTCGGCCGTGCTACCGACCCACTCGACCGAGCTGGCCACGCCGGAGCCGGCCGCCTGCACGAAGAAGGAAACGACGTCGATGGTGACAAAGATGCGCGTGAGCAGGCGGCCCGGAACGCCAAACACGCGGTGTCCCGTCCGGACCGGGTCCAGCACGGCACGGATCAGCCGGCCGATGAGCAGGTAGTTACCCGCTGCGATGAAGACGGGGGCGAGCACGATGAGCGAGAGCGTCGCTGCGAAGGGGCCCTGTGGGTTGCCGAATTAATTGGAAGTGGTTAGTCAGTTTCTCTGAACAATACGTGCCGCTGGAAATGGAAGATATGGGAGAAGAACGGCCTGAACTAAGTTGTAGGGGACGGGAGGAGAGGGAGAAACGTACGACATCGGTTGGGTTCTTGACGGAATAGCAGCGGAGGGCGTAGCCAGCTACTTCGATGGCGGCGCCGATGACCACGCAGGTGAAGAACCAGGCGCGGTACTTGATGAAGGTAAGGTAGAAGATGGCAAGGAAGACGAGGCCGTAGAGAATGGTGGCGAGGACGGCGACGGCGAAGGATGGACTGTACATCCACACTGAGCTCGGGGCGTCGGCCATGTTGGACGTGAAAATTGCTGTAGATCGAGTGACAAGGGTCTGGCTGAAGAAATGAAGAGGACGGCAAAGAAAATGTAAAAGGGGTTCACGAGATCGAATATTAGAAGCTGGTTCTCTTGAGATCAGATCTGAGGTTGTACATGCACCGTGACACTTCCTCGACCCAAAGGCTTTCAGGTCACCTTATATAAGATACATCAACGCCGCCGACTTGAAACATTTTGGGCGCTTCCTAGACTGAGACTGAAGCATGCAGTGTCAGTTGTCGGGTCCATCCCGAGTTCCTTTGCTGCTGACGTGCGAGCCGTCTTGGCAACGGTCCGCGGTTGGGTGGGAGGGTGCAGCTTTGTCTCGCCACAAGATCCGATCAGGCCCTTGTTACCCTTTCCGGCCGATTGCATGTCTTTGATTGGTCGAATACTTCAGTCCCTCCAAGTCGGTAATTGACGGGCGCCACACACCTGCCGACGTTGTTGAATCCGACGAATCCGACGAATCCGAATACATCGTCGTCACATTCGGCTACTTCACTGTGTACAGCCCTACAACCCATGCCTACCCCCTTCGGTAGTCTTGGCCATCTACAGGCTTCGTGCCCACCACACGTCATCCCGCCTGAGGATTGTGACAAATCCTCGATTAAATGGTTGCGGGCCATCGAGGTGCCACTACCGGGGATAATATTTCGGTCATTCCTAGGTACCTCGGTTCTAACTGAACGCCCTCTTCCTAATTAGCGACTTGCACGCCGCAGACATGTCGCTGCTTGCCACCACGCCGTGTACCTCGGCCCTTGGTGGTTGAAGGTTCGCCTACTCACTTGGCGAACCGCAAGTCCAAATCTCAGCAGGTGATGGTATGCCATACATCTGATACTGTCTCCGCCAATATGAGGTCCTAGTTCTGGGCAAGAAGAAGCAATTCGCGGAGTCAGAAGATGAAACAGACAGGAATTTGAATCAGTGGTCAAACACTTCAGCGTCATAAGCTCCCAGATTACAGTGTTCCTCCAAGATTACAGTGCATGGTGCGGTGCCCATCCACTAGAAACGGTGATCACACACTTGCAGATTCAATACTCAGATAAGGTACCTTGGCCATGCTCATGCGACCGCATATATTTCGTCATTCTTGTCCTTGGACCCTGTTGACCTGCACAAGCTCCAGAACGAACCAGCGGCAGTCATAAGAGCAAGTCGGTTTCAGTTTCTAGTTCTCTTCCCATTCGTCCCTTGCTCGTTCCTAATCAACCACCTTCTCATACCGGAACCGATTCTCCAGCGCAGCCATTTCCGCACTGCGTTCTCGGCACTTGATTCCTGAGTTTGCCGATGGCTGGCGCGGAGGGTTGCTCCCACCAGACGATTTACTGGCAGGTATATGATCGCCGGCGACGTCGAGGGATGGTTCAAAACTTGCCCCCTCGCGTTACTCGACGCCATGCTCGGATACCCGTCGCGCTTCGTCACCGGCGTGAAGCCGCAAAGAACGCCGCACTTATGGTTGACGCGCTTCTCGATTGTCGTTGTTGTCTTGCCTGCGATCCGGACTGTCGTGCACTTCAGGCCCCTCTGCGCGGGCAAGCAGGCGCCGACAGACTCCAAGCCGATGGCGCAGGTGCTGTTTGCGTAACGCATGATCAACTTTTGGGACCTTGTACAGTAATTAACGAGACTAACTTCGGGAGGTGGTGGTTTTTAAGAAAGCCGGTGGGCGCTTGTGAAGCTAGGTGAGATGTAGTTGAGCGATTAGGGTGGGAGAGAATTGGGAGAACCAATTCACCGGAATGCGACTGGGCTTAAACTAACAGCATTCCACATTATCTTCTCTCTCACAATCGGACGAGACTCGCGGTCAAAGCTCGTGTTATACATGGAGCTGCATCTGTGAAAATGACTTCACCTGAAGTCATAGAGCAGAGCTCGATGCAAATGACGGAACTCTCAGCAGTTTCTTGCAAACTCTGTCGCCGCCTACAGCATCAAGATTCGGATAGACGTTAGGATCCTGTAACCAGTATTTTTATGAGCTTTGACCCTGATACCTGGTCGAAACCCTTTACGGTGCAGAGCGCTGCCAGCTAAGGAGAGAGTGTTGTCAAGCCGTGATATGGCCTTGCCGAGCTGATGCGTATACAATACGCGGTTCCTGAGATGCACTCAGAATATCTGATAGGTGTCTTGAAGGGGATCCAATTCCGCCTGATCTATGGTCGATGGTAGATGCCTGGTATATGTGACTTCAGGGTTATCGCACTGTCGCATCCCGGGGATGTGCATCTTGCTATGTAATTACGGCTACCTGAGTCCTCGTCAGCGCCTTCATCATCGTCAAGGCAAAACATACAATTGGCATTGGCAACTAGATGCAATTTGTAGTTGTTCTTTGGGTAGCTGAGGTACCTCAACGGCGTTGTCAGCCGTTTTCGTGTTCAACGTCCAGCTTCGCTGTGTTCTGAAGAAGAAGGCTTCTTTGTCCAGAAATGACGGTGGAATCCATCCTAGGAAGAGGAGGGGTTGCCAATTGCAGTTGAACGGTGTAGTTGAGCCGGGCAACACTTCCAATTGGATGTAGATGCAGGTACTGGCTCTTCTGTAACTCGAGTACCGACCTGGGATTTTCTATGCCCTTTCGTTGAAGCTGGCGCTCAGAGACTTTTGCCGTGGTTCGCAACAAGTGCGTCTGCTCTTTTCCTCAATAATAGTCACTTACGTGATTATTAACTAATCATTCCTGCAGATTTGCGCTACTGAAGCAAGGAAGAGACGAGTGTGAAACAACTGTTGAACTGGGACTGGTATTTTGTCAGCTGAGCCACGACACCGTAAGTTAGCTGATAACGACAAAATTATCAGCTACACACTAGATTAAAAGCATAGATATCCATAGCTAGAGCAGAGTCTAGAAAATCACGGTCTTTCCGTCGTCTGATCCTGCCCCAAGCCACATGTAAGAAACCACGCTGAGCCATCGGGACGAAGGCTGGCGAATAAGATTTCCTCGAATACCAGCGAAACTCGGTATCCGTAACGTTACCTTTGGGCTGGTAGCCCTCCCTCCGCTGGGCTAGTGACTCAAAATTCGCTTAGCGCATCTTCCTTCCCCACACAACCATCTCAGGCACCCACCCCGTCGACGAACGGTCTGGATTGATGATTGGGCACGACTACTAGGGAATATAAGGCCTTTGACCATTCTTATAAGAAAAATTACGAGCTCTACCCCGTAGCTTTCACACACCCCGTCCCGCAGCAGACATTCGGATTGTGTAGGGCTGTCCCCAGAGTGTGTCGCGAAATTTCATCCTCGGGGCCCTAGGGTTGGAAGCTGAACATTGCCAAGACGATCCGGCAGCAGCAAGCGGCACAGCCCCCCGGCTAGCTGGCATGCCAAGCTTCGCTAGTCGCTTGGCAGGTAACCCAAAAATTTCGCCCTCGTTACCCCGTAGGGACTCTCGGACTGCACCCCATGCCTGCTGCGGCTCAGGGCCTCACACCACCCGGCGCGCCTCGATCGGCCTCGATGAGCCACATGGTGCAACATTCATGCGCCCGCATGGTTGCGAGAAGGTAAGCCTTCATGGCTCATCCGAACAGTCTATCCGAAGACACAAGGTTCACCTTGCCAGGCTGTTCTGATGATCGTTCCCCGTTCCTTGTGACATCAGCGACACACTCAGACACCGTTCACAACAAAGCTCGAAAGACCCCTGCCGCGAAAACGCTGTTTGGACGTCACATGGGACCCTTGGGGCTTAGGCTCACTGGGCTGCAGCGCATAGCCGGTGGCTTGCATCCATCCCCCCTGACGAGTTGGGGGAGGTCGAATGGCTCGAGAGAAATGAACGCGGTCAGCTTGGCGCGGCTGGTGAAGGATCGGCCCCGGTTCCGCCAGAAGAAGTGCAAAGTTGCGGATGGGGCTGAAGTTGAGCTGCGGTTGCCAAGATCGACGGACAGGAGCCCAGAACTGGACTGAGCCGCATTGGGGAAAGGGAGGAAAATCGGTCATAAAAGATGAAAGCCTCCCCCGACGATCGGGATTCTTGCGGCTCATCCCATCTTTAGTCTTGAACTCAACTCTCCCGACCTCTGAGCTCTCCTTCTCGGTGTCAGTCGAAACACACCACACCGCCATCAATATCCCCGGAAAATAGCAACCACAGCAGGACAAGACCGTCACGATGCATTTCTCCCAGATCGCAGCCAAGACCCTCCTGACCACGCTCGCGGCCCGCGGCGTGCCCAAGCCCGACCACCCCTTCGGCACCTCCAGCGCAGCCAGTCTGCTGGCTCGTCAGTCGGGATGCGAGGTGGGCGAGGAGGTGTGCGGCGAGTTCTGCATCCCTCTCGGCGGTGACTGCTGTGTTCCGTATGTCTAGTCTTTCTTGGCCGGTCGATAAACCGAGCCTATCGAAACGACAAGCTGACCAACATGGCGATTAGTTTCGGACGCGACACCTACTGCGACCCTGGTCTGTCCTGCATGCCTGATTCGGGATGCTGCGAGGTATGTAGTTTCCCTCAAGCTTTCTAGAACCAAGGATTTCCTCTCGGTCTTGGCCGAGACGCTGACTCGGCAAATCTACCACACAGACCGGAGAAGTATGCACCGGCCCAGAACCGGTGTGCGAGGATGAGGGCCTTCAGACCTGCGGCGAAGGGTAAGTCCATATGATTCACACCGCCTCCCTTTCAAGGCAACCCCCCACGCCCTACCTTGACCGTCCCAATCCGTCCCGTCACTGACAAAACTCCCCACTTCCAGCTGCATCCCCGCCGACGCCGAATGCTGCGGCCCTCAAGGTTACTGCGAGGCCGGCACGACCTGCAGCGCCGACGGATGCGTGGAGGGCGGCAGCAGCGGCGGCAGCTCCGGCGGCTCCGGCTCCGGCGGCAGCAGCACCCGCGGCGGCGGAGCGGGGAGTACCCCGACCGCGGGCGGCGACGACGATGAGCCTACCGCGACTAGCGCCCAGCCTACTTCGAGGAGGACATCTGCTGCCTCGCCCACCGGCACTGGCGAGTCCGGTTCCGGTTCCGGTTCGTCCGGTTCTGGTTCTGGCTCTGGTTCGTCCGGCTCGGGCTCTGGCTCTGGCTCTTCGGGGTCCGGCTCTTCTGGGTCTGGCTCATCCGGTTCTGGCTCGTCTGGCTCTGGCAACAACAACAACAACAACAACAATGGTGGCCGCCCCAGTGGTGCTTCGGGCTTGGTCGTCCCGGGGTCTTTGATGGCTCTTGCCGGCCTTGTGGTCCTGTTGGCTTAAGAGGTTTTCACCCGGGTTTGTGAAGGGAGTATGAGATTAGTAATATATGATGCTAGGAGATATCAGCAGTTAAACCAAGGTTGTGAGTTTGTGGAGGGCTTTGGGGTACATAGATGTCTTTGAATTTCATTCAACGTTGATTAACGTCATTTATACAATAAGGGGTATGCCAAATTCAATACAAATGTCAGCCATGCCCATTCGGAAGCTTGCGTCATGGTCAAACAAGACAGCATATGATCTTCAAAGTCTAACCATGTATGCTCACAACATAGCGTCTTAAGCTGACGATTGTTGATTACATGGCGCAACGACCACGCGCTCGCACCAATTGTCTCGGAGAATGCAACTAAGAGGGATACTCAGCTGTTTAAGCCACGCCTGTAGCTTCGTCACCTGCACTTACTAGTACTTCAGAGCAAAGTGGAAATCAGCATGGCGTCAACGTTGCAGACCACATGTTGTTGACAGTATAGCACGCTGGCTGAATGCCTACTCATGTAGCTTCCATTACCAGGCTATTTAGACAAATACAGTTGAGTACCTCAAAGCCCCATTTCATTTTTGACCCATGAAGCTGGCTTGAATCCGTCAACAGCTACTACATTTCTCCCAGATCGTTCCGAAATGAGATCGGTACCTTCAGGTTTACCACCTGCAGCAGAACCTATTGAATCTGAACCTCAACGAGTGGAGTGGAAGGAAACCATGCCTCCTTCTGATTGTTGATACGATCGACCTCGTGATCAGATTGGTCTTGCCGCTTTACAGCTTGGTGCAACTTGTAGATACCGATCCTCGTGAAAAGGCCATCTTCACAATTCTGTGACATCAGGACGACGCCAGTTGAATATGTCGCCGATGTTGCACTGAGTGGGGACTCCCCTCCAACCAGCTCGCTCCCGAAGACCTCGAGACAGAAACAGTTCGACAGGTCCTTCATATCCGCCTCACAGTCGAACAACGCACCGAGGGTTGGTCGCCTGCTAGTACCATATCGGTCTGGCGCGTCAGCTGCAAGCAACACGGCTCGCTCGGCCCATCCAAGCGGAACAAACCATTGCTTGGACCATTCCTGATTACCGACTGCATCTGCTCCCATGGCCAAGCAGGTCACTGGAGCCAGATGGCTCCTGGCCCTTAGCGTGCCGGTAGTGAACTGGCCAAACGGGGCAAGAGGACTTGCTAGTGTGACGTCTGCGTCCAAGAGGGTGAGAGTTTCCTGAGCCCTTGTGGTCGGCAAATATGCCCAGCGAATAGTCCCTCGGACCGAGGCCCATGACCAAGTGGGAAAGCCGGCTTGTTGATCTCTGATGTGTGCTGGATCTCTCGCTCCTCCGTACATACCCCACAGCAAGTCCCTGTGAAGGGTTCCCTCCCATAATCCCGCTAGATAGCGACCTGCTTCTGATTTGGAATACTTTGCAGCGATGGCAGAAGTGGCGGGGAGCCGGTCTTGTGGGAGCGAAAGTGCGCGCAGGCAAAACTCCTCAATGAGCTTGTGCCATGTCAGCCAGGCGCGAGTCCCTGCCGAGAGAATGTTTCCGCGCGCAGAGATTTGCTCGGCAATGTTGTGGTAGAATTCAGGTTCATTCTGAGATCCGTTGTAGTCTGTCGCTGTCCGGCAACTCCAGCGAAGGCCGTGTGTGCCGTAGATAAGCAGCCGGGTCGAGAGCAGGTGCTCCTGCAGTGTCCAAGCTCTTGCGTGAATGGGTTCTCCGCCCGGTCGGAAGTATCTTGACAGAATGACTGAACCGGCCTCCTGGTTTGGGGTCTTGTACCGCAAGCGGACACTCTCTGTCGCTGGCCAGCAGACGGTCAGGAATCCTCGTCGCTGTCGCTGGCATTTGCCGCGGATATAGTCAGCATTGACGAGGCATAGATCCTGTGCATCTCTCCTATCTGGCTGGCCTTTTGGTCTTCATCATCCTGGACGATGCAGAGACTATCCACCCAAAAATACTGAAATCCTACCCTGCATACTACGTTCACGGCGTGTTGAATAGTCTTGGGTTGGGTAGCGAGATCGAATGAGACCAATCGCTCGTCGATGTTGCTCTTCGTTGTTTTGTGCTCCTGAGTTCCCTTCCCCCAGCAGTAACTCAAGCAACATACAATATGACGGGCGTCAAGTTCCAGTTCTCCGGTCTGGTCCGCAAGCGGACTGTAGCCGAGTCAGGGGTACCCACGTCTAACAGAAGCGTTGGGTAGAACGGAGAACGGAGGCTGTCTGAACTGCTGTCGGCAAGGCTCGTGGTTCTTTAGGCATTGAATGATCCAGGAAGCGGCTTCCTTGAAGAGTGCTTCGTCACTGAGGTCTCTGATAACCGGCCTGGTGGAAACGAAAGCTGCGGCCGGATCACCTGCCCTCGCCAAGTTAACGTGTGTGCTTCATCAAGCCGCGACTCTCAGGTTGACGTACCGGGTTCGGAATGGATAGACCAGGAGCTGGAAGACGTGGCGAAGTTGATATCCGCTCTCTTGATATCGTGAGGGTACCCAACACGGTGTTTGAACGAGATTTTCAGAGAAGAATTGAAGAATGGTCTCGCAAGCTCTTGAAGGCGCGTGCTGTTTCCGCGGAATGGACGCGCCTGGTGAAAGAGTTGACGATCGACATGACGTACGAAAAAGTCGCATGCATCTAAAGCGCCCTCGAGGACCGTCACGCATCGATCCGTAACGATGGCCTTTCCATATCGAACGTTATGTTGGTGCTGTCAAAGAGCAGCTGATTGCAATACCTGCAAGAATGGGATTGCAGATCCGCATCATCCGCCGCCATCTTGCTGCCTACCTTAGGGGTAAAAATCGCACCAGTACTTCCCGAGGTTGCATCGCCGGTTTCCAGGAGAGAGAGCAAGCCCCCGCCCATGAAAGAGGCTGACGGGGGCAGTCACTCATGTGAAGGCTCAAACATAGATGACCAAACTCCTCCGCCCTCCTCCCCGAGAACCCCCTCGCGTTGCGATGGCACAGTGAGAGGGCAGAAGCCTGAGAGATCCGAACAGCCACTCATGGGAACACTGCCTCCTAGCAGTTTATGAGGGATGGGCTAGCTGAGGTGACGCCACTCAACTGACTGCAGCTTACCCCTCTCCAACCGGACCGAACCGCATTGCTTTCCTAGGCTGTCAATATGCGCCAAGGCCCGGTGGAGTGCTTATTAAGATTACAAGACGCAAACATATTGATAAGCCGGCCTTCGGTTGGACCCTGGGCAGTGTGTCACAGACATACCTAGCTAGCTAAGTCTAGAACACGGGGTGCTGGTTGCCACTGCACCTACTACTACCTGAGGGGTATAGCCGCTGAGATATACCTTATTGAACGGACGGCAACTTATCCGTAGCTAGAAATTACCGGTGCTGACTGTCGATCGTCTCAGCTTAGAGAAACCCTGCATTGTGCCGCAAACCGCATTGCCCCCGCGTCCTGCAGCGAACCGACATATGGAGGGCGTGCGGAGAGAAGGGCGTCGCTCACGTTTTAACCAGTAATAAGTAGGTGCCGCATGCATTAGCGTAATATTTGTCGCTGTTATGGATGTGATGGGCGTCTGCACTGCAATATCCGTCTGACTCGGTATGCAGAAGCTTGGTCGAATATACCACAGTATGCAGGGTGGCAGATGAGGAGAAAGGAGGAGGATAAGAAACCGGAAGAATCCCTAATCTCAGTTGCTTCATGGAACTGTAACCCGCATCCACGGTCCATTCTCCCTAGTACTGCAAAGTTGGGTCCGTGTTCTTCTTTCACAATGGCCATCCTCATCTCCGCATTCCCCAGCGCGGCCATTGGGATCCTTCTCCTCTGGACCTTGTTCACACGCGTCCGCAACTGGTACCGCCTCCGCCACATCCCCGGGCCTCCCGCCGCAGCATGGAGCAAACTGTGGCTCGCGCAACGGCAATACGGGGGTAAACTCCTCACACACCTTCGCGAGACTTCCAAGAAATACGGTACTGATAATGGCCTTTCCCCTCCATCTCTCCTTTCTTAGTCCTCGGGCTTCGCTCACCACACTCTCCGCTTAATAGGCCCCGTAGCCCGCATCGGCCCAGACTGGATCCTCGTCTCATCCACCTCGGAAATCCGCCGCATCTGGTCTGTACGCTCGGGCTACCGTCGCAGCTGGTGGTACGCGTAAGTGGAAATGGTCTGTTTTGCGTGTCACCTTGCCGTTAGATTCCCCTTCATGGCTGTCGCGGGAGCCAACCGGCCCCCAAAGTCCAAAACCGTCCCACACATCCGCAAGTAAGAACTACACAGCTGATACCACTGTTTGGTACCAGCGGTTTTCGATTCGACCCCAACAGCGACCAAGTCATCACCATGGTCGACGACAAGGCGCACCAGCGCGTGCGATCCAAGCTCCTGCCGGCCTATCAGGGCAAGGGCATCACCAACCAGGAGCAGGTCATCGACGGGCAAATTGCCAAGTTCGTGGGGCTGATCGAAAAGAAGTACGTCTCGACGACAACGCGCGGGGCCGGCGGGAAGACGACGAAGCCGTTCGATATGGGCAAGGAGTTCTCGTATTTCACGCAGGACGCCATCTCCGCGGTCGAGTTCGGCAAGCCGTTTGGGTATATGGACGAGGATGACGACTTCTATGGCGCCATTGCCGCCATGGAGGGCATGCTCCTGCCGTGTGCCCTCATGGGCCTGCTGCAGCCGCTACTGTGGCTGGTCACGTCGCCGCTGGCCAAGCCGTTCATGCCCCGGAAGACGGACAGACACGGCGTCGGGAGGCTGCTGGGGGTCATTGACGGGCGCGTGAGCGAGAGGTATGGGGAGAAGAAGGTTAGGAACATGGACGTGCTGCAGGTTCTGGTGGACACGGGCTTGCCCAGGGAGGAGGTCGAGGCCGAGGCGCTGGTGCACTTGTTGGCTGGCACCGATACGACGGCCGGGGCGCTGAGGAACACCGTCTTTTTCCTCTCGACGAACCCTGGGGCCTATCGAAGGCTGCAGGATGAGATTGACAACGTCGCGGGGCGGGTGACGCGGCCGGTCATTGCCGACGCGGAGGCCAGGGAGTTGAAGTTCCTACAGGCCTGTCTCAAGGAGTCGCTCAGGATGTGGCCACCCATCTCGGGTTTGCAGGCTAAGACGTCAGACACGGACGACGTTATATGCGGCCTGAACGTGCCCGCGGGCACAAACATCGGGTTGAGCATATTTGATATGATGAGGGACAAGGATGTGTTTGGAGATGATGCAGAGGTCTATGAGCCCTTGAGGTGGTTGGAGGCCGAGTCCGAGAAGTTGAAGGAGATGGAGGCAACGCAGGGACTCGTCTTCGCGTCTGGAAGCAAGTGGGAGTGCCTGGGCAAGAGGTTGGCCAACATTGAGATGGGAAAGGTGCTGTTTGAGGTAAGTTGAACTGCCTTTGGCGTGATTTTGCAATCTCGTACTAATTGTCTGTCCGTAAAGCTTTTTCTACGGTTCGATTTCAAGATGATGAATCCAGCTGAGCCTTTCAGATGGACTCACATGGGGTTCACGCTGCACGAGGACATGAACGTCATTATCACCAAGAGAGAGTCCAACTTAGGAGTTCCTGTCGTTAATAACCATCTCGTACATTAGGCTATCCGTAGCGCAGCGAAGACAGCAGCCCCAACACAACTACCTTACCTATTCAACCGTTGCCTCTTCTCTTGATCCCGCACCGCCAGACATTCTCGACCTGCCCTAGAGATACGGAGGATACCGCTCAGTGCAGGGCGGAAGACATCGGGCCAGACACTGAGGGAAAGTCGTTGCGCCGCAAACGGCCGTGCACTTTCGGAGACAAGCCATTTGAGGGAAAAAGTGAAGTGCTGTTAGCTGCTCGATCAACACCATCCCTACCATTGTCCCCCTGACATCAGTGACATGACGCCACTCCCATATTCGGGGTTCATAGTCTGCCGTGGGACAACCGCCGCGACTGTGGATGGCGCACCGGGTTTCAGGGGCATGGTCGCAAGGGCGACACCGAGAGCCGCGAAGAGAGTAGATATCCACATGAGGTCTGAGTTCAACAAGCGGAAAGAAGGACGATAATAGTTATGGGTTGTTCGAAGCTGTCCTATGTGAAGGATAAAAATCCACAACGGTATCAAGCCAATTCAGACAGAAGCAGCCATCGTCTTATAGATGAACAATCCATATACTTGGACCATCATTCATGTCATTTGCATGTCGTTCCCGGAATCAGATGACTAGCAAGGCCCCCGGAGTGTTTCAGCTCAAACTCAAGGTGGCCACTGGCAAAGGGTGCACAGGTATTCGGCTGCACAGAACCCCAGACCAACCCCGGCCTCCGGCTTCGGGTCAAGTAAGAGGTGCCGCTGCTAAGGCACAAGGTCAGCATCGGGGGTGGATGACACCCTTCGGCACCGCCGCCATGCAGCGTCATCTTATCAGATCATCAGATAATCTTTAAGGGGGGAAGTGCCAGCCCGTTCCAGTCACCCGAACATTGAGTTATTGATGTCTTTACGTAAACGGTCCCTATCGTAGTCCATGTTCTGTGGGTTCGAGGCGCTGAAGGAACCTAGGCTGTCAACCGCTGCGGGCTGGAGAGAGACTCGGAAGGCCCGACTCAGGCTTTCTTCAACCTCCCTGTTTTTCATGGCCCGGATGACTGAACGTATCCCTGGAGGCGCCTACGCAGAAGCGGGTTAAGACAGGCAAGCAACCATGTGGTGGGGCTCAGACCCACAACGCTTTCAGCCCTCCCTGCCTTTGTTGCCGGCCACATATCTGTGGCGGCCCAAACCACTGCTTTTAAACAGCCATCTCCATTCCTCCCACCATCATATGCATCACCGTATCGTATCTTCTACATCTTGTATCACCAGTTTGCTCTGTACCTGCATCGCAACAAACCATGATCAAACAAGTTTAGGTTCAGTACATCACAAGCTACATCACAAGCTCAAGTCCTCCATTTCTGGACAAAGAAACGCCACACCGCCCCCCTAGCAACATGGCAAACATCGCATTCCATCAGCAACAACAATAACGACATCTCTCCACCACAAAACTCAAGCTTCTCACACCTTCAAACCAGCAAGGCCCAGCAATCATCTACCCCATCATCCACCTCATACAAATGTCACATATCCCCTAAGCATATCAACAAATTCCGGATCAAACTCAGCAACCCACGCCGGCTCCCCGCTGTGCTTCGCAGCAGCACCTTGAACCTCCTTACCCACTGCCCTTGGTTCACTCCTTCCCTCCACTTTCGCGCTGGCTCCGGCCGACACAACAGGCTCAGCCATCGCCGACCCGCCCGGCGAATTGTCCGGGCTCATCCCGGGCATGTCGTCGAGGAAAAGGGACGAGCTGGGGTTGTCAGGCTTCGGCATCCGTGATGACGCGAGTGAGGTGTTTCCTTGAACGTTCGCACTGGGAGAGCTGTTGGTGCCTGTTCTGACAAACTCCCCGGGTACCCCCTGGTAAAGCACTTCATCGCTCGCACCCGACTTGAAACGGCCGGCTGTGCTGCTTGGTGTGACGCCGAAAAGCGTTTCGTCGATCAGGAGACGATCGTGCCCAATACACTCATCTTGGCGGTTGAACTTCTCGGCTGAGGTTGGTTCTGCACTTGTTCGGGCCAGTTTTGATTTGGCAATGATTCCTTTGTTTGAGACAACAGATGCCTGATCAGGAAGTGTACCCCGGCCGGCAGAGCGTACGGGAGATGTTTGGGCGGGAACATGGCCCGCTCGCTTCCCAGGGGAGCCAGCTCCCACGGATTTGAAAATGTCGTCAATTTCGTCATCGGTAAACGAGAGGTCGATACACTCCAAGTCCATGGTGTCGAAATCCACCGCCTTCTGCCGGTCGAGCGAAGTCATTATTGAGCCCTTCCCAGGCCGGTCCGAGGTGGATTGGGTTAACGATGCGACGCCCTGCAGCTTTTGGGCCTTGGGCGGGACTGCGTTCGTATCAACGGTGGCTTCCTCACACTTTCTCTTTGTCCTCTGCGCTGGACGTCTGGGTGGCTTGTCTAGTCCTTCCTTGCAGCATCGGTGACTGCATGGCTTGCCTGATTTCGTGGGAGCCCCACCACTGCACGAATGATTGCACTGCCATTTACCGTTTGGTAGCCGGAGGGGTCCACGGTTTGTTGCTTCCGTGTCCTCTTCGTCACCACCCCTGTGGTAGTCGGCAAACCTGTCTGCAGCTTCGTTCTGCGTGCCATCGAGCTCGATCAGCTCCTCGACGAATGGGTATTCGTCGGTGTCTTGTTCAGCGGTGGTATGTTGATGCAGCTTCATCGAGGGCTGGTTCGCTGCTCGCTCGGCCGCCAGGATGAGGTCCGAGTCGTCAATGTCGTCGTTGTCGAAATACTCATGGCTGGGCACTTGTCGTGGCTGGCTCATCCGTGGCTCAGCTGGCCGTGACAGAAAAGCAGAAGCTGGCACCTTGTGCTCGAGCGTCTTTGTGACAATAGTTCCCACTATCTCCTCGCAGCTAAGGTGACAGATGACTTGCTCCTTGACATTGCGCAGGCCGACCGAGAATCTGAGATCAAACCCAGACTGGTTGTCCAACTTTCTCATGCTTCCTCGCCAGAAGTACACCAGCGTTCCTGTGTTGGTCTCGGTAAGGAAGGTCAGCGTCGGGACGCGACTCAGCCAATTCGGGGGGCCCATGCGGTTTAGATAGCGGAGTGTTGCTTTAATCTCGAGGACGACTGGTTCTTCCGATCCCGGCTGGACCCGATGGCCGACGACCGTGGCTTCGACGGAGAGCCTGGGAAATCTGTCCAGATGAGACTTCAGGTTCTTCCCGAAGGGAGGCTGTCGTGACATCAGACGCTCAATCTCGTCATATTCCTTGTCCGCCAATTGAAGGACCGTACGGATGTCTTTGCTTGCGAGCTTTCTCATTCCTACAGGACCAATGTTCGGGACCTGGGTGAGTTGAGTGGCGCGTCCTTCCCAAGCCTCGGCCGCGAGCGCCCTCGCAAGCTCGAGTGCGGTTTTGGTCCCGACCGAATCACGATCGTAGCCTTTGCAGTCAATGACAGCGCGAACCAGTCGATTCAATCTCTCGAAGACCAGCTTCCTCTCAAGCATGAGTTGACGTCTGATTTTAGCCCCATCGCCCGAGTCGGGGTATTGCACACATCCGAGATGAGACTGGACGAGAAGCGAGACCTTATGATGCGTTTGATTCACCTGCTCCTTGATCGGGTACATGATGAAGGGCGAGCGGTTGATTTCTCGGAAGAGCTGGCGTTCGGCTGGTTTGAAACGAAACTCCTTAAACTCGGATGCCTGCGAGAGAATTGTGATCTGAATATGTCAGTGTGGGCATCAACAAGGTTGGGATCGCGAGGGTCTTACCAGAACCTCCATTCCTACACCACGCGGGATCTTCAGAAGCAGCTTCATCGTGTCGAACTGGACCATGTACTTGGACATTGCGCGACCATATTCGGTGCAGCGGAACGTGTCTTGGTCCGTGACCAGCTCCGCTTCCTGAAGCTGTTTGATATCGCGCTCGCAGATTTCCTCGAGTCTGTCATCGATCTGCAAAGGATTCGTTGTTCCGTCGGTGAGCTGATAGTAGCCTGGATTGCGCCTCAACCTGACACTGAGAAAAGTGCCAGCAAGCCAGGCCTTGGCGGAGGAGAGATTGTGAATGGTGCCTAGGCATATCTCCGAGTTGAGATGCTCGATCAAATTCAGATGCAGCGTGCTCTCCAAGATTTCTTGGCCGGAAACCATCTTCTGATACCGTTGCTTGTTGGCGGCGCGGGTGAGAATAATGGCGGTTGCGCTGTCGTCGAACTGTGGCCGGCCTGCACGCCCGAGCATCTGCATGACCTCAAGATCGGAGTATTCCTCCAGCTTGTCGTCTGTGAAACCCACAGTTCCTTTGAGAACGACGGTGTGACAAGGCAAATTGATGCCCACAGCCAACGTCGAGGTGCAGCAAATGACACCCAGCTGCCCCTTCAAGAAGTTCTGTTCCACGGCAGCCCGGTCTTGCGCATCGAGGCCGGCATGGTGAAAGGCGACACCGAATTTGACAATTTCCTGTAGCTCTCTGCTGATCACGGGGACGCGCTGAGATGGAACGGGCCACAGTCTGTCGCCGTCTGGCCTGCCGGAAACGAAGTCGGCCAGCATTGCCGCGGTGCTTTCGCAGGATTTGCGAGTGAAACAGAACACGAGTATCGGTTTCCGTTGAGCATGCCTGGCAATCAGCCCGGGAAGCTTCTGATCAAGGAACTTGTCGAAGATGAAGTCATTGCCATTGCTCTCAAAACCGTAGACGAACTTTTGGAGCTTCACAGGCCGAAACTCCTCGCCAAAGACCTCACGGAGAGCAGGCAACTGCTGGTTCGTGTGGTTTCGGCCCAGCCACCGGGCAATGTCTTCTGAGTTGGGCACGGTTGCGCTCAGCGCGATGAACCGAACATTGGCCCCAATCGTCTTCATCCTGGACACGACGGCCTCGAGGGTGGCACCACGGACATCCTTCAGAATGTGGACCTCGTCAAGAAGGAACAGCTCAACCATTTGCAAAAGCTTTCGATGGTCTTGCCACTTCCGGGTGATCGAGTCCCACTTCTCAGGGGTGGTGACAATGATGGAAGCATCGCCAACACGTCTCATCTCGGCTTGCGAAGTATCGCCGGTCAACTCCGCGCACCTGAGGTTCATGTGGCTGAACTTCTTGTCCCAGTCACGGGCCCTCTCGGAGCAAAGAGCTTTTGTTGGGGCCTGGTAGACGATCTTGAAGTTCTCGTTTCCTCGATCGAAGGCTAGCTTGCAAATGGCGAGCTCGAGGATGGCTGTCTTGCCGCTGCCAGTCGGGGCAGCAACAACCACGTTGTCGTTGGTGCGATAGACAACGTCGAAGCATTTCGACTGGACGGCGTTGAGAAGCTCGTAGGGAAAGATGGCGCGAAACTTGTCTGGCAAGACCTGGCGCAGGCTGAATAGAGGTATGCCGTGCACGAACGGAGTCAAAGGCTGGGGACCTGCCTGGGCGTTTGAAGAAGACTGGAACGACGGAGAAGAGTCTGGGCCCTGGGGCATTTGGCTCTGAGAGACATGGACGTTTCGTTGTTTGCGGGCGCTCAGTCTTGTGGTGGGACTGGAGCTTCCAGGACCTTGAAAAGTGCTCGAGGTGGACCAAACAGTTTGGGAGCTGGGTGCATGTGGTACTGCAAATCGTTAGTTCGCTGATAGAGGGATGATGGTCGAAGGTGAACTAACGAGAACGTAGCGTGCGACCTTCGGCTTGCCGCTCGTTCTGTGGTTCCCTAAAGAGACGGGCTGTGTTATGTGTACTGAACCGTTGGGTATCCTCCATCATCGATGTTCTTCGCGGAGGGCCTGATTCGAACATTGGGCTCGGCATCAGGGTAGCTTCGTAGAACGTGCCATATCTGTCAGATACATTTGAGGGACGGGAGGGAGCCGGGGTGGTGAAATAGTCGAGTGTCTGTCGACGGCTCAATACGTCGTTGAGGTGACGAGTGCGTACGGGGGCATGTCCTAAGAGATCTCGATCTGGAGGAATATGATGTTAATACGCCGGCCGAGGACGGGAGCCCTTGAAAGGAAAAGCGTAACGTACCGAAATCGTCCAAGCCATCGTCGTACGGATCTGCCATGGCGACCAGCTGGTGAAGAGTGGACGGCGGGGCGAGGCGATATTCGGGCAACGATTGCCTGTTATCGGGACGATGCATGTGTAAGGGAGCACTGAACGGACAGAAACAAAGGTCGATACTGCAATGACAGTTTGGCGATACCGACATGTCGAGTTGAGAATTCGATGCGTTATTCAAAATTCCAGGCAGCCATGGCGGAAGACTCGCACTTTCCTGGCCCTGATCGGCGGCTGGTGTGCTTATGGTCGCTCCTTCCCGCTGTGTGTTAGCGAGCGTCGGCCGCTCGAACGGTTGACAATGACGGGCCGAGGACTGCCACAGTCAAGATCAACATGATGGTGCCTCAATGTACCTGATTCGGTGGCGAAGGCCCAATGCCAAAGGCGGTGATCGAGATCGGACACAGCCAAATCAGCATCTTCTCCCTCTGCTTTTGAGGACATCTCGTCAACTCGAGAACTCTCACTGCTTCGCTCGGCTAAATTGATTTTGACCGCATCCTGCAAAGCCGTAACGAACATGTCGACCCACGTCTCTTTCGGGTTCCCGATCGGCGGAGGTACCGCACCGGCGTGCCAAGGCCGGTTGTGCGGAGCCCGGGGCGTGGAAGCCCGCCCGGAATCCAACTACAATAAGTAAGGCACGTTCCACGCGTTTGCGTTCAGTTGAAGCTGATGCCAAAGCCGTCCCGGCCTTCCCCCCTTCGTCATGCTGGACCGATTGTGCCCCTGCTCTCTGCGCCTTCATTCGCTTACAGATAGGAATGTCCCGCCGACGAACACCCGACACGGAAGCCAGCCGCAGCGGAGGCGACGGTACACTGGCGAGACTGGAAATCTCATCAAATGCAATCAGTTCGAACCCCAAGCCGAGTAGAGCCCCGTCGTTGCCGAGGGCGGGGCGTCAACCGCCCCCACCTGGTATCGCAGGAAAAATCAGCCATGGCAGGCTCATGATACTGTATGATATCAAATCTGGCGTTCAGCACGATCGCCGGAGGTTCCTGTGTCCAGTCAGCTGGGCCGTCGCTAGACTCGCCACTTAGGTGCAAAATGGAAGGCGAGGAATCCGTATGGCCGGCTCCGGGCGACCCATCGGAGATCCGAATCAGGGCTTGGCGGATTTCCACCTGTCCATTCAGGCAGGTCGTTGTCGGCAACGTGCTGGGCCTGTGGGCCAATCAAGCCGCCAAACCCCTGAATCTCGCCCATTGCGGCACCGAACAGCTTCAGATTGCAACGCTGTACGCAGTGCGACCCGCCCCGGGCCCGTCCCCTTTGCTTGCAGCGCACGTGGGGATGAACAGGCACTCTTTCAATGAGGCACCTCGAAAATAAAAGGTTGCATGGCGGCGCTGCCATGATCACCGCCGGGACTCAAGCTCCGCCTCACCCAGCCGGACTTGCCCGCTACTGCCTGTCCACTTACAGCGGCCATCATGAAGCCGTCTCCGCTGTTCTGCTGCGTCCTCGCCAGCCTGCAGTCGCTGGCGGGCGCCGTTTCCATTGCGGAGATCAACGGCAACAAATATCTCTCGCCCTACTCCGGTCAGATGGTCACCAATGTCACGGGACTGCTCGTCGCCAAGGGGCCCAATGGCGTGTGGATTCGCTCGGCCTCACCCGATGACGATGAGGCCACCTCGGAGGCCATCTACGTCTTCAGCAGCAGCGTGGGCGCCAATCTGACCGTTGGCGATGTCCTCTCGCTGGATGGCAAGGTGTCCGAGTATCGGTCGAACGCCAACTACATGTATTTGACCGAGATTACCTCCCCCAAGAACGTCAAGGTGTTGTCGTCCGGAAACCTGGTCACGCCGCTCGTCATTGGTAAGGACACACTGTCGCCGCCTACAGTGCAGTACAGCAGCCTTGACAATGGCGACATCTACAACGTACCGAATGGGGTGGTCAACGTCTCCGCGGTGAATCCTGTCCTGGATCCCACCAAGTACGGTCTGGATTTCTGGGAGAGCCTCAGCGGCGAGTTGGTCACCGTTAAGAAGCCGGTGGCCATCAAGACGCCAAACCAGTACGGCGATACCTGGGTGATTGGTGATTGGGTTGCGACGGGGAGGAACAAGCATGGCGGTGTGACCATGTCTGACAAGGGTGAGACTGAAGCTTTTTCAGTCGCGAGCATTCACTCATGCAGTTGCAGACTCCAATCCCGAAGCCATCATCATCGGCTCTCCACTTGATGGCACCAAGAACTCCGCCGACTCCAAAATGGGCGACCAGTTCGAAGACATCACCGGCATTGTCCAGCACGCCTTCGGCTTCTACTCCATCCTCCCCCTGACGGCCATCAAGACCGCCACGCCCGCATCCGCTGCTGTCCCTCCGACGAGCCTTCTCAGCCAAGGCAACTGCAAGGCCATTACTGTCGGGAGCTACAACGTCGAGAACCTGAACCCCAAATCGACCCATCTCCCTCAGATCGCCGCCCACATCGTCGACTACATGAAGACGCCAGACCTGCTCTTTGTCCAAGAAGTCCAGGACAATAGCGGCGAAACCGACGACGGCGTAGTCTCAGCCAACGTGACCCTTACTGCCCTCGTCGGCGCCATCGAGTCCCTCAGCGGTGTGACCTACGCCTTTGCCGACGTCGACCCAGTCAATAACGCCGACGGCGGCGCGCCAGGCGGCAACATCCGGACGGCCTACCTGTATCGTCCCGAGGTGGTGAGGCTATACAAGCCCAACCAAGGCGGCGCCACTGATGCGACCGAGGTCGTGCCTGTCAGCAACGGCAGCAAGGCCGTGCCGGCGCTGTCGTTCAACCCGGGCCGCATCGATCCCGCCAACCCGGCGTGGGAGCGCAGCAGGAAGCCGCTGGCAGCCGCGTGGAAGGCCAAGGGCGCCAGGCGGCCCTTCTACACGGTCAATGTGCATTGGGCGAGCAAGAGCGGCGGCGGCACGTCGCTGCATGGCGATCGCAGACCGCCTCTTAATGGCGCTGTGGAGGCGAGGAGTGCGCAGGCCAATGTCACGGGAGTGAGTACATCGTTCCAGCTTTAGTGGGAGAAGTAAACTGACGGGAAATAGTCGTTTATTGCGCAGATCCTCGAGCTCGACCCAGCGGCGAACGTCATTGCCGCGGGCGATTTCAACGAGTTTGCGTTTGTACAGCCTATGAGAACTTTCTCAGCCATCTCGTCAATGGTTGACCTTGACGAGGCCGCCGGTATTCCCGTGGAGGAGCGATACACCTAGTGAGTAACCAATTTGATACTCTCCCAAGTATGGGCGATGTTGACTTTGAACAGCGCCTATGATATGAACGCCCAGGCCCTTGACCACATGTACGTCAGCCCAGCGCTGGCGCACAAGAAGTCCACCCGCTTCGAGCACATCCACATCAACTCGTGGGCGGCCTATGACGACCAGGTGTCCGACCATGACCCGGGTGTTGCCTTGTTCGATGTCTGCGGTTGCTGAGACCGGACAGGATGAGGTTGTACTTGTATAGTACCATTAGGAGTAAATAATATCTGAACAGATGTGATGACCTGGGCATCCCCTGGATGGGATCCAAGCACAGCCTGTTGTCTTCTTGACTTGTACCGACAAACAGGGCTGGGTTATTGATTCCACACTCCCCAACATGGCTAGGCACTCGGAGCTGAATTCTTGGTTGAACGCCACATGCGGCGGAGCTAACTTGGAACACTTGGCAACAAATCACCATGCGATATAACTTGACGCCGCGCCCTCGGCCCTCCTACTCTTCTTGTCTCGGACGCATAAAGGAGTCTTACCACAGAAACCTCCACTCATCACTGCATATACAATCAGAATGCCCAGGCCACCGGCCACGCACCGTTATCCTCCCTTCTGCTACACGGCAGCCAAGTTGAACAACACAGGAACTGGCACACCAGAGTTTCGCCTGCTGGAACTCCTGCCATCTGCCGCAGGACATGAGCTCTGCTGTCGCATCTTCGTCGCCGAAACCGGGCAGTCGTCACAGCGATACAACGCACTTTCATATACTTGGGGCCTTGGACCCAAAGATCACTCGATCCTCGTCGTCGCTTCTAACAGCAACCAGGGCAATGCTCGCAAACCCAAGGCCTTGGCCATCACCGAATCCCTGCAAACCGCCCTGTTCCATTTTCGTCATCCTCGGAAGCCCGTCCGGTTATGGATCGACCAGATTTGCATCAACCAAGAAGACTACGCTGAAAAGGCCGCTCAGGTGAGCCTGATGGGCTCCATCTACCGGAACGCCCAGCAGGTGCTTGTGTGGCTCGGGCCAGCCGCGGAGCGCTCTGACTTGTTGATGGACGCCTGGCAGAGTATTGGCCAGGCCGCGCGGGACTGGGGCATCGAGGGCTACTACTCGCACGAGAAATGGCACCTCCTACACCAAATCGTGAACAACCCCCAGCCATCCGACCCGGGGACCGTCTCGTTCCAAGCCCTCATGCGGACAGCGGCCAAAACGTTCGCCCCGCTCATTCACGCGCGGGCGCTCACGCACTGGTTCAGACGGCCGTGGTTCAGCCGGGCCTGGATAGTCCAAGAATTCTGCCTCTGCCCGGACACCGTCTTCGTCTGCGGCACCAAGACGCTCCCCGCCGAACTGGTCATGCTGGCCATACAAATCCTCCAGTACGCCATCGCCAAACGGGATCTTCTTGACCTTCTCCGGGGCGGCGCCGCCAATGATCTCCCGTGGTCCGCACTAGACGACATCGTCAACGAGCCCACCGCCCGCCTCTTCAGCTGCCGCCAGCGCCGCCGCAAGTTCGACCGCGGCCTGCCCGATGCAACAGGCGACCAACTACACGCCCTTCTCCGTAAGCTCTACGTCGAGCACAACACCCAGGCCACCCTCCCCCGCGACCGTGTTTTCTCCATGCTGGACCTGGCTGTTGACGGGGACCACCTGGGCCTCAGACCCGATTACACAGACCAGTCCCTGCCCGAGGCCGAGGCCCGGATGCTGACGCGTGCTGCCCGCGCCATGATCACCAACCCCGCGTCAGGGAAGGTCAATATCCTCTGCTTCTCGCAGTTTCCCAAGTCCCCTGGAGACCCCGCGCTCGCGGCGCATCTCCCCTCGTGGGTGCCCGACTGGCGGGGGGGTTTGAAGCCGTCGTTTTACACCGTCAACGAGGTCGTCGATGTGCACTTGTTTGCGGCCTGCGGCAGTGAACTCCATGTCAGGCCTGTTGCGTACACGCACGATTGCGACATCACTAACACCCAGCTTGCACCACCGTGCGCCTGCCCGACAGATGAGGAATCCGTGTTAGGCCTGGGAGGCTACCTCGTCGACACGATCGCGGCCGTCGCCGACGGCGGCGCGTGGGACGATATGGGGTGGGAGGGCCCGACGGCCGCGGCACGATTTCTGGGGTTCCTGCGGCAGGTCGACGCGCTGTTCCAGCGGGCCATGGCACAAGATGATGGGTTGCCTCGGCTGTACGGGAGCCAGGAACGCAGAGCCGAGGCGCGGTGGCGGGTTCCGATTGGGGACTTATACTGGACAAAAGCCGAGGGTATGCACCGCGCGCCGGCTGAGGCGGTGGTGTACCACGGGCAGGTGCTGGAGTTTTTGGAGTTCTTTGTCGAGTGTGCTGGCCTGAGTAGCAGCGAGGAGCAGGATAGGTGGGCTGAGGCGTGGGATCTCCACGGCAGACTGGATAGAGGGGAGGTCGGGGATTATTACCGGGAAACCATGAAGGTTTTCGTGGGAAAGCGGCCGTTTGTGACGACCGAGGGATATCTGGGCATGGGTCCCGCGGACGCGGCAGCCGGGGATGTTGTTGTGGTGTTCTGTGGCGGGCGGATTCCGTTTGTGCTGAGGCCGCTCTGCATGGAGAGGCGGGAGAAGAGGTTGTTCAAGTATATGGGTGAGGCGTACTGTGATGGGGTTATGGATGGGAAAGCCGTCGAGTTAGGGGAGTTCAGCGCGTTCTTCCTCGTTTGACCGAAGCAACCGAGTACAGCCCGGCCCGGGTGCGAGCGATACCCATAATAGCCTCGAGGCACCCTAGCTCCCAATCAAGTTACCATCCGAGAACGCCATCGGTTTAGTCGAAGACCCCGGCCTCAATGAGGTGACGACATATCATACCGAGGTATTACCCGCCTCTTTGTTGCTTGCAAATGCTGCCAGGCTCGGTATTTTCGAACAACATGAAGGTTTGGTGGTGGGAGCACACCGTGGAGCGATGATGTCATGGGTCTCGACCAGCGATCAAATAAACATCGGGCTCGAACTGTTGCCATTGGAACTTATCTTCAGCCAGAAGACCCTCTAATCCAACTGAAGTCTCACCTTTACTTTTGTCAGTACACCGCTCAGAAACTCACACCGTCGCAAACCACCAGCATCACCACCATGAAGCTCGCCAGACCAGCCGTCGCCCGCACCGCCCTGCGCCCCGCGCTGCCGCAGTCATCCCGTGTGCTGCCAGCTCAAACTCGACTCGCAAGCACCGACCCGCAGAGTGAAGTCGGGGACAAGGGAACAGCCAAGGTGTACAACAAGGACGGCACAAATCCCAACAAGAATCTCATGTAAGTCACTCCCTCCCACAACAGCGCCTGTGCTGGAGGTTTTTATGCTAACCTTGACGAATCTCAAGTTACCTCGGTGTCGGCGCACTCGGTCTCGGAGGACTCTACGCTATGTTCATGGCCAAGCCGGAGAAGGTGGCTGCGACCGCGCAGAAAGCGGATCCGGAGGGGACTGCCAGGCAAAGAACGCCGGGCTCAGCGGCATCTCGTTGATGTTTTCACCGTTTCGCGAATGAATGGGCGGGCGTCATATACCTCTAACTTCTGATTCAGGTTGATAGCCTTCCAATGTCGAGTTTACTGGGTTATATCGTGGAACTGGTGATATCACGTCGTGAAGGTTCACAGGCGGCTGAGCTCGAAACAGGCTTTTGCTTGTGGTTAGTGCATCTTGGCCCGTTTCTAGTTCCCCTTTCTCAGTAAGACATGTATGGTACTTAACCTGTCAACCACAGATTCCAAAACGGGCTCCGCCTGGCGGAAGAGGATGGTAGTCCATGACAACATTGACATATTTGCACTCAATCGAGTTCTGTGTGCAGCGTTGCTGAAACCTCTGCTGAGTTCGGCCACAATGAATAACCAAAACTTTTGCTTATCGTAAGGTCAAGGATGGCTCCGTCATCTAATGTAGATAGGAGGCACCGTGCAAGCGAGATGCTGGACTGGATCCACCGGTCTTGATTCACCATAACTCTTCATCAACTTGACTCTTTGTGCCGATGTCTCTAGATATGTATAAGCTTGTCCTTTGTATATAAAGGTAGTGAGGATAATCCAGGAGCTTGGAGATAACGTACGACGATAACAATCCGGAGATGTTCAGTAACTTAGTTAGTTACCTACTTTATTTGTCGTCGCTTGTACTTGATATACTATTCGCACTTTGAGTTTCCACGGCTGACAACCGGATTTGTGCTGACTTAGTGGTATCTTCCTCAGCACTGGTTGCGCCATAATTCCTTCATAAGCTGGGAAACCCAACCCTCTCTACCTTATCTCTCCAGCTCAACTGCTAGATATGGTACATATCATGTGCCTTACGTAGAAATTACGTACCAAGGTATCTTCTATATAAATATTATGTGTCTTCCACGTAGACATTATGTGTCCGCTATATGGATATCATGTGTCTTCTAGAAATATTTCCGCTAGGCAGAAGGCGGTTCCCTTCAAGTTTCTTATATCTCGAAACTTGGGAGAACTACGAGCTCCTGGCGCGTTTGCCTGAGAAAATCTGGAGTGATTGTGGATCATGAACCTATACTCCGGTTGTTTCTTTTGATTCCCAGTACTGACTGAACCCAATTCACTTGACACACTAAATCCATCGCGCTCTTACATGGATGCGGTATCACGTTCTCATCCGGTATCACGTTCTCTAAACCGTGGAGGGACTTCGGAAGGAGATCGATAGCGCCCCTGAGGGATCCGAGCAAGCGATTTCGTGCACCAACGTCAGGTCCAAGGATGGCAACTTCCGCTTCTGAAATTCCCGTGCCCACCCGTTCATAAAAGTTCTCCACAAGGTTGGCATTTCGCCGCACTCGGATCCCTTTGGGGCGCTGTCAGTCACAACAAGTCGTCGTTCGTAATTGACGAAGCCGTGAAACTTGCCAAGCACGAATGCGATACCTGCAAGTACCCGTCGGCTGCCCCTTGGTCGGATTGCCCAATATCCGCCGAGTTGGACCGTCTGTGCGAGGGATTGAACCGGGCACAGAGGGAGATAAAGGGTTTTGCTTTGTCCAAGCTGGGCCAGAAGACCGTGGAGGAGGAGGAGGACGACGAGACAGCACTTCTGCGCTGGACTAATGAGTCGGGAATGTGTTTCGAGATGCCTGGTGTGGTGGAAGTTCTCCGCTGGATATTTGCCAGTAAGCATGGCTGGTAAGGCAACTGTAATAGATAGCTCAGATGACCCATGCACGGAACAAGAGGGCCCGAGCCGAGTCAGCTCCGCGTGGGTCAGGCCGAGCCCACGGGGCCGGGATGCCAAGCCAAGAATTCGGGGAGGTTCCACTTCCGGCGGCCGGGCTCAAGATCCGACTCGTGTTACACTGCATGCCGCCGGCATGGCAAGTTTTGCTGGAAAGGGGTAGCGTATGGGGTCACTGGACGTAAACTGTGGCGGCGACATGTCTTATGACCCTCCAATATTGTACAAAGTCGGGGTCGGCCATGCCCACGGACGGCAGTGAAGAACGCAGTCGTCGGCACTCGTTCAGCCTTTGGTTTGGAAGGAAAGGGGGAAGTCAAGCAGGGGAAGTGGAGACAAGATGGGCGGCGGTGCCTCTCGTTAAAATGACGTCCGAGGGAGGATGGAGAAGCACTTCCTGGAACACTTATTGATGAACTTTCTCTCTGGCAGGTTTTGGTAATACAGACGACTCGTCTCTCAAGAGGCAAAGTGCATTTGAGTCATGAGACCCTCTTCGAAAAGTGCCTGCTGTGCCGCGGACGGACCGGTGGAAGCTTTGTCCGTCCAAGCTTGAGTTTGACAGACGATCGCGCCTCTTCAACCTGCAAAAGAAAACAGCCACCCTTTCCCCCTTCGCTGACAACTATAGCCGTCAGTCCTGGAAATCTTGCCTGAGACGACGACATTACCATCGTTGGGTAATCGTTGCCATCTCGAATCGTGCCGAAACCCGCCGCGTGGGTGCTGCAGCCCCCTGGCACCTGCAGGATCAAGGGCACGCGACCGTGCATTGCGCCGCCAATTTTCTGTCCAGTGACGTCGGAAAAAGCCAGCCTCTCCCGCAAACACCACAGGAGAGCCGCTTCCGCTCTGAATCTCTCGCCCACGAAGAGACCCAACACTTTCAAGACAGTGATTCGACCCCTTTAGCCCATAGAAGAGGACGAAACCTCCGACGTTGCTGGCCAACAGCGGCCGAACAATCGCTGCACCCAACATGGCACTCCACAGCCCAAAGATTACGACGGGCCCGACCCTACTCGGCATGCCATTGAAGCAGGCATCGCTGCTCACGGTATGCCCTCGTTGGTATTTGGAAAGACGGACGAGCTACTGACAGTCCGAATCCAGTTGATGCTTCAAAACTCGGCTCTAATTCTAGTAAGCCCACCATTCCCCTCGGCTGTCGCATGCCCACCTCTGACGCCCCCCCTACCAGATCATGCACTACTCGCGAATCATGACCCCGCCAGGCGACCACCGCTACTTTACCTCGACCGCCGTCCTCCTCAACGAGATCATCAAGCTTGCGATATCCCTGACCTTCTCCATGCACGAGGTGTCGCGGAGCCTGGCGCCGCAGACGCCCGTGACGGTGCTGTTCGAGCAAATCTACAACCAGGTGTTTTCGGGCGACGGCTGGAAGCTGGCCATCCCGGCGGTGCTGTACACGCTGGAGAATACGCTGCAGTACGCGGCGCTGAGCAACCTGGATGCCGTGCATTTTCAGGTGCTGTACCAGTTGAAGGTGGGCAGGCGATCTGAGGTTTCCGGCTCAATGGGACGGCATGTGTGGGCTGACTTGCTGGCAGATCATCACGACAGCCGTTTTCATGATCCTCCTGATGGGATGCACCTTGGGGATTAGGCGCTGGCTATCGCTCATTGTGCTCACCGCGGGCGTGTCGGTCGTCTCCCTGCCTTCGTCGAACGCCAAAGACTTGACACTGAATATCCACGACTTCAGCGACCACTTTTTCCCGCGATCGATGCACGAACTAGGGCAGGCTGCCGGCGGCGTTGTGGAGGCTGCCAGAGAGCTGACGAAACGGGGCGTGGATCAGTTGGTGAGCGAGCTCGCCAAGCGGTCTGCGACATACGAGGGTATCGCCGAGGATCTGGAGGGTGGGCCCAAGATGAACTACGCCGTCGGGCTGACGGCAGTTCTCGTGGCGGCGGTCGTGTCGGGATTGACGGGCGTCTACTTTGAGAAGCTGCTCAAGGACTCGAACAGCCCGGCTTCGGTCTGGACAAGGAACATCCAGCTGTCATTTTACTCATTGTTTCCCGCCTTGATTGGCGTCATTGTCAACGACGGCAAGGAGATAGCCAAGCACGGCTTCTTTGATGGATACAACAGTGTCGTATGGATGGCTATCGTCCTCCAAGCCATCGGCGGTATTCTGGCATCGCTGTGCATCAACTACGCCGACAACATCGCCAAGAACTTCGCCACGAGCATCAGCATCGTCGTCAGCTGCCTCTTCAGCCTCATCTTCTTCGACTTCAAGGTCACCTCATCCGTGCGTCCCTCCCCGTCCCAGTCCCTTTCCTTCAGCGAATCAACTAACCTTACGCCTGTACCTACAGTTCCTGCTCGGCACAACCCTCGTCCTCGGCGCGGCTTATATGTACAGCCTCCCCGAGCGCAAGCGCGCCCGGCCGCCGCCCATAACCATCGCCAGCTACGAAAAGACCACCGTCGAAGGCACGCCGCGCTATCTCGACCAGGACAGGCTCTCCGTGAACCCGCTCGATTCGGCTCGCGGCGCCGCACTCTCTTCGTCGAGGCCTGCGTCGCCGCTGATGTTTCATGAGCGCACACCGTCGTCTAGGGGGCGCAAGATTGATGATTGAGACAGGGGGAGGTGAGCGTGGGTTATGGGCTGGTAGAGGTTCAACAAGCCAAGTTACCAAACCGGATGCAGATTCTGTGGGAATTCACCTGGCTCAGAGCATGGGTTGCATGTGAATCAGGGAGTTTTAGAGGGACGATCTCTGAGGGTTTCAGGCATGGGCTAAGACAGGAACGGTTATGATCATGAGGGATGGGTGCTGGTATCGTCAGGGGTTATCATCTTCGGTGCTGCGTACGACGTTGGGGAAAGTCCGTTGTAGTCGGCCAGGGTGAAGACGGATATGGACTATTATGACGAGTTTGAGAACAGCTCGTCGATATGCAGTGAACTGGAGCATTTACATGGATGGGTCACGGACAGGAGCATGACAGACCCAGGGGTTTGGGGCCGCGGTGGCGTGTTTGGACAAAACAACGACGGGTGTCAGGTGTTGGACATACCCTGCGTGTGCGAGCACGGTAGATGGGTGGCTTCGAATAGACAAGCGGCCAGGCAGAGGTAATAATAGCCTGTTCTTCGTCATGACTTTTGGAATAGACCTAGATGTTATTGTCACTGGGCATCCGAATTGACGGATGTTTGCTTTGCCTTGCAATTTGTACGGGCCACGGAAGGCATGGCTGACCATTCTTGACCGTCTTGATGATGCACTTTCCGGCACAGAACGACAATAATCACAATAGTAAAGGGAACTCCAATGTCTACAACTTAGCATTGATGCAGTCGTTTGGGCCGTCGGCTTGGGCGGGGCCGCCTACCACCCCCCCGGTTGACCTGAGCGGCACGGTAGATGCCACTTATTAGTGTTGAGATGGTCTTGGGGCTGGCATATTCTGCGCAATATAGGGCTCGAGCGGCAGTTGAGCCTTCCACGGGCCGAATCAAGGTGACAGAGTTTCTGTTTGGGGTTACATGCGACGTAGCCGGCGTCGATGGCAAGCTTCCCCGCGCATTGTCCTTGCGTCCCGCTTCGGCAGGTATGTGCAGATCTGGACTACTGTAATTTGCGAGTTGGGTGAGTGAATGTCGTTGGATCTGTTTTTCCCGAGCCTTCCTTCAGCTTGGGTTCGGGACCGAGGAGTTGGCGACAACAACGGTCGCAAGTTGGCGGAACGCATGAGCCACGTCGATGTTGTGAAACCGTCGAGCCTACCTACGGAGTACTTGCAGTGCAACTCCTCATTGCTTGAGGCGAACTGCTCAGAAGGGCTCCGTTTGCCGAAAACGGGCGGCCTTCGGGAGTATCATCACAATTGGCATGACTGCCCTGTGTAGGTATGAAGTCAGAAACCTGTCCAAGCCCGAGTGTTGGTGATATTACCTCCGTACAGTCAGGTGCCTCCGTAGACGCCATGGGAATCACGACCCCTGCAAGCAGTAAGTTAGTTATTGAGAATCCGTCGCCGGATCGTGCTGAGCGATGGCCGCCGAGACCGAGGCAACGCCGTGAGCCAGACTGTTGTCGTTCTCAAGGCCACGAGTCGTGGCGCAGGCTAATTTAGCAGGCGTATGTGAGAGCTGGAGTTGGTGGTTCTGGACAGTCGGTTGGCACCATAACATCTGTCTTGAATGCTCGGAGTGCGACTCGATAAATGATGAACCACACACTGTGGGGCCTGCACCGCTGAGTTGCTGGATGTTCGCGTGGGCGTGGCTGCAGGTCACATCTCGGCATGCTTTCGCTCGACGGGCTGATCGCAGATCACTCGGTAATTTTTGCTTTTTGAACCGATCCCGTGGACCTTGTGCTGAAACACGAACGTGTACTGTGGTATGTCTGTTCTCCAGGCTGCTGGTGTTGAGCCTTTCCGATGGATGATGACTTCTCATCCAGCAGCAATGGGATAAACTGCAAGGGCTGATGAGTGGACACTTCAAACGCTATCGGTACCTATTGGTCCCATACCGGCATCTCCCGAACTTGGCTCGATTTCAGTTGTCTGAGCTTTCCAGGTCTCTGCAATGTCCATAGGAATCAACAGGGGAAGGTCCAACCGAGAAACCCCAGCGTTAGCAATTCAGGTCTCGTTGACATCACCAAAACATACCTTGTTCACTACTTCAAGCTGTTTGAAGAGAAGATTTGAAGTTGCCCACCTGACCTCTTTGCACGACCCGAAGTGTTTTGAGATTGTTGGGAAATCCGGGGATCATGATACTCGCCAAAACACCCTTGCTTGAGGGGGCCGATCGCTGGAGATTTCGTTTGGAGAGATTGCGGGCGATCATCCGCATCTCCAGCAGAGAGCCAGGCCGGTTGCTCGCTTTCTCTCCGCAGAAAGCAACACGGGCGGCCACGCTGGAATGAGACACGGCGATCGCTGTTTCTGCATGCAACGACGCGATCAAAGCAGCTTTTCCAGCCAGACCGCCACTCTTCCTTTCGTTCGCGCCTGCGATGAGCTCGTTTCATCGGCCAGATACTGATACTCGTACCGGTGCTCTGCTCGCTGCGGTGGAAGGACAAGAGATCACTTGGGTAGGCCAACGATCATTCGTCATGACACAAAACGGCTTGCAACCATTCCTGAATTTGAAGCATTGACTTTGCCGGTCCAGCTCGGCCGGTTTTCCGACTGCGGGCCCAATTTCCCTTCACGGTCCAGCTTTCCAAGTCGCGGGGCCTGACCCGATTCGTGTCACAATGTACTACGTAAGACGGGGCCCAAGGGTTGATGCGGGCTCGCTGCCGAGAACCATTGGATTGTTTCTCTGGTATCCCCAAAGGTGTAGCACTGTTGCGACTAGCATTCATCATTTTCTCGCCGGTGATGGTGGACAGTTGACGTTCCGCTCGGAAGTCAATCATTTGCACTTGCAACTGAAGCCAAATTGCGTCGCTCCTGAGCGGCCTAGGGGGGTGGAGAATCCAAGGACCGCCAGGGGTCCTTCTGATTGCCGAGGCCAGGGTGTGCCCCGGTCCGCACATGACGGCCGGGACAGCAACCAAAGTTGCGATTTGCCGTGGAAATCCACCTCCTGCCACACAGCGGAACATAAGACGCGAGATCCCGTCGGTCGTGTCGCGCAGACAGGCGGTCCCTTGCAGAGGGAAATGACATCGCCGTTGGATCGGAACCGGGGCCCCCCTTTCGTCACTGGGACAAACGTCCTGTCGGGTCCCCAAAAGCCGCTGGTTTCTCCCTTTATGCGACGACCGCAAAATCTCCACCGCTTGCCCGGGAATGCATGACGCTGCCGAAAGAATCTTTGCGCGACCAATTCCTCAAAAGACTACGTCCCTCCGAAGTTACCGCGCCGATGCCTCGATAGCAGTGATCCGAACCCCCAACAGGATACTTGAAAGCGGCACGCGAGCCGGTAGTCCTCGGCGAAGTCGGGATTAGCTCGCAATGGGGCATTCTTCGAAATTCGTCTTCCCTCTCCCAGGTCGGAAACCGAAAGCAACACCTCCAATGCCGCCTCCACCAGCATCAATTCACTTGACGACCAAAGCGCAGAGGATCCTCGGAACCTCGGAACCCTACCTCGGCTCGCTTGCGGTGCCCGCGTGGGAGACACAGTCGAACTCGGGAATCAGCATTGCAGTTACCGAGACAACAGGCGGGGCCCGGGGCCATGGCGCGAAACAAGTTGGAAGAGTCGCCTCGGGGGATTCGCGAGAGAAGCGATGGGAGCAGGAGTCAGACGTCATACCGTCGGTTTTGATCAGGCACCCTGATATCGTTGGTTCCATGGTCCCTGACGGCGCAACGGATGCATCGAGCCTGCGGCGGCGGCAGTCAAGTTCAACCATCACATCTTATTATGACAAATCCAAACAGCCGCTTTCCATATCTCAACAAACATCAAACTCGGCCATGGCGAAGGGGCTTCCAGCGAAAGCCCAGGCCCTGCTGGACATTGACGGTGAGCTCACGGAATCCGGCCAAGCTATGAAGGCGAAGAAAAAGCCTTCGAGGCTGGATTTGTCGGCCTTGCTGCAGAAACACAGGTCACCAAAGCATCTTCATCCCGATGTTACCAGGGGTCACCTTCTTGGGCATGACATGTTCACCAAATCCCCGTCCAATTTGTCTGCGTCACCCGCACCGACTCCGCCACCAGTGCAGCAGCGGACGGACCACGGCATCAGGAAGAAGCCCACAAAAGAGTCGCTGAGAGAGAATTCGGCGCAACAAGCCTCGCCGTATGGCGCCGCGAGCTGGGCAGACGGCGGTAAGGAGCAGCCCACCAAGGCTAGCTTGGAGCTGTACCATCTCTACGACCACTACGAGCAGAGAAGTTTTGCGGACGCCATGGATCAGGAGTTCCAGGGCAGTGACTTCCATCTGGAGCCTCCCACCTCCACCGCCCCCGCTGGCAACGCGTTTCTCTCCCCTTTCGCAACCAATGCATCGCGATCTGCTCATGCCTCTAAACAGCCGCCAGTGGCGGCTGTCGAGCTGAGGTTGGTGGGTGTTGGGACGCCCTCGAGCCCGGTGCCGGGTGACTGTGCCAGCGTGTCGAGCAGGCACACCAGGACATCCAAAGCATCCAAGCGGACGGACCGGAGTCTCCAGGAGCTCGACCTGCTTCAGAATAGCGTCTTGGCACTCTCATCGGACTCGGAAGATGACTACGAGCTCTCGTCCAAGGGCTCCCTCGCCGTCCCAGCACTGAGCGATGGGCAAACGAGTCCGACAAGCCCCCGATCTCCGATATCTCAGACGAGCGTGGTGGCATATGAGGGGACCCGGGGCAAACCAGCGAAACGCGCAAGCTTTGGCCTAAGCCCCCACCACTTCCCTGGCAACCAGGGGTCTGCAACTGGGAAAGGTCCCAAGATCGCCCCACGAACGAGCTCCCTGAACTCCCAAGCGTCGGCGAAGTCGGGCCATGCTTTGGTCCACGAGACATCTCGGCTATCAATTCGCACTACCTCGACGGACCGTACAGTTTCTCATGCGTCAGGATCTGGCCTTCCCAAAGCAAGCATGGCCAACAAAGCGCCAAGAAAGGTGCGTAGCGAGTCGCAGTTCGACTTCCCAGCCCCGCCAGTAAACCGGGGCGGTCGGTCAGGGTGCGCTTCCCGAGCATCGGAACACTCAACCCCGGTGTCGCCTACCAGCGTGGACATTCCAGTTTACATGCAAAGCCTACCGTCGCCACCGAGTCTCGACAACGGATCGATACGCAGCGGGACGAGCTTGGGCAGTGCCGCAAACCGCCGCAACAGCGCGGCCAGCAGCATCCACGATGGTAGCAGCGGACGGTTCATGGCGGTCACGCGACAGGAGGAGATGCTGCTAGCGGCGCTCCGAATGAAACGGGCGCGAATGCGGGAGGACATCATCGCAGAATTTGAAGAGGAGATGGACCGGGAGGAACATCAACTCAGCCGCCAGGTGACCAACGAAAGCATCTGCACAGCCGGCAGCATGTCGAGGCAGTCCTCGAGGAGCACGATGCGCCAAGAGGTCGGGGCATTGAGCGCGCGGCCACGACAACAAAACCAAGCAAACGCAGCCGAGAAGAAGGGCATGGGGGAGCCATTGACGCTCCAGATTGACCGGAGATCGTACGAACCGTCTCTGCGTACGCCAGCTTCGGATAACAGCAACTTCATCCATGTTGACGAAGGCATCGCCATGCCAGGCCCCGGCGGGCTCGAGCGGAATAACAGCAGAGCAAGCTCGACCAACAGTCCGAAGTCTGGTTCGACGAGGCAGCGAGCGTCGTTAAGCGCCTTGGCAGCGCCTGCACCGCGGAGGCCGCACCGGAGGGATGCCGGTGCTTCTCGGCGGGTGTCGGAACAAGCCAGTCCAAAGGGGCAAAATGATCTGCCCCACCGGATATTGGAGGATCCGGCGGAAGACGACGATGTTGGGATCCCACGGCCCGATTCGCCCATCTCGCCGGCCGACTTCCCAACACCAGTGTCGATCAAGAACAAGAAGCAAGTGAGGTTGAGCGCGGTGGGCTTCTACAAGCCCGCCACGGAGACAGGGTGGTAGAGCTAGAGAAGATACGGCAAGCACAGTGACAAACGGTCACATTTTTCCTTGGTCATTTGCAGCGTGGCGCACCGAGATATGGGCGGCGGCACAGTCCTACAGCACCTGGAATTTCCTTGACAGATCTCGAGGGTAAAGGAGGAGAAGGACAGTTTTTGGATACGGGGAACTCGGGCATGACATGACGACCCGAGGGCTCAGCGCAACACTCGCTTCATTCGGTGCTGGCCCGGAGGCAGGTCCCAGGGGTTTGTTTGGGAGAGGTAGACAGTTATACCCTTGTAATCGAACAACCCTGATGACGTGCATGCATGCGGCATGCTTCAATATACCCTAATTTCTCATTCGGGGGAGGCCATCTTCTGGCAGGTGTTGCGTGATTGAAGCCCGATGTGATTCAGGGGTAGTGGTTTCCACACCATCTCATTGCAACCTGCCCGGTCAACCACGATATCGTTCACCGCACCGCTAACCGCAAAAACGCCTCAGGGAGCACAGCAAATAACAAGACACCGATTCTCCTCCAGCAGCCTCTGGTTCCAAGCACGCCCCGCCGACCACCATCACCGCAGCCTCGCCTGCCGCTCCAGCTCCTCCCGGAAGACGTTCCTCCCACCACCACCACCACCACCACCACCACCACCACCCAACTGCTCCGTGCCTGCCGCGCTGCGTCCAGTAGGCGACCAACTATACCGATCCGTCAGCTGAATAGCACCCACGACGTTCGTCTCCGATTTGTCATGCCCCCACGACGGCCCGACCGTAGCCGTACCTTTACCATGATGGCCAACCCTCTCCCCGCGGCTCTGCCGCACCCCATACCCGCCGCCGCCAACCGCCGACCACCTGCTTCTCCTCAGCAGCGCCCCGATCACCGGCAGCACCGGCATCTGCCCGTGTCTGCGCCATGCAAACACAAACGCCGCGCCCAGTAGCACTAGCACGCCGACGACGGTGACGGGCAAGGCGATAGCGACTGTGTTTGTGTTCGCGTTTGTGTTTTTGTTCGTTCCCCCGTTTTCGCTGTTACCGCCGGAGCTACCAGGCTTGGGGCTACTGTCACTGTCCTCCGTGACATACACGGTCGGCCCTACGCGGCGGTCTAGGTCGTTTGTCGCGGGCGTGTCGTTGTCGGCGTAGGCGAGGACAAAGGTGATGGTGGTGTAGTTGTGCGAGGAGGAAGTGTTGCCGCGCGAGGAGAGGAAGTGTGCGGGGACAGTGAAGGGGTGGAAGCCTGTTGATGCCGGGATCTGCCAGGGGGAGGTGTAGCCTATTGTTTCTGTTTTGGCGTTGGGGGAGGATTCGTTGGTAGTGGAGGAGGAGGAGGAGGAGGATGAGTAGAAGGCTTGGAGGTAGAGCGGGAGGGTTGGTGGGGAGAAGTAGGTCGGGGACCAGGTGACTTTGTTCCACGACGTGTTAGGGTCAGTTTTGCCTGGCTGGATGGCTGCTGAGTGAGATAAGGCAGGGGATGGGGGACGTACTGTAGTATGTCTTTCCAGGGTGCAGTTCGCTGCCGGCCTTGGGGAGGCAGAAGGGCTCGACTGGCCCGACGTTGGCGTTGGAGTCGCACGCGGGGAAGACGCCGGCCAGGCTGTTGCCTGTGCCTGTTGCCGACGCGATGGGCGCCAGACCGGTGTAGGTGGATGCGCGGCCATCCGGGGAGAGCGTGTACGTTGCGGTGGTGCGGAGGCTGGACGGGGCTTCCGAGACCGTCGCCCGGTGGCCTTCGGTCGTGATCACGGCCGGCTTGATTGTCTTGGCGGAGCCCGAGGCGTCGACGGTCACCCATACTATGGGGCCGGGATCGACGGTGACGCCGCCTGCTTGTGGCTGGGCGAGGGTATGGTGGAAGAGGGTGGATGTGACGGCGAGGTGCCGGAAAGTCCTGATGCTCCTCATGTTGCCCCGTCTTTCGTAACGCGAGGGAGGGAGCGAGCAAAGGAGAGGATTCAAGGTGTAAGTCACTCCAGTCAGAACAATTTCAGTTCTTTCGCTCAACCCAGTGTAGGCGACGGGGGGGGGTCTCGAAGATGTATCTGCCGGCTAAGAAACAGAGTGCCCAGCCTGCTCAGCTTCACGCAAGACGACCATTTGGATCCGGAGTCCGGAAAGACAACAACACGACACTGCAGTAGCTGGGTAACGACCTGTCTGACAGCCACTTGGGATGATTCCCGGAGCCGGATCCTGGAAGACAAAGCAGACACCAAGACAGAACCAAGGACTTTGTGGGGGTTAAGCTGCACTACAGGCTCAATCTTGCCCCTCGGAACCCACGACCCCGCCTCTGCAGTTTAAGCCGTCTGTGGGATTTGGAGCAAACCTTGAACTGGACGTGATGCCGGGCAGCAGCAGAGTGGCGGGACGTGCATATGGATGCCGTCCATTTTCGGTCCAGTGCAACCCCTCGAGGTGCCAACCACCAATATCTCATCAACACAGCGAGGGATGATTGGTGGGAGGAAGCCTCTCTGCACTGGTTTTGCGGGGAAACGGCATGAGCACGCCCCCCGAGCCGTCCCTAGAGTCCGTGACTATCGAGTAGTTACTCATTGCTTCCATGCTGAGGAACAGGACGCCAAGCATGCCGTTCTTGGCCGGCAGTCAGGCTCATGTGTTGGAGGAGACGTCTAAGTGGTCGGACGAAGGCGAACATCAGAGAATATGGCAGAGAGTGAGCCATATCTCTCCCCGCATCGTGATTGTTGGGACCAGACGGTCCGGCCCCGCTGTCTCCTCGCACAGCTCGTTACCGCCCTCCCGGTTCAGCACTTTATCAGGCCTGACTTCGCTCACACGTGGACGAGGGGTCTTCCAGATGGTTATCTCTCTCCTCCGACTACCGGAATACCATTGGAGGAATTGGAATCCCTTCACAACGGCAGCATGAGGAACACAGGAGTCAGTGGTGCTCTTGCAGCCGGCTTATACGCCACGGCGGCTGTTGCTCAGACGCAATGCTCCAACATTCTTGTGCCGACATACTCACCTCCGGTCGTCGCCAGCGGATGGCAGGCGCAGCTAGTCGCCGGCGGTCTGACCAAGCCTCGGAGCATTGCTTTTGACAGTACCGGCGCTCTGCTGGTCGTCGAGAGCGGGCAAGGCATCAGCCGGCACAGGTTCACCGACAACGGCGGGACATGTCTGGCGTCCAACCACTCGCACATGCTGGTTGATCTGGCGACAGTAAGGTTTCCATGAAAGCAAAGACTCCATCGAGCCATGCTAAGCACTCAGCTCAACCACGGACTCGCCCTTTCCAATGACGGCAACACCATATACGCCTCGTCGGCTGAAGCCGTCTTTGCATGGGCCTACGACGCTAGAGGCGGCAGGGTCACCGGCCAACCACAGACAATCGTCGCCAACATGAGCAACAGCGACCTCGTCACTCGTACGCTCCTCATGTCCAAGAAGCAGCCCGGCACACTGCTCGTGTCCCGCGGCAGCGGCGACAACGACGCGATCCAAACCGAGGATGTTACCAACGGCCTGTCGCAAATCCGCGCCTTCAACCTGACCAATCTCACCTCCAGCTCATCACCCTACAACTTCAACACTGATGGCGCCGTCCTCGGTTGGGGCCTGCGCAACAGCGTCGGTGTGAGCGAGCACCCCGTGACGGGCGGCATCTACGCCGTCGAGAACAGCGTCGACGGCGTCCAGCGCAACGGCGTCGACGTGCACGAGAACAACCCCGGCGAAGAGCTCAACTTCCTGGGCTACCTGAATGGCACCCAGGGCGGCACCGGCAACTTTGGGTACCCGCACTGCTTTGCCGTGTGGCAGGTGGACGAAATTCCCGAGAACGACGGGCTGGCCGTCGGCAAGCAGTTCGCCGTGCAGGAAAACAGCACGCTCCGCGACGAGACGTGCGCCGAGGACTATGTCCCGCCGAGGCTGACCTTCCCTGCGCACTATGCGCCGCTGGATATCAAGTTTTCGGCGGGCGGCGAGGAGGCGTATATCACATTTCGCGGGAGCTGCAAGTCTTTTCCTCCCTCCATTCTTCGCTTGTTAGTTCCATGGGGCTGACAGAGTACAGTCGACCGGTCTTCGCCCGTCGGATATCGTCTCTCGTCCATCGCCTTCAACGCCGCCACCGGCGAGCCTGTTGCTGCGGCGGATAGTAATGATGCCCTCACTGATGTGCTGACCAACCCGGACAACACTGCCTGCCCAGACAGGTGCTTCCGGCCGGTCGGCCTGGCGTTTGACAGCGCCGGCAGGCTGTGGATGTCGTCGGACTCGACGGGCGAGATCTACGTGCTGCAGCGGACGGGCGAATCGGGCAGCGGGACGTTCGTGCAACCGAGTGGTGGGAGCGGCAGCGGAAGTAACAGTGGAGGAAACGGCGGCGGCAGTGACAACGCGGCGGCTGGGCTGCGGGCCAGTGAGACAGCGATGACGGACTGGATGATCGCCGCTGCACTTGGTGTTTGGTTGGCGGTGGTCTGAGTAGACTGACAGATACTCTGCTTTTTCGTCGTCCCACTCACTGCCAATAAACTGTTACAGAATCAACCTCCATCAAATTGAACATTCACTGACCTACCTCCTCACAGCCTCGCCCTTCTCCCCATAGCTATCTATACCTCCAAAACAGGTCCCTGATCCCCATAGATCGGATCCTTCTCAAACCACCCCAATCTCTTAATCCCCTGCACCCTCCCCTCCTCCCCCTCCCGTCCATAACACATATCCCACTGCTCTCCGCCCACGGGATACCCTCCCACCATCTCAAACCGCCCACTACATGCACCCCCCTCGTCCTCCCCCTCCTCCTCTCCAGCAGCAGCAGTCGGCCCGGACGACGACGACGACGACAAATCCGCCACAAGCCTATGCGCAACCCCCGCCGGCAGGACAATCACATCCCCGCGCTCCACCACCGTCTCCACCGCACCGGGGTTCCCCTCCCCGCCAAAGAGCAGCTTCGCCCTGCCGGAAAAGACACAGAGCACCTCGTGCGTGGTGCTGTGGAAGTGGCTGGTCGCGTACATGCCGTACCGCCACTGCGGCTCGACGGCGCCGACTTGGCGGAGGTGGCGTTCTATGGTTTGCGCTGCCTTCTCTGAGACAGGCAAGTTGGGGAAGGCGCGGCGGTAGAGGAGGAGGGGTTTGCCTGTGCCGGTGGTTGGCGAGCTGTTGGGGATCGGCGAGGTTGGGTGGGGTGGGATGTGGTGCGTTTCTGTAGTGAGGGAGGGGAGCGGTGTGATGGTGGGAGAGGGTTTGGATGGCATGGTTCCGGTTGTGAAGGGTGATGGGTTGCTGAGAAATGTGTGAGATCGCTGGATGCGGACGGGCAAGCGGCCGGTTGACGGGGTGGTGTCAAGGAAATCGTCGGTGCTAGCCTCTTTGTCACAGGATGAGGACGAAGATCGAGTGAATTGGGTGGACGGTAGGCTCTGAGAGAGATATCAATAAGGCCTGGCTCGTGAAGTGGGTTATTTGTAGCGTGGCACAGGGCAGGCGCTGAAGAGAAATAGGAGAGATAAGAAGTGAGGAACGAAGGAGGATTGGAAAAGGAAAGGAAAGATACAGACAAGCACGATAAGAAGTAGGTGATGAAGAGGGAGAACATAAAAGAAAGAAACACGACAAGATACTGAAAAACAGAACCAAGAGCTAAATGCCTAGGTACCTTGAGTTTTACGCGAACAGACCTGGAATGAACTGTAAGAGTTTTGATAAGAGGGGAGGTGTTGAGAAGTTGTGAAAAACGCCTCGGCACATGCCACGAGAGCCAGGGTGTCTGTCATTTGCAGCAAGACCTCGCGCAGCTCGATTTTAACCGATGTCAGGCCTGCTAGTCCAACAACGCACGCTTGAACCGTTTGTTAGAGGGGTAGTCGGGAGGATGGATCGTACATTACATTATTTTGTCCTGCATTTTAACAGAGTAACAGAGGCGACAAACATGAAATGCATCCAAGGCCTTAGACGCCGCTACAGTGCCCCACCCTTCGACTTCAGTCCCTTATTACGTCATAAGTTAGATCATGCTCAAGCCGTGGAAGGCAGTCAAGGTGCAGAATTACAAACCTAGCCACTCAGGGTAAACGGTCAGTGATGATTCTGGCACCAAGAAGCCAGAGCCCTCGGCCATGTCCTACCTTATGCATGGGGCGCCTTCGGCCTCAGCTCGCTCGCGAGCCCCCGAATCCCCTTCTGCTCCTCCGGACTCAGGACAATGCCAAAGTACCTCTCCAACGCTTTCACTCTCTGCTCCTCGCTCTCGAGCTGCTCGATGATTTCAGACACGAGTCCCATCCGCCGCTTAACGTAGTCCCGGTGCAGGATTAGCAGCCCGACAGACTTCTCCTTCTTCTCGTCCGGAATCGTGCGCATGCACATGACGCTCTGCACGAAAAAGCTTTGCGGCGTGGTCATGGTCCGCAGGTTCATGACCTCGAAGTCGCCGGGCATGAACTCGATTTCGACAAAGTGGTACCTATCCATCCACGGCGCGTCCTCGTTCTCCTGCGTCGAGAGGAGCCACACGCGCTGATTTGGTTCCGAGTGCTCCTCGAGCTTGCGGTACTGCAGCCGCCCTCGCATAGGAGCTATCCCGGTGAACTCGTGACCATCCTCCAGCGGAACCGGATGGGGAGGCCCGTTGGACCCGAACCCGACGTCGACCAGGTAGCGCTGGCCTTGGATGGTGACGAGGTTGACCATGTGGTCCCTATACAGTCATTAGCGAGGGTATAACTGGTTGGGACTCCCAAAATAACCCTACCACCCCGTGTATCCGCTCGGGGTCTTGACTCTTCCACCGACGCTGAAGAGCGTGAAGCCGAGACCGCGCAGAACAGCGGCAAAGAAGGCGTTGACCTCCATGCAGTAGCCGCCCCTGCCAGTCCCGACAATTTTGGTAAACAAGTCCTCCGGGTCCAAAGACAAAAGCCGGTGTCTTGAATAGTGCAGCGAGAGGCTTTCGAAAGGCACGCGGGCCGTGTGAAGGGTTTGCAGGGTCGTCAGACACCCAAGAGGGTCTTGGGCTGCATGCTGCCGAGCATCCCCACGGTATCCGATATACTCCAGATACCGGGAGAGCTGTTTTTCGGTGTAGGCGTGCATTTTGTTGGGGGAGAGTGTGTTGCTTCAGTATCAAAGGTTTCACAAAGGGTGTCTGTCTTGTGTCGAGTCAATTGAAACGAGACAGGCACAGCGGCTGAAAGCTTCGGCTGGGCTTTTAAACCTTTCCCCGCAAATGCCCTACGCTATAACACCACTGCAAACGGCGAGAAGCTCGGCAACCGACATGCTCCGAGGTCGCCATAAGCTCGGACACTCTGCAACATGCGCTCACGTTCATGGAAATTCGTAAGCGGCGGCCACGATGGGCTCGGCGGAAAGCTGTCGAGTTCTCGTCCCTTTTTTGTATTACTAAGACGATCAACAACGAAGGGCCCGATTTTGCCATTTCGGGAACCTACGCGAGGCTTGGCATTTTACTCGTTCTTGCCAAGACAGCACGATCAAAAGTTACCGTTGCCAACGCCCAAGGGGCTGTCAGTGTCGTGATGACTTCCAACAGTTTCCAGTCCGGGGCGAAGCCACCAAGGTCATTGAAGAGGGTAAAAGTCAAAGAAATGCGAACCTGCCCTGATGGGCATGGATCGCGCCCAGGCTGCGAAAACCCCCAAAATCCCCAGCCAGCCACCGCCACGTCATGATTGCAGGAGCCAAGAGACCTAAAGAGCCGAGACAAAGTGACCTCCTTCCCACCTCCCTCACACATCCCCGTACCTCAAGCGAAAATCATGCTCGTGCCGCATGTATAGGGTGGACTACTTAAAAAATCAACTGACGTATTCAAGTCATCATTGGATGCGGCATCAAACATGGAGCAACGATACAAACTTTGAAATGCAGTTTTGTCTGTTGCAGAGACAATTGGCTCCCAATAATTGATTCCCTTGGTCCGCCAATATGGAACCTGGAATCGCCTTACTTGAGACTAATTCGAAGCGTGCCCGCCAGGCCCACGATCCGAGGACATGCTGGAGACGGCAATTTCAGTCATCAGCTTCTCCGGGTAGAGTGCCCTGCCCTGCGTTGCCTTGCACTGGTCGCAGGCCCCAGCAGTAGGTCAATACAGCCGAGGCGTAGTCACCATCCAGTCGGCGCGGAGCTTGACAATCGAGCCATCACCTGTGCTGACATCAGTTACCAAGGTGACGCTGCACTGCTGGTGTGGCTTGGAGCGGGCGGCAAGTCATGATTCACTCCATGACCGTGTCAAAGACGACATCACTCAACCGGTCGCACGGCGGCCGGAGTACGTCAATGACCTCGCCGGCGGAGCCCCGAATCCGCCGGTTCGAGTCGGCCAGTGGATGATCAAGTCCAGGAACCACGGCGGTATGTGTTGGACGAAACAATGTTGATCGATGGTAGGTCTCTGTCCCTGAGACTATTTAAACAGATACAATTCATCAAGACTGATCTTGAGCAGCTCTCCCTTCCGGGCGGACCTTTGCCTCGGCCGAGCACACGGCAAAGGGACGTACCATAACAGGAAAGCTGAAGGCGCGTACCTCGGATGGAACTGAGGAACTGTACTTTGTCAATGTTTGTGAAATCTGCCCCATGAAACCCAAGGCTCTTCTTCGGCTACTATCTGACCATTGGCAGATCGCATTCGGGGAAACCGGCCGCATCTTATTCCACGGCGAGTTCGAGTCCTCCAAGGTCATCCACGGTATCATCAAGCCAGGTCTCATTTCCCCCCCCCCCCCCCCAAAAAAAATTGCATTTGACGAGGTCAGGCTCCAGGACCCGCCCACCTTCTTCTACCTGTCAGAATACGTTGGCATGAACGCCACCTCCGTTCCAGTCAAGGCCCAGCCGAGTCCACTAGCCAACTAGCCCAGCTACGCAAATCAAAGCTGAACGCCCAACCGCAAGTTCGGGTTTCAAATTCCGACCTACGAGGCCTACATGGAGAAGTACCCCCTGGCCGAGCCGGCGGACGAGTTCAATGACCGGAACCCTCTGTACAGCCTCAAGGGCGCCATCAAATACTCCGCAGGTCATCCGGGGAGCGAGCTGAGGAAGACGTGAGTGGCCCTTTGGCCCCTTTTTGCAGCGAGCGCCAGTCCGACTGACATGGCGGAAATGGCGTACAATAACATGTGCTCTCTCTGCAAGAAGTATGCGCCAGTCGCGGGGATCGCCAAGTATGAACCGGCTATTGACCCAGAGCTCACGGGACCTCAAACTGTGCCCCATCAGGACACTAGGACGATCTGATCTGACTGCGGAGAGCCATGATTTCATCGCAACAAATCAAGGCATGAGATTCGGGATGCGGCGCCAGCCATACATCTGAAAGTAGCATGGATTTCTTATGATTGCAACGTGCAGCTCATGCCTCCAAGCCACGAAACTCCAACCCTACAATCACAGCAGGTACTCATCAAACCAGGTGACGGCCTGGGCAAAGGCCTGCTCCTTGGCAAACTTCTGCACCTTGATGCTTGGGTCGCAGCGGACGGCGAAGCCGTGCTGGACCTGCGAAAACAGGTTGATCTGGTACGGTTGCCCGACCTTCTTGAGGATCTCCTCGGACCGGTGGCGCTTCTCGGCGGGGAAGATGGTGTCGGTCTCGGCGGCCGAGATGGCCAGCGGGCCCGTGATGGCCTCGAGCTCGCCCTCCTCGACGAAAGACGGGTGGGCCACGTAGCCGACCTTGATGCCGTCCTTGTAGTGCCGCACGACGTACTGCAGTAGAAAGGCTGGGTGTCAGCATCCATGATCGCCTCCTCCTCTTGGCAGTCCAGTTCAGGCATACCTTGGCCCCGAAGCAGTAGCCTACGGCACCGAGCTTGGTAACACCATATTCCTCCTTGAGCGCCTTGATGCCCTCCACCACGATGGGATCAACATGCTCCTTGGTGTGCGGGTTGTTGCCGTCAGAGCCCTTGGCGATCCACGCCATGATGTCGAAGTCGGCCGGGCGGTTGAGCGGGAGCGGGTCGCCGTTGAAGACGTCGAGGAGAAGAGTCAGGTAGCCGTTGGCGGCGAACTGGTCGGCGATGAGCTTGCTATTTTGCCAGATGCCGATGACGTCCGGGATGATGAGGATGCCGGCACCCTGGTGTGCATTATCGGCAGGCGGGGTCGCAACGTACGCATCATACTTGTCGGCGACCCTGACCATCTTGCCGGTAGGCGTTCCACTATATTGCCCCGTTAGTGACCCACAGCAAGCCGCTTGCAAGTGTAGAGGGGAAGGAACATACTCGTGCTTGAAGCCGACGGTGCAGCATCTTCCGGGGGGATTCGAAGCCATGGTGAAGGTGAAGGAGTGGCGCAATGTCGAGGCAGCAATCTTTGCTTTGAAGGAACCTGCAACGAAAACGGAGAACGGAGATACGATAGCAGTGGGATGCAGTGCTCTTGGGTGCACTGCGCGAGGTTCCGAGCACCTGGAGGCTCTTAAATTTGCGTAGAAAAAGCTAGAAGCCGGTATCGTCGGATCGGGTCCTGCCCCGGCACTTACCCCTCCCCTCCTACAGGTACTGCACCTTACCCCTCCGTCCGTTGATCCAGCATGGAAGTGCACCCCACCAGCTCGTGCTATTTCGGCGTTGCACTAACGCGAGACGAGGAAGAGCTTTGTGTAATATTGGAATCCCAGGCACTACAGCCGTGAAACGCGTTGAGTCGAGATTGGGGTGCACCTTGAACGGATGTAATCATTTGCAAGTTCCGATTTTAAGATGGCCACAAGATCACTTGATACAATGCAGTTAGTTGGAACCCTGAGCCATCATTCCGGAAAGATTGGCTCGAAGAGATTCCCAAGATTCATCGACAGGGAAAGAGCAACGCGTCCCTGGGAACCCCAGAAAATAGCGGAGCGGATTCCCTGCCAAGACGGGAAGCTGCGGGCTTGGCTTCCAACTGTCGGATCATCGGATGGGAAGCGGAAAGTGGCATCGCTGTTCTTTGTGCATCGCAACTGAACACCCAACTGCAATCGCTCCCGTCTTTCTCGTCATCCAATATTTGTCAACACATGCTACGAGTGTGTGCCCGTAATCGATTAAGGAACCAGTAACGATGTAACGCGACCTCATTCGTTTTTCCCTAGAGAGGACACCAATGGAAAGCACAGGGCAGGGCGCTGCCGAGGCGCCGTCGTTGGCGAATGACGTGCACATTGTTGAGGACTCGACTGCTGCATCCGCATCTAGAACTGGCAGACTGGGCATTGCAAGGAACACAAATGACAGCCAACAAACATCCGCCCATCTTCCATCTCCGATTGCAACCCAGAGCGATCCACCTCCGAGACCTCGAGCAGAATCGAACATACCTTGTGAACAGACGCTTTCAAGTCCGAACATAGGCGTACCTACTCCCGACCCGTCCAGCGACAGCCAGAGCGATGCCGACCCCTCCCGCGAGCTTCCCTCCGTCGGGTCGGCCGCATCGGGTCCTGTGCCCGGGAAGACCCAGGCCACCAAGTCGCGGACCAGATCCAACACAAAGACGAGCAACCCGGATGGTGTTAGGCGCCTGTCCGCCTCCAAGATGCAGGAATTGACCACCGCCCCGGGGTCGCTCCCTGTTGCCGGTATTACTCCGCGCACAATAAGTGATGCTCCGCTGACGGCCGGCATTGTTGAGGCAAGCATGCGGCTGTCCAGGGCGACAGAGGGCTACGCTTCGCAGCCAAGCCAAGCCGACGTGCTGCCATCAGCACGAAAAGGAGGGTTAAACCCGGGGACAGCGCCGGCACGGCCAGCAGTAGGCTCTCGAACCGTGTCGACGCCGCCCTTTGGCCGAAGCGAGACTGCAAACCAGCGCTCTCGCCGCAACTCGTTCCAGCCAGCGCCCCGGCCGGCGCCCCTGAACCTCGACGGCCGAAGCAACCACGCGGCAACCACCACCGTGACCGGTGCGCAGCCTCCAAAAGCCCCGGACGAGCCGGCCCCGCCATCCCCGATCCCGCCGGCGATACCGTTGCCCCCAATGTCCATCCCCACCCTATTGCAGCTAGAGCTGGCCGGGCAGCGACCAAGCCCGTTGTATATCCACCACTCATACACCAGCGACATACCGTACGAATCCAGTGCCATCAAATTTGAGCGTCTCAAGAACTTCCTGCTGCTGCCCTGGTTCCTCGAGAGGGCCATGACGTTTGGCGCCGCCGCTTGTTTTGATGCCTGGCTGTGGACTTTTACCGTTCTGCCCATGCGCTTCTGCATCGCTGCGTCTGTGTTGGTGCGATGGTGGGTTTATGTCGTTGGCAAGGAGATTAGGTGGATAGTGGGTTTTGTCTGGTACGGACTGGGACGGATGTGGCGTCGCGGACGTCGGGGACGTGCCAGATCAGAGCCTAGCGGCCAAGATCATCAGACCACCACTTCGAGAAGTAGGAGCCGCGTACCGGCTTCCGCTCCCAATGGAACTACTAATGTTGTCGTTGGCACATCTGGCGCTGATACAACATTACCCCTCCCAGAGAGATCGCGTCCCGGCAACGGCACGGTGCCATCGTCCATAAGACCAGGTGCTATTCCTACCTGCTCATATCGACATCGCCGGACGAAGTCCAGCCCCTCGAATCTGACTTCCTTCCACAAGGCCGACCTGCTGCAGGGCGCCATCCTCATCTGCAGCTCTGTTGCCTTGATGAACCTCGATGCCAGCCGCATGTACCACTTCATTCGGGCCCAGTCTGCCATCAAGCTGTATGCTATCTACAACCTCCTCGAGGTCGGCGACCGGCTGCTGTCTGCTCTCGGCCAGGACATATTCGAGTGCCTGTTCAGCACCGAGACGCTGTCGCGAAACAGCTCGGGTCGCTCAAAGGTGATGCTGCCGCTGGGGATGTTCCTGCTCGCCCTCGTCTACAACGTCCTGCACTCAGTCATTCTGTTCTACCAAGTCATTGCCCTCAACGTGGCCGTCAACTCGTACTCCAACGCACTCCTGACCCTGTTGCTGTCGAACCAATTCGTCGAGATCAAGAGTGCCGTGTTCAAGCGCTTTGAGAAGGAGAACACGTTCCAGCTCGCCTGCGCCGACATTGTTGAGCGCTTCCAGCTGTGGATCATGCTGATCATCATCGGCATGCGCAATGTGGTTGAAGTGGGCGGCCTCTCTGTGCCTGGGGCCGGCAGCGAGGACAGCGGGCCGAGCAGCCTCCCACTGCACACTTCGTCCATCCTTCCAGCCAGCTTCACCATCCTGCCGTCGTGGCTGTGGTCAGGCGAGGTTCTGTCGCCGTTCATCGTGGTCATTGGCAGCGAGATGATTGTCGACTGGATCAAGCACGCCTACATCAACAAGTTTAACAATATCAAACCGACCTTTTACGGCAGAATTCTGGACATTCTTTGCAAGGACTACTACACCAATGTAAGCTCCCTTTTCTTGTCTGCTGCGCTGGCCCTAGCTGACGTTGACTTCCTCCCAGGCCTTCGTAACCCCTTCCCTAACCCGGCGCCTCGGCCTTCCGCTCCTTCCGCTCTCGTGCCTCTTCATCCGCGCCTCAGTCCAAATCTACAACATGTTCCTCGCTACCCACCTACCAACGCCCCTTCCCCCATCAAGCCAAACCTCGCTCTCAGTCGAAAACGCAACCCCCTCTCCCGCCATGCTAGCTGCCCTCGACCGGCTAGATAACCTCATCCGCACCGCCCTAGGCCGCTCGGTATTCGGCTATCCCTACGCGGCGGACTTCTCAGAGAATGGCACGGCCGATGGGCCTTCGCCTGCAACCACCGCCGCCGCCGCTTTCTCGAGGCTGTGGGAATTCTTCCCCTTCACCAGCGACGATTGCATCGCGGCGCTGACCATGGTGGTTGTCTTTTTGCTCATCTTCCTCGTCCTGTTGGTCGTCAAGCTGCTGCTGGGCATGGTGCTGCTGCGGTATGCCCGGGACAGGTATGCGCGGATGAAGGTCAAAGAGCATGCCGTTGCGGCGGGCCGGGCCGAGAGGGAGTCGTTTGATGCGCAGGGGAAGCGTGTGGGTGGGTATGGGCAGGTCGAGGTTGGCGAGGAGAGGAGACGGTGGATCTTTGGGGATGATGTTGAGGGGTTGAAGAAGGCGAGGGAGAAGGAGAGGAAGGCGGAGGGGAACGTGGAGAGGGACAAGGAGAAGGATTTTGGGAGGGTTATGAGGTATGAGATGGTTGCGAGGAGAATCTGGTAGGTCTTGGTGAGGGCTGTCGGGTGTTGTGAATTCAGCGTATTGTGACTTGTGTGTATTGCATGGCGTTTTTAGAGTGCGGTGTAAATCCAGATAGGTGCCTCTTTGCATTGATAGCCTGTCTATTCCCCCTTCCCTTTCCCTACCAACTGACTCTGTAACCCCCGTTTGTCAACGTGCATCGCCCGCTCCAGCTCGCGCTCCTCGTCCCGCAGCCGTGCCCGCTCAAAATGCAACTTCTTCTCCTGTCGCCTCTTCTCCTCGGCCACGGCCCGCTCCCGCTCCTCGAGCGCCTTCTCCCGCTTGCACCGCTCGTCCCGCGCCTTTCTGGCTGCCTCGTCCTCATGCTCCGGGCCGGCTTCGCCCGTCTCGGATGGCGGGCCTAGGCCCTGGATGTATGCTTCGACGAATGGGTCGCGCACCTTGGGGTCCAGCGAGATGTACCGGATATCCGCCAGAATTTGGGGTGGGAGGTGCGAGATGAGCGTTTGGTTGTTGAGCGCCGACAGCGGCACCGACTCGAGCAACTTCTTCAGGTCGGCCTTGAGCGTCGCCTGCGGCAACTTCAGCCGGTGAATGTGCTCGCGGTACCACTTCTCGCGGTCCTTGTCCGACAATTTTGGGTCCTTCATGGCGTCTTCCTTTTTGTATTTCCTCCGGAACTCGGGCCAGTACAGCTTAGGCGTGGCTTTTTCCTGCAGGAACGCCATGTAGGGGATGCGCGGGTCCTTCTTTTCTTCTTTGGCGCGCTGCTCTTTGAGCTGTTGGATCTTGGCGCGCGACCATTCCTCCCAGACTTCCTTGCGCGCCTTAGTCGTTGGTAGGACCGTGTACCGCGCGTCGTCAAAGATCTTGCCCTCTTCCATGAGCTTGTCCCAGGGGCTGTACGGATTGATGCCGAAGTCGTTGAGCAGGTCCTTGAAGAGCTCGCGCGCGTCTTCGTCGGACAACGGGAGCCCCTCGTCGCCTTCTTCCCAGCCCCCGTCGTCGCCACGCTCACCCATCTCGATGTCGTCGTACTCGGCGCCCATTGCGGCGAGTTGCGCGGCGATGTCGGCTTCGGTGAATTCGGCAGGGCCATCGTCGACGGCGGCGGGCTCCTCGGTGCGCTGTCGTTTGCCTGCGCCGCCTTCTCCGTCTTGGTCGTCGTCTTCGGCGCCCTCGTCGTCTGTCACTTCGACTTCTTCGTACTCGGAGCTGTCGTAGTCGTGCGCCGCCTCCTCTTGGTGCGCTTCAGTGGGGGGTGACGCGGATTTTCCGGCGCCTTCTTCTATTTTTCTTGGTCCCTGCTGGTCCGGCGTCTTCCCCTCGGCCATTTCCCGGATGCGCGCCTTGTCAAGCTCAAGGATGGCGGGCATGAGCTTCTCGGGAATGCGCCAGTAGCTCGCGTTCTTTACGGGGTTGTAGACAAAACGGCGGCCGAACTTGGTGTAGACGAGGACCCACGGTTCGCAATCCGGAATAGCCACCTTTGACCGCGGCTTGTCGACAGGCTGCGGGCGCGGCCTGGGTTGAAACCCGCCTCTGCCTCCGGCGCCAAAGCTTCCGCGCTGACCTTGTTGTTGTGGCTGGCCATACTGGGCCATGAATGCGTTCGCGACAGCTGGGTCCGAGAGGTTGATCTGAGGGACCATTTGATGCTGAACGTAGCTGGTCATGGCCGGGATCACCGACGATGGCGCTGCCGCCGGGACAGGCATTGGGACGGCGGCAGGCGGCGCAATGCTCGGCCTCTTGTATGTGCTTTCCTTTGTTGTCGCATTGTAATAGTACGTGTGCCCTGTTGGCGCCTTGTGTTCGGTCCAGCCTTGGGGGAGCGGTAGGAGAACGCCGGGCGCGAGTTGGTGGGTGGATTGGAGCATCGTGGGCGGGCTTGTACTGATGGTCGAGCGTTGTTAGGGTGCAAGCCAGTGCGATCTGCCAGAGCTGTCGATATGCTTGGAGCTTGCCGACGCGCATGTCCCATCGATATTAAAGTGGGTCACATGCAGCTGTGACCGCCGGAAACGCCAGTTCACCCCCCGGTCCCCCGGGGATTTTCCACGCCTGCAGGCACACCAGAGACCTGAGAAGCCACAGCCGGCAACAGCCGGCAAGTTCTCCCCGAATGACATCACTGAGAGACCTTGATGGAGGAGCCCTGAACTACACGTGTAGTGTACCTGGGTAGTCTTCACCACACAATCGCAGTCTCGACTGCTTGGAGAGCCAAGTGAAGTCCTACAGTAGTCCAGAAATGTCCAGAGGTGTACTATTGAATGATGCGGATGGGGTACAACCTGAGTAGTACCTACTGCGTAGCAAGTGTTCTCTTTGTCGCCTCAAACCACCAATGCTTGCTCCAGGCTCCAGTCCCTCAAGTTGTTTACTTACCACCATCCACACAAGCTGCTGGCCTTTTCCTCCATGCTGTTGAGATTGCTGAAGCCTGCTTAGGAGTCCCCTTTTTGCATAGAGGCCCCAGAACCTTCATTCCGACATGGGACTATGGTGAAGTCCAAGTTCCCGCCGATCGGACACACTCTAGCCTCTAGGTTTTTAATTGCCATTCGCTTCCTGCTCTTGGAGTATTTTTCATGTTCAAAGCCGATCAATTACTAGCCTTAGTCCAAACCTTTGCTCTAGGCCAAAGAGCATTATTCCACAATGGCCACTCAACAATTTCCGTATATAACAGGAAGGTTTTAAGCATAAAGCGAGTCCGGGCTTCGACAGTCATACCCAGAGTCACTTATCTAACGGACGGCCCAAGAGCAGGTATCAACATCTTGCCAAGGCTTCATATATCCTGTCACGGGTCAACCTGCTTATAATCACCCCAGTCTCTTCAACCGTGATGGTCGTACTAACAGAGCGTCGCGACGATGAGCTGCTCTAATCAGTGGCCCTGTTAGTCAGGGTTCTCAGACTTGCTACAGTAAGGCATGTCTATCACAAAAAGTAAGAAAGGTGGAAAGGGGCTTCTATCACGGGTGGTGACAGGCAATACTGGGTGATCTGGTAGTATTGCTAAGATCGCACAAGGAGCCAGAACTCTGTGGGCTGTGCGCAGCCGCGGGAAAACCCTGCAGGGCAAGGTGGGGCTGCGCACTGACTAAGAGGGTGGCAACGCAAGACCCACTCCAGTGAGCTTGCCTTATCTAATCTACATAAGATGCAACCCTAACCCTGGAACAAGCATTGCCCGTGACACTTCTGAGGAATCCATGGCCCCAGATTGAAGAGGCATAGAACCTAGGTACCCAAGGAAAATGTTCCACGGCAGCGACGCCCATGATATGGCCGCTATCCTCCGGCTTTTATTCAACATATCGTTAAGCGATTGTCCGGCTGTCTTGGAAGACATCTTTGGCACAGGAAGGAGCGAGACCGAGAGCAGGGACTCGGGTGTAGAGAACGTCGTTCACCTAGCGCGCTCACCAGTGTCACCAAAGCCGGAATACAACTTCAGCCTCGCTCCCATCATCGGCCAAGTCTTCGAGCTCCGACAGCTTCGCCAGTATACGCGGGACGTTTCTCAAGTCGAACCAAGAGGCTGTAGTTCGTGTTAACGAAGTAGGCGTAATCGAAGGACTGTTGGTGTTATTGGGAAAGTACCCTAAAGCAGAACCGAAAGAAGTCATAGATCGCGAGACCTGTTGGATTGGGAATGGGGTGAGGTTATTCAAGTCTCATCAGAGCTTCCAGGCGGCTGGACTGGTGTACGGAGAGGTAATCATGCAGCTGGATAACGTTAGTTGTATTACCTTATTAAATCAGCCGGGAGGACGGTATGCATCAAGTAATTTCAAATTCAGGCTACATCCGACAAATGCAGGGCAATACTCCGTAGATTAGAAGCTCCTATTTCTGGAGGCAGCCCCTGTAAAAATATCCAGCACCGCGGCAGAGCACTCTCAGCTCGAGCAGTGTGCAACCATGCGAAAAGGGGTGGCAGTGTTCAGCTGGGGGGCTATCGAAAACTGTAAGGTAGGTATCCAACACATCCAATCATTGCTGAACGCCGTATCGCAGCATCCAATTCGACCAGTAAGAGATTGATGCGCTTCCATCCAGTGCTAGTCTCAATGCGCGTCGCGTTCGGCGGAGGGAGGCCATGCTGCGAGGCCAGGTAGGTACCAAATTTGATGAATTGAATGTCCTACCATGACATCCACATTCCACTGGGCAGTCTTCAGTGTTCCTTTCCGAGCCTGGCGCCCTGCATATGGCCGCGTGAAAGACCTCTTCGAGGCAGAACACCCGCACGGTCCACCAAGCTCATAGTGATTCCGTTCCCAATACCCTGAAACACAGACACTGTGCCCCCAAAGGAAGTTGCCAACCCATACGCCGCCCTTCCGCGTTACAACCAAGCACGAATCATTCATGATCCATCGCGCGTCCCAAACCAAAAAAGCCGAGAACCGCGCCCAATTATATTGATAGGATCAAGTCGACGAACTAGTCGTGGCCGAGCTCGTAGATGTGGCTGATCTGGTGGAGGTGGCCGCTCTGGTAGAAGTGGCCCGCCTCGTCGACGTTAACGACTCCGGTAACTTAGTGTCGTTCGGTCCGCACTTTTGTTGCAGTTCCAGGTTATTTCTGTCTCCGCACCAGATCGCAAGCCGCGGGAAGCCCGCTGGGTCATCCGTGGCGTTTCTGCGTCGCGCGTCGCAATACCACCCCAGGTCATTCGTCTCGTCGGCGCAGAACGTGAGGCAGCACTTGACCACCTCTTGAACCCAGATGTAACTCGTGGCATTAAAGCCAAGGTTGTAGTAGCCCTCTTCCCAGAGGATATCGGTGCGTTGACCAGTGAAGTTGTTGCCTTGCCATGCCTGGAACATGAACGTCTGAAACATGGCTGGGTCTGTCTGATCCAGGAGAGACGTAATCGTCGGCGAGGGGGCGCTGGATGTTGACGAGGCTGTTGCTGTTGCTGTCGTTGTGCCAACAGCAGCGCCGGTTGCGCTGCGGCAGTTTGTTAGCAGTAATCCCGAATTGGAGTGCTGACAGCAAACCTACCCAGTCCCTGAAGCCGATGCCGTCTCTGATGCCTGCCTCGCTGCCATGGAGCCGCCCACGCCGCCACCGACCGCCGCTCCAACAATCACCAGTCCGACGATGACGGCAATGATAATGAATAGCCGTTTGCTACACCCGCATATGCGCTTTTCTCGTTCTGGCTCACTGCCGACGCATGTCTGCTGGTCATCGCCGCCGGAGGGGAACGATTGCCAGGGAACCGAGCTGTTTGGACTGATAGCGCTAACTGTCGGGTCAGTTTCCGGCCATGGTTGCTGGTACGGATCTTGACCAATGTGGCCCATCGACGGCTCTTCGTGCGGTAGTTTCGGTGCCGTGTCATAATACGCCGGATACTTGTCAGATGGCATGTAGTACCGCTGCCCCTCTGCTGCCTCGGGTGATGAATCCGGCACGACTTCTGGAAACGGCGCTGGCTGAGGCTGGTGCGGAACTACCTCCGGGAGGTGCTCGTCGGCCGGTGGGCGCCCCATCCTGAACAGCGTCAAACACTTTTCTCAATCCGTCGTGGGCGTAAGATGTGGCGCTCGTCGGAGATCGCGGGATGCTCGGCTGGAGCTCGATCTCGAGGGTGCTCCAGAATTTGAGCCCTGTTGATGGGCATTTTTAGCCATTCTCCAGGCCGGAGGCGGTTCAAGGGATCCATTTTCCCCACAAACCAGCCCTTGATTTCCAGACTAAAGGGGCTACCCTTGGCGTAAGACGGGACAACATTTGATCTCGCTTGCCTGCAGCGATCATCCGGCCGTGTTACCCTGTTTTGGTAGCGTTTTCCGGACTGCGACGGCAGGGGGTTGCATTTGCAACTCCTCGCTTCAGCATACAATAACCAGGGCGAACGCTTATTTGCTGCTCCCAGGTCCATCAATTTCTGTGTTGCGACCGCGCCCCTTCAGCCTTGAGCTCGCCCGAACGCTACACGAGGGAATGCCGTGACCACTGGCGCCGATACTGTCAGCCCCAGCGTCAGCGATACCTAAAACCCTGCTTTTGCGGATTTAACGTGAGGCTGACTGAGGTGTACGAAGAGAAGCCTCATGATTCCTCAACCTGGAGGATGCCAGAACGGCGGGCACAGGCTGGTAGGATGGTAGCACAGCCTTGACCCTGATCCGCCAGTCTCCCCGACGACGGGACACATCATGCCACAAGGTCACCATAACGGTCGAACCCGAATTCAGGCCGCGTGCTCAGAATAATACGAAATCTCGGGATGGAGAGGCGGATGGGCGCCAGTACTTTCTGCATGACGGGCCTCGATGCACGCTTTTGCCCACCGTTCAATCTTCGGCTGCGACCCCGGCGACCACGCAGGGGCGGGCTTTCCCGGGTGTCGGCGATTCGGCGCCGGCGGATGTCCCATACGGCAGTAACTAGGGTCCGGTGGTGTCCTGGTTTCCGGCGGTGCCGGTGGGCAGGCCTTACAGTTAGCTCATCTAAGGGCCGAATCCGTGGAGGCAAGGTCGACGCCGTCAAGTTTCACGATTTGCCGAGGCCAGCGATTCGTTTGTGTGGTGTTTACGGGTGTGGGGTAGGATTGAGTAAATCCAGTACAATCCAGCCCTGGTTCGTTTGTTAGCGTGGCACATGGTAGGGCTAGACATGTAAAAAGAAGAAAAACAACGAAGGACCGGAAAGAACAATGGAATACAAAGACAAAGTAGGAGAGAATGAAATAGAAAGGTGAAGATCAAGAGGAAGAGGAAGGAGAAGAAGATTATATGAAGGTTCAAGCGAAAGAAAGAAATATGAGGTGTAATACCTACTACTGCATAAGTTCCGCGCTAACAATCAAACCAGGAATGAAATGCCAATCTCACAATCGCGGAGTTCAGAGCTCCTCGTCGCGAGTTGCGAAGCTCGAATCACCATGACCAAATTGCTCGGAGTCTGCGGCGAAAGTAATGCTGTGAAGGTGGTAGCAGTAGTGGGCAAGGAAGCAAGGCGAACAAATGACTTACCTTAAGCACATTTGATGACTGTAAACTGAACTTCAAGTTGTACAGTACGGGCTATGGCACGATGCGAGATATTCCGTTTGCTCGTTTCGTTCCTTTTTTTTCCACCTGGGCCACTCAAGAAAACTGGGCAGCCGACCTCGGCTCAAAGAAGGCCAGATGCGGGACGCTGTTCCACGCTGTCTCGTTTTCTCCTTTCGCCAAGAATGGAGGCTTGGGCTGCTAATCTTATCAGATCATCAGTGCATGGAGATCGCACAACCGGGCCAGGGCATCCCCCACGTCTCAACCTCTCATCTCCTCGGCAAAGGAGTGGACCCTGACCTGAACCGGAGCGGGTAAACTTCGTGTGTTGAATCAGAGTTTGCTCGGCTGGTCTTGGACTTTTGGCTGTTTCCCGCCGGTCGGCCTACCGAGCTTCATTGTTCGAGAACAGTCACTGTTTTGAGTAACTCACCGCACTGGAAGGAACAAGTTCCATCCTCAGATGTCTATAGAGTACGACCGCCTCAAACTTCCAGATTTGCCCACTAGGTCGGTGAGCCAGGCGAGCACTGAACTACTTCGTCATCCTGTGCTGGCCACTATGGGAGAAAGCATGGATGGCACCACCTTCATCAAACACATTCCGACATGGGGCCCCGCCGCCCGTTGTCATACGATCTGATAAACAATTTTCTCGCCCTCATGCGAAACCAACGAACCCAAGCCTCACGTCCGCTCATCGGAGAAGGTGGACAAGATCGGCTGATGCCGTCAGGTGATTGGCTCAGACTGATTTCCGATGGCTTTGGCGACCCGCTTGTTCATCTTATCTGATCCGAAGATAACGCCGAATGCCGCTTGCGACCTACCGGATCCTGGAACTTGCATCAGCGCGTCACCATCTCCCTTTAACCCCACCGCCGCTTCGGGAGCTCGCCCAAGGGTACAGTGACACGGCCGCCTTCCACCTTGCCAAACTGGAACAGTAAAGCGAAGCCAAAATTTTCTCATCTCCCCCACCCAGGTCCAATCCCATCATGTCATTGTTTGCCGCGCCCCGCCATGTCGCCATGCGTGTCCCTTTTTCCTCACGCTGGACGAAGACCGAGGGATGAGCGGAGCGGAATGGAACTCCGAACCTGGGCTGGATACCTTACTCTAGGGTGTGCCGGAAACACAAGCAGCTCAGGTACCTGCCATGTGGATTGATCAGGCCGCCTTGTCCCAGTTGAGCCAGAGCCGAACCAAGCCTCCGCTTGTCACCCCTGGCCGGCTCTGGATGGAGTAGGCTTTTTCGATCAAAATGGCACTTGCCGCCGCCCTTCGCTGCTCTCGCATCTCTCCCGCTTTTTTCCATCTTCACTCATCCGAACAGCCGGGACTGACTCCTCTCTACCCCTCCATCCCACTCTCGTGCGTTCCCCGGTTGGGCACCTCACTCTGAAGCTGCCGGAGCACAGTCTTTGTCCCGCCGAACCAGCGAACAGTGTCCCCTTTTGTCTGCGACTCGAGCTATCCCATTCGCCTCTCACCGTCAATGATAGGTGTGTTTTGAACTCGAAGGCAGTAACAGTGTCGTCATGTCGCCCCACAGCACCAACGATATTGACCATCCAGCGGTCATGAACGGCACCCACGACGGCGACGTAGCCCCCCGGCTGGTCAACGGCGCCGCCAACGGATCCGCCCGCCGGGACTTCCCGAAGAGCCGCTATCTCACACCTGCCGACCCTGACTCGGTGCTCGATTTAATCTGCGTCGGCTTCGGCCCTGCCAGCGTGGCCATCGCCGTTGCCCTTCATGATACGATGGAGGCTGGCAAGTTGGCGCAGGCGCCCAAGGTTTTGTTCCTGGAAAAGCAGGCCCAGTTCGCATGGCATGCTGGCATGCTGCTGCCGGGCGCCAAGATGCAAATTTCCTTCCTCAAGGACCTCGCGTCGCTGCGGGACCCGCGATCCAACTTTACCTTCATCAATTATCTCCACAAGAACAACCGACTGGTGGACTTTATCAATCTCAGCACGTTCCTGCCGGCACGCGCCGAGTATGAGGATTATCTCCGGTGGTGCGCTCGGCATTTTGACGATGTTGTCCACTATCACAGCGAGGTCGTTTCAATCTCTCCGGTTCAGGAGGATGGGCCACAGAAGATGTTTGCTGTCACGTCTCGCAATGTCAAGACTGGTGCCGTCACCACACAGCGGGCGCGGAACGTTGTGGTGGCTGTCGGCGGCCAGGCTTCCATCCCCAAGCTGTTCCCAGCCCAGCATCCCCGAGTGCTTCACTCGTCGCAATACGCCCAATTGTTCCCCAAGATTCTGGGAGACAAGTCAGCACCGTACCGCGTGGCGGTAATCGGCGCCGGCCAGAGCGCGGCCGAGATCTTCAGCAACGTTCAGAGCTTGTATCCCAACAGCAAGACCTACATGATCATGCGGTCCGAGTTCCTCAAGCCGAGCGATGATTCACCATTGTGAGTTATGAAAGGAGTTGTGCTTTCTGGCAGACAGGGGGCTAATCAACGGATACCTAGCGTCAACTGCATCTTCAATCCAGAGTTTATTGACAATATCTACCCCAAGCCGTCCGCGTACCGCGCCAACCTCCTCGCCGATGCCCGTGCCACCAATTACGGCGTCGTCCGGTTAGAGCTCATTGAACATCTGTTCGAAGTCATGTATCACCAGAAACGGACACTTGGGGAAGATGAGAAACAATGGCCACACCGTATCCTGGCCGGCCGGGATATTGTCGCCGTTGAGGACAAGGGCGAAGTTCTCGGCCTCAAGGTTGCCCTGCTCCCTGTTCCCGGCGCCGCCGACGGGCCTCTGCTGGCCGAGGAACAATTGGACGTGGACCTTGTAATTTGTGCCACGGGCTACAAGCGGACTGCTCATGTGGATATGCTGAAAGACACATGGCATCTCCTCCCGGAGGTTACCGGTGGCGAGAGCGTGGTGTCGAGCAATGACCGCTGGCTGGTTGAAACCAGCAAAGCGGACCAGCGGTCGACTCGGGTAATGCAAGTCGGTCGTGATTACGGCGTCCGCTTTGGGGATGGTGCGGTTGCTGCTGGTTCCGGCATTTGGTTGCAAGGTTGCTGTGAGGCAACTCATGGTGTAAGTGGAAGCTGATCACCAACACCCCAATTTACGAAGCTGACCCGTTTTGCAGTTGAGTGATACCCTGCTTTCTGTGCTTTCGACGCGTTCTGGAGAGATGGTTCGGTCTATTTTTGGAGCATCTGCATGAGCCGGCTGAAGCCCTTGTACATATGTTCTGGTTTGCATTTCGCGAGAGGAGTTAGCGGGTTGCGTTCCTAAAAGCATGTTTTGAATATCCACGCGCTCGCTCTTCCTTCAGGGCTATACGTCCCTGCGGAGTGTAACCGCCTTTCGAGCGCGGAACGCTTCTGGCAAGCCGAGACCTGGCTGTGGGTATGGTAGATTTGCTCTTCGCACTCACATGTCCCTCCTCAGATGGGCATGCCGAAGGCTACAGGCTCCCATTCTTCACAAGCAAACTTTCCCGTCACATGTGGGGGGTAAGTACCACCTGAGCGCGGTTTGACACGCTTGAGTCTCTGCAGGAGACTGGATACGGCGAGGGCCGAAGATCGGACGAGAGCTTCTCGAGTGTCTAGAGCGGGGAATGACCTGAGCACACTTTTGGACCCCTCTCGGCCGAGTCATCCCCCGGAATCTCAGGACCGAGAGTGTGTCAACAAGGAGCGGGATTCATCGCATATGACGCAACATCAACTCCCATCATGACTAACACCGCTGAATCCGAAGAGGGGTACCGGGCGTACATCCGGCAGTAGGGTTGAAGAGTGCGGCAGCACCCGCACGTCTCTGCCCCCGGGGCTCCATAGGGAAACACCAACTGGCCCGGTAACCTGGGAGCAATATCCCTTCGAGGTCCAACCTTGAGGGTTTCGCAACTCGCAGATGACGGACATGGGACCCAGCACAGCCAACCCCACTGGAAGTTCATCCTGACTCTTCCCTGGATCCGCAAGCTACCTGAGGTTAACTGGAGACCTCCGTTCCTGTTTAAATGCCGATCTCTCCCGGCTCGTTTTCAGCAAGGAACTGGAGGGTGGGGTGACCTGCCACCGGCCAGTCTTGAAACCTGTCGTGCGCTACAACCCAGAACCGGCAGCCCACGAAAGCCCACGGAAGACGCATCATCCCGCGCACCGCCAACTCGGCAACTCCATCCGTTGTACACCATATCTCACAGCCGGCCGTGCTTGAGCCACTGCCACTGATCCTGCACACCTCATTGCCAAGTTCGACACACAAGACAATACCACCCTTGGATCGGCCAATTATCCACTCCCAAAAACAAATCGCGCTTCTTCCAACTCGCTTCTCCCCTTTTATCTGACCAATCAGCGGTTGCCTATTTGAGTTTCGAAAGGCTCTATGCTCGATTCACAAGGAAAGCTGCAAGAGCCGGAGTATACTAAGGGACTTGTAACTGCACTGCCTGACATCCTGGCGGCTATCGAGCTAGGAAAGAGATTGGCCGTTTGATGCAAGTCGTCGAATGTCGGGGACGAGGTGCGTCTGGCTATTGAGGCTATCTCCGCGTTTAACTCTCAAAGTACAGTTACTGACATGGTGCGTCAGGTCCTACTGTCTTCTCACACGAGGCACATCCATCATGGCGTTGGCAAAGACAGAGTCGGATGACAGCTTGTCCATCGTCAACCACCCAGCATTACGGTTACCGGGACCCTGCTTGCTACACCTCCTGGTTCAAACAGATTCTCAGGATGGACAAGCCGCCGTTGATTTCCTGAAATCCGACGGCAGCCGGACATCAATTTCATACACAGAGCTTCACCATGCCGCCAATTCACTTGCTTCACGAATTTTGGCGCTGGCAGGACCGCCGAAGGATTCAAGGCCGTTCGTGGTACCTGTTCTCATACCCCAGAGTCCGAAACTGTACATCACACTTCTGGCCATTCTCAAGGCAGGCGGAGCGTTTTGCCCAATGAACTTGGACGTGTCCTCGGAGCGTGCCAATTTCATCTTGGAGGACGTCGGCGCACAAATCGTCGTCACCACGTCTGATCTGGCATCGAGGCTGCAGCAAGGCGGCCAATCAGTCTTGATCGTCGACGGCGAGGTGCCCCACGACGAGCCAGTGGCAGTTACACCACATCGCAGACAGCCTGCGCAGACCGACTTGGCATACGTGATGTACACGTCCGGTTCAACAGGCACACCCAAAGGCGTGGGCATCTCCCATGACGCGGCGACCCAGAGTCTACTGGCACACGACCGCCACATCCCACAGTTCTCACGGTTCCTCCAGTTCGCGGCCCCGACTTTCGATGTCTCCGTCTTTGAGATATTCTTCCCCTTATTCAGGGGCAAGACGCTGGTCAGCTGCACGCGCCCAACCATGCTCAACGATCTTCCGAGGGTCCTTCGGGAGATGGAGGTGGACGCGTGCGAGTTGACGCCCAGTGTTGCTGGCAGTCTACTCCGCAAACGGGAAGATGCTCCGGGGCTATGTCTTCTTCTGACCATTGGGGAGATGCTCACGCAGCCGGTGGTCGAAGAATTTGGTGGCAGCGAGACCCGGCCAAGCATGCTCTGGGGAATGTACGGGCCGACCGAGGCGGCAATCCACTGCACCTTGCAGCCCGCATTTACGCACGACTCGCCCATTGGCAACATTGGGGTTCCGCTCGACACAGTCTCAGCTTTCATACTGAATATTCCAGAAGAAGAAAAGGAAGACACGACGTCAGCATTGAAAGTTCTGCCTCGGGGGGAAGTCGGGGAGTTGGCGGTGGGCGGGCATCAACTCGCCGAAGGGTACCTGAACCGGCCCGAGCTCACGTTGACGGTCTTTGTCGATACTCCGTATGGCCGACTTTACCGAACCGGGGACAAGGCGAGGATGCGCGACGATGGCACGATCGAGTGCCTCGGCCGGATTGCTCATGGCCAGGTGAAGCTCAGGGGTCAGCGGATGGAACTCGGCGAGGTCGAACATGCTGCGCTGAGGACGCCGGGCTGCCATTCCGCAGTTGCTGCCGTTGTTGAATCGATGCTGGTCTTATTTTGCGCTGTGGATGCTGGGATAGCAGGCATGGAAGCGGCAATCATGCAGTCGTGCAGGCGATGGCTTCCCGGGTTCATGCTTCCTGGCGATATTGTCGTTATGCGGAGTTTTCCTCGCCTTGCATCAGGGAAGGTGGACCGGAAGGGAATGGTTGGGGACTATAAGGCACGAACGGCGGGAGCATTGCAGAGGGGGATATCTTACAGAGACGAGCTGCAGGAACAACTCTGCAATATCACAAGCAGGAGCCTAAAAATTCAAGTACGGCCAGACCAAGATTTGCTCAAGGCAGGTCTCGATTCCCTGAGCGCAATCAAGCTCGCCTCGGTGCTCCGGGAGGCCGGTTTCGATGTTGGTGCGGTTGATATCCTCGAAGTAAGGACGATCTCTGCTCTGCATTGCCGGCTCCAGTCAGTCTGCCAGACTCGACCCTCAGAGAAATTGTCCGAAGCGTCTCCTCTGAATCTGGACGTCTCGATAATCATGGCCAGCCATCCAGCGCTTTCGAGACTTGGCCGATCCATAGAGGCTGTTGTTCCCTCCACGCCACTCCAGGCATCGATGCTTGCTGAGACCATGGCGGATCATCGAGCCTACTGCAACTGGATTGAGCTCAGTGTCCCCAGTACTTATTCTGAGTCGACAATCCGGTCTTGGTTTCTGCAACTGGCGCAGGCGAACGAGGTCTTGCGAACTGGTTTCATCCACCACGGGGGGCAATTCATGCAAGTCGTCTTCGACACCTTCGACGAGTCAAACCTTTCGATAACGGACTCCATCATCAGGGACTTCTCACTGAGTGATGATACAGACTATGTTCGTCCGTTTCGGGTTCAGATCAAGGCTCCTTCATCACAGAACGGTGACGCGACGGTTGTACTGCAGCTGCACCACGCAGTGTATGACGGCTGGTCTCTGGACCTCATGCTCTCAGACCTCGCAGCGCTGACGCGGGGACAGCGGCTGAATCCCAGACCTCAGTTCAGCCTGGTTCGGGCATACTATCAATCAGCAGCCTTTATGAGGGCTTGTGATGAAGCGCGGGAGTTCTGGGCTGATAACCTTCTCGGCTTTCAACCCCCAGCACTCCCCATCCTCACTTCCGAGATCATCGAGTCGTCCAAGGTTCTGACCACGACCACGTCCGTTCACTGCTTCCCAGAGGACCTCAGATTGGTTCTTCAACGCATCGATTGCGGCCCGCAAACGATCTTCCAAGCAGCGCTAGCATGGTTTTGGAGCGCAATGGTAGGTAGCGGGGATGTCGTCGTAGGCTCCATACAATCTGGAAGAACGGTGCCCGTCGCGAAGATCGAAGATATCGTTGGACCATGCATCGCCTCGGTACCTATCAGGACCAACTTGTGTCAGGTGCGGACGATACGAGACCTGCTTGTCAGCGTACACGCGGGAAACAGGGCTACTCTTTCACACAGTGTCTTGCCCCTTTCTGAGATTAAGCGGGCAGCCGGCATCCGCTCAGGGCAGTCGATCTACGATATCTTGTTCATCTACCAGGAGTCACTTCACAGCAAGGACCAAAGTTTGAACAGTTTCAGACAAGTTGCCCACCAAGACTTCCTGGAGACAAAACTGCTGGTCGAGGTCGAGTCGATGGAGAATTGCTTTGACTGCCGTTTCACCTATCACTCGAATACGTTCCCGGAGGCTCAGGTTCGTATCATGGCGGACTCCATCAGAGCGCTGATTTCTCATATGCTCAAACACTTGGACTCGGAGCTCCCTTCCATAAGTCAGGCTTTGCCGCAGGAACTGCTCTCCGTATTCAATCCCACTCCCACGACATTTGTAGGAGTCCCAGATTTGGCATATGCTGTCGAGCAGATGGCTGCCGGTTCTCCTGACAAAGATGCGGTGTGCTTTGCAGACCACATTTCGGATGGCGTTCTTACAGCAACAACCATTACCTTTGCGGAACTCAACAACACTGCCAGCCGAATCGCTTGGTACCTCAGCCAGCAGGGTGTTCGAGACGGGGGAGTGATCGCCATCGTCATGGAGAAGTCGATCCGACTCTACGCAGGCATTCTCGCGATTTTGAAAACAGGGTGCGCTTACTTACCCCTCCAACCCAGCACCCCTACGGCCCGCATCAATACTATTGTTGAGCAGGCCGGCGTTACATTATCTCTGGTCGATACTCGCACTCAGAAGAAGCTACAGCAGGACGTGTCATGCACATGCAACATCGTCGACCTCCAGACTCTAGACCTCCAGTCGGCCGGTACGTTGACCACCCGTCCCACGCCAGATCCCGACCGACTGGCATACATCATTTATACGTCTGGGAGCACCGGCGTTCCTAAGGGCGTCTGCCTGACACAGCTCAACATCATGAGCAATCTGGAGGTGCTCTCAAAGATCTATCCAGTGAAAGAGGACGCAAGACTCCTGCAGTCCTGCTCTCAAGCATTCGACGTCTCCGTCTTTGAGATTTTTTTTGCCTGGACCCAGGGCATGTGCCTCTGCTCTGCCACCAACGACACCCTCTTTGAGGATCTGGAAAGGTCGATCCGCAAACTCAACGTCACCCACCTCAGCATGACCCCCACAGTAGCATCGCTGGTTGATCCAGAAAAGGTGTCCCGGGTCGAGTTCCTCGTCACGGCTGGCGAGGCCATGACGGAGGTTGTTTCTCGCAAATGGGGCGACAAGCTCTACCAGGGCTATGGGCCGTCAGAGACGACAAATATCTGCAGCGTCAAGAAGATGGGGCCGAATCAGGTGATTCAGCATCTTGGATGGTCGTTTGAGAACACTTCGACGCTCGTTCTAGCAAGGGACGGCATGGGGGTGGTGCCATTTGGCTGCCTTGGAGAGTTTTGTTTCGGTGGCGACCAAGTTGCTCAGGGGTATCTCGGCATGGAGGACTTGACGGCGGCCAAGTTCATCAACCACCCCAGGTTTGGTCGAATGTACAGATCGGGCGACCTGGGTCGTATGCTGCCGGACGGATCAATGGTCATTGTCGGCCGCGCGGACGACCAGATCAAGATCCGAGGTCAGCGGGTGGAACTTAACGAGATCAACGAGGCCATTCGGCAGTCAGCCGATGTGACTGACTGCGTCACTCTCTATCTGCGCGCCGACCAGACGTTTGGCCGGGACCAGCTCATAGCATATCTCGTTCCGAAACAACATGAAGGCACACAGTTTGAAGTGCTGAAGGTCGGCGAAGACATCGTCAAAGAGATTCGGTCATTGTACCGAGCCCTCGAGTCCCGACTTGCCTCTTACATGTTGCCTTCCGCCATCGTCCCCATCTCGGTTCTGCCTACCACCGCCTCGGGAAAGCTGGATTGGACAAGGCTCAGGCAGACCTTCCAAGACCTCGGGAGCGACTACTTGGAACTCGTCAGCCATGGAACTGACAGGGAGCTGGACGTAGACCAGGGAGAATGGTCGGATGTCGAAATCCAGGTTGCCGAGGGTATTCACAATGCCTTGAACGTCAGCAGAGACAAAATTCGGAAATGGACGCCCTTGACCTCGCTGGGACTGGACTCGATCTCCGCGATTCAAGTATCGAGATACTTGCAGAAGCAGCTCCATGCACGGCTCCCGGTATCACTCATTCTGCAGAACCCAAGCGTTGCCAGACTCGCAAAGGCGCTGCCCCAGATACATGTCTCTAATGTACAGCAAGACGAGGCAGCTCAGTTTCTGCCAAGACACATTGCTGAAAAGGTCAGCCAACGCTTAGTCCAAGGTGGGAAGCAAACATCGAAGATCCTGCCTTGCACCCCTCTTCAGGAGGCGATGCTTGCGACCTCAGATGGCAAGGCACAATATCTCAACCGCATGCTGTTCCGGCTCAATGGGCACGTGTCTCGTTTAAGAGACTCTTGGAAGGCTATGGTTATCCGGCACGACATACTGCGAACCTGCTTTGTGTCAACATACGACGGGAGCTGGCCCATGGTGCAAGCTGTCCTTGATCAGTGGCAAGCCCCTTGGCACCAATTCAACGCGTCTCAGGTTGGCCTCGAGGAGTGCATTTCGCAACATGCTCAAGCGGTGCCATACGCCATCGACTCGTTGGAACCCGCGGTATCTTTTGCAACAATCAGGCAAGGCGACGATGTTCTCCTGTCATTCATCTGCCATCATGCCTTGTATGACGGGATGGCCATGGAGAAGCTCCTCTTCGAAGTCGAGCAGCATTTCTATGGCTTGTCCCTTCCACAGGTTCCTGCTTACGAGCGCTTCCTTCGGAAAGCCTTGACGTTGCCGGCCTCGACTAACAGCTTCTGGCTGACGCACCTGGACGGTTATCAGCGGAAACTGACAGCGCATCTGACCTCGAAACTGGCTAACACAGAGTCTCGCTCAGCAGCTGAGCTAGACATCCCCTTGTTGGAGATTCAAACACGAATCAAAGCGTTGGGAGTGTCACTTCTGGCACTCACCCAGTCGGCCTGGGCACGTACCCTTGGATGCCTGTTCCGCACCAACGACATCTGCTTTGGGAACGTTGTGAACGGCCGGTCTCTTCCCGTCGAAGGTATCAACGAGCTGGTGGCGCCGTGCTTCAACACGATTCCAATCCGAATGAACCTGTCCCGCAGGCAACGCAACCTCGACCTCATGAAGGCGTTCCAGGCCAGCAACGCTAAGCTCATGGAGTACCAGTTCACGCCTCTTCGCCGTATCCAGTCTTTGCTTTCTCAGCATAGCACTCGGCGTTTGTTCGATACCCTTTTTCTCTTGCAGCAGTCGCCTCGAGTTGTTGATCAGTCGCTTTGGGCTTTGGAGAGGGATGACGGAGAGATGGATGTAAGTTGGGCGGGATTTCACTACGAGCATGTTTTGGGACGAAGGCTAACGAAAATGCAGGTCCCCCTTGTCTGTGAAGTGATACCAGATGGTAATGTTGACCGTCTTTTCGTTAAAATGCATAGCATAGAGGGGTCAGTGGTACTGAAATACTTCGCGTCCCGTTCTTTACTAATCCCCACCCGCAGTCAGCCGCTCCGCCACGGGATTGTTGAGCTGGTTCTCGATCTGTTTTCTCACGCCTTGAATAACTGTCTTCAATTTCCCGGGTCTCATTCGGCTCTCGACGCCATGCCTCGCGAGCTAGCAGAGAGGCTGTCCCGAGTCGAGTACCAACCCCCGCAACTCAAACATGACACCACCCAGCAAGGGGCCACGACTGAAGAATGGACACCTATGGAAAGGTCAATTCGGTCGGTGCTGGCCAAACTTTCTTCTACCATTTCGGAGCGTATTGGCCGCAGCACGACCATATACCAGCTTGGCTTCGACAGCATCAGTGCGGTCCAAATCGCCTCGATGCTCCGAAAGCTTGGTCACCGAATCGTTGCTAGCGACGTGATTGAGCACCCAACATGCGAAAGCCTTGGTCGACATCTGGAGACGCGCGCTTCAGATTCAGGCGTTACTCCAGGATATGACCTCGGCCCCTTTCAATCGCACGTTCAGCCGCAGATTTCGGCCCAGGGGATTTCGTTGGAGCTCGTTGAGGCAGTCCTTCCGTGCACGCCCCTTCAGTCCTCCATGATGGCACAGTTCATCAGATCAGGGGGACGAGACTACTTCAACTTCATTGACTTTGAACTGGCAGATGCCATTGACCACGCCAAGCTCGCTGATGCCTGGCAAGCCATCACCCTCATCCATCCTCTTCTCCGGACTGGAATTGTTCCTGTTGAGCACGAGGATTCGGCATTTGCCATGGTCCAATACCGCGCGAACAGGTTCGTCCCTGCGTTGGCAATCCTCTCTGGGGAGCAAGCTGAGTCCTTCGACCTCGAAACTTGGCGGGTTGCCGCTGCTCAAGCTGCGAGTGAAGCCCCTTATTCGCAGTTCTGGAAAGTGGCCATTACGGAGTCCGCGCAGAGCGCGACGATGCACCTCGCAATCCACCACGCGCTGTATGACGCATACTCTCTCCAACTTGTTCTCGATGACCTGTCCAAGATGGCCATGGGCGGCGTGCTTTCCCCCAGAGCTGCTACTCAAGAAGCCGTTGCGGACATTCTTGGTCAAGTTTCTTCTGCAGCCGAGAGCTCAGCGGGTTTTTGGAGGAGCCTAGCTGACAGGGTGGTCGTCAATGGGTTCCCAGTGATGACGCCGCTAAGACAGACGAGCCGGCATATCCTAACGGAATCAGCAATGAGCGCTGCTGCCTTGACCGCATTGGAGGAGGCGGCATCAGGGTCAGGCCACACTGTGCAAGTCATTCTTCAGGCGGCTTGGACTCGGGTGCTCTCGGCCTATCTTGGCGAACAGTCTGTTGTCTTTGGCGTCGTTCTCTCTGGGAGGAACACGGAAGCCTCGCGCAACGCCAGCTTTCCCTGCATCTCGACACTACCGGTGATAGCCACCAACATGGCGTCAAACCGAGCCCTGTTGGACCAGATGCTGCAGTACAACACCGAACTCTACAAGCATCAGCACCAGCCCCTCACCCGCATCCAGCAGTGGCTGGGATGTCCCGATTCAAGACTGTTCGATACGCTCCTAGTCTACCAGAAACTTGACCGCGAGACGTTGGAGCGAAGACCTTGGCGAATTGTGAACGAAAGGGCCAGTGTCGACTACCCAGTGTCAATCGAGGTGGAGCCCCAGGCTGGAGATCAGCTCGGGTACCGCATTACGTTCTTCAGTGACGTCCTTAGCAAGGAGCAGGCACATCTCCTTCTGAAGCAATTCGACGCAACGGTCCGGCAGCTCGCGCATAACTCGAATGGGCAAGAAGCGGATCTTTTTAGCTCAACGCCCGAACTCTTCTCCATTCTCCCGCCAGAGCTGCCCGAGATCCCAACGACGGTGAAGTTTCTTCATCAGTTTGCGGGACTCCAGGCTTTGAGAGTTCCCGACAACACGGCGCTTTACTTTGTGGAGAAATTTAACCACAACGAGCCGGTTGGGCGCAAATGGACCTACAAAGAGCTCAACGAGAATGGTAACCGAGTCGCGCAGATGTTGCTACCCCACGCCAAACCCGGGGATATCGTGGCTGTCTATCTCGACAAGTGCCCTGAGGCCTACTTCTCCATCCTGGGTATCCTCAAGGCTGGATGTGCTTTTCTGGCACTCGACCCGGGAGCGCCACGGTCGAGGAATGAATTCATCCTTCAGGATTCTGGCGCCTCGGTCTTGATAACCTCGAGGCAGAGGAAGGACAGCAAGGAGCTCACCGTTGCCGCGCCTGTCCTTGGCATTGATGAAGAGTCTCTGCCTACGATGTCAGCCGATCCCCCTATTCTCAGCAGAGAAATTAAGCCCAATGACGTCTGCTACTGTCTTTACACATCGGGGACAACCGGAACACCAAAAGGCTGCGAGATAACCCATGACAACGCGGTCCAGTGCATGCTCGCCTTCCAACACATCTTCAAGGGCCACTGGCAGGACGACTCGAGATGGCTGCAGTTCGCCTCGCTGCACTTCGACGTTTCGGTCCTGGAGCAGTACTGGAGTTGGTCTGTGGGCATAACCCTCGTTGCGGCGCCGCGCGACGTCATATTGGAAGACCTCGCTGGTACCATCTCCCGCCTCGAGATTACCCACATCGATCTCACTCCAAGTTTGGCGCGGATGCTCCATCCAGACGAGGTGCCGACCCTCTGCAGAGGCGTTTTCATCACGGGAGGAGAGACGCTGAAACAGGAGATCCTTGACGTCTGGGGTTCCAAGGAGGTCATCTACAATTTCTACGGCCCTACCGAGGCCACCATTGGTGTGACCGTCTTTCCCCGGGTGCCAGCCACGGGCCGGGCGTCCAACATTGGCCGGCAATTCGTCAATGTTGGTTCCTACGTGCTCAAACCCGGCACTGAGCAGCCTGTGCTCCGAGGAGGGGTGGGTGATCTATGTGTCTCGGGGCGGCTGGTCGGCAAAGGCTATCTCAAGCGTGACGACCTCACATCGGAAAAGTTTCCCATTTTGCAACACTTCCAGGATCGGGTCTACCGGACGGGTGATCTCGTTCGTGTCCTCCACGACGGGTGCTTCGACTTCCTTGGAAGAGCCGACGACCAAGTCAAACTCCGCGGCCAGCGTCTCGAGATCGGAGAGATCAATCACTGCATCCGAAAAGGGGTCGATGAGATCAGAGACGTTGCTACTATGGTGGTTCGGCATGAGGTGCAGCAGAAGGATCTACTCGTCTCCTTTGTCGTGTCTGACGACGATAGCAAACAGGGGAAGCCTGGTAGGCAACTTGAGGTCATCAAGAGTTTCGAGGCAGCGGAATTGTGTCGACGGGCTCGAGACGCCTGCCGGTCCAAGTTGCCCGGCTACATGGTCCCAACCTACGTTCTGCAGCTGCCGTTCATCCCGCTCTCGGCAAACAACAAGGCTGAGATCAAGGAACTTCGCAAGCTTTTCGCGTCTCTTGGGCAGGACAAACTCATGACACTTTCTTCCTCCACACATAAGACCCGTGGGAGACTCAGCACGGTTGAGGCGAAGGTTGCAAAGGCTCTTGGCACGATGCAAGGGATCGGCATGAACTCCATTACCCCTGAATCCAGCATCTTCGAGCTGGGCATCGACTCCATCTCGGTTCTTCGGTTTTCTCGGGCCCTGAAGAAGGACGGATTTCCGCACGCCAGCCCGTCCTTGATTCTGCAACATCCCCTGATTGGAGACTTGGCTGACGCCTTGGAGCTACACAAACCGATTTCCAACCATGATTCTGTCGCGGCAGCAAGGCAGCTGGTTCAAGCTTGTGCGCACAAGCTTAGACCACTCGTCTGCCGAGAGCTGGGAGTCATGCCTGACCAGATCGAGTATATCGCGCCGTGCTCGCCCCTGCAGCAAGGCATGATCTCAAGGTCGGCGACGGAGAGCGCCTATCTCAATACCTTCCGATTCTCTCTTTCGCCGGACGTCTCAACTGAAGGCTTGCACAGTGCGTTGCAGAGATGTGTGAAAGCTCTACCCATCCTCAGGACGAAGTTCGTCGGCACGACCGACGGGTTCGTCCAGGTGGTCATCAGAGGAGCTCCTCTTCCCTGGAGAGAGATTTCACTCGAGGCAGAAACGGCCATTGGTGACGGGATCCGAAAGACACGGGATGCCTGGATCGCACGCAACAAAGAATGCCTTCCTCAGCCGCTGGAATGCGTCCTCATTACCAGTGGAGGCGCTCGCTTGCTTGTCCTTCACATCTTCCACGGTCTCTACGATGCAAATAGCTTCAAGCTCATTCTAGACCGGGTGGTCACGGAGTATTTCCATCCGAGTGGTGAAGAATGTCAAGAGGCCGACCTTGCCCCTGGGCCGTCCTTCCTCGACGCATTGTGCTACGGGCCTTTGCAAGACTTCAGCAGCAGCAAGTCATTCTGGATGAAGCACCTTGAGGGCGCAAGGCCTATCTCATCCCATCGCCCAAGCTCTATGGTTGTTACGATCCAGCGCGAGGTCCGATTTAAGCCTCTCGAGGCTGCGAGAACAAGCCTTCGAGTCACGCACCAAGCGTTGGTGCAAGCAGCCTGGGTGAGCGTCTTGGCGAGCAACTTTGTGTCCGATCCAACAATTGGCATTGTCGTTTCTGGGCGCAATATTGAGCTAGACGGTGCTGAGGGTGTTGTTGGACCGCTGTTAAACACTCTCCCTTTCCATGCACACATCACAACGAAGGGCGAACTTACTTGGTCATCGCTTGTTCGACAATGCCACGACTTCAACATCGCGGTCCTCCCGTTCCAGCATGTTCCGCTACGCGACATCCAAAAATGGTGCTCCGGAGGCAAGCCGTTGTTCGACACTCTGTTCTCTTTTCAGCGGGAGGAGGGAACAGTCATCGAACATCACGCCTTGTGGACTGTGATCGACTCGGAACCCAATGCCGACTATCCGCGGGCTCTTGAAGCAACTCTGTGCGTTGACGGCCGTCTACGCCTGCTCCTTACTGTTCAGCAAAGTGTTCTCGATTCTCCCGACAGCTTGACCAGAATGATGGACGGGCTTGAACAAAAGTTGGCCGCCATTGCAAATAATCTTGATGGTCTCGTCTCTCTTAAGGCGACTATGCCGGCTGACGGGCTGGAAGCTGGCCCGGCTTCAGATGGACACCCAACAAGCACGGTCACAAACGGGCACTCGGATCAAGACTCTAGATTTACCTGGACTGACGCCGCCGTCACGATACGCAATGAGATCGCCGCCCTTGCCGACGTCCACCCTGGGTCAGTGGACGAAAGAACACCTCTCTTTGGCCTGGGACTCGACAGCATCGACGTCATCAAGCTGTCTGCGAGGTTGAAGAGGCAGGGACTTGGCATCAAGACCAGCGAGTTGATCAAAGCCCAGACAATCCAGGCCATCGTGCAGCAACTTCAGACCTGTTCTCTGAGCGGGACCAAGGATGCTTCCAGAGCGCGGAAGATCTCGGAGGTTACGTCTGTATTGCGGCAGCATCTCGGTGGCGAGCTTGTTGAGGGCGAGGTGGTGCTTCCGACAACCCCTCTTCAGGAGTCGATGGTCGCGGAAATGATTGCGTCGGACTTCCGGTTCTACTTTAACCACGACATCTTGGAGTTTGCACCGCCCACCAACGTGAATAAGCTCAAAGACGCGTGGAGGACCGTTATTGCAGGGTCGCCTATTCTACGAACCAAGTTCCTCCCTGTCGAGACCCAATCTCTGAAGACCTCGTCCTGCCAAGTCATTGGACAGGGTACTTCTGTTTACATGGCCGATGTCTCCTTGGACACCACCGACGAGCTGGCAAAGGTCTGCGAGTCGGCTACTGTCCGAGCCCGGGAGGGAGCAGGGCGGTCAAATCTCCTTCAACTGGCCTTTGTCAGCGTGGAAAGCCAGCGGTTCTTGGTGCTATCCCTCGCTCATGCGCTGTACGATGGATGGTCCCTCAGCCTCATCCATCGGAATGTGCAAGCTGCCTACGAGGGCAGATATCAGGCTCAGACCCTCGAGTCTTATATCAGTCAAGTTCAGGGCATTGTTATCGCCGAGAACGATGATGCTTCGGCATTTTGGGCTGGGTTCCTACAGGGCGCCACTCCAACTATCATTCAGGAGATGGAGACTGTTAGGGGGTCTGTTCCCGTCGCTCCAAGCAGTCCTGTTTCTGGAGTACCCAGCAGCCCCGTCCCAGACTTTCCCAACTCTAAACTTCCGGATGATTCTAGCTTCCCTGTGGATGAGCTGCCTGGCGATGCGGCACCAACTGCAGCAAGCGATCCCTCATCACAAACCGAGTCTGGCATTGTCACGCCGTCGTCCTCTGAAGTCCCGGTTGGCGTCGAGGAGTACTTGAGCCAAGAGAATGTGGTCTACAGGGGTGAAATCACCTCAACACTCCCATTGTCCGAGATCACGGCGTTCTGCAAGGCTCAGGCAATCACAGTGCAGACGCTGGGCCAATCCTGCTGGGCTGTCATGCTGGCGGCCAAGACGGGGTCTCTGGATGTCACGTTCGGCGTGGTACTCTCCTGCCGCGACTCCGAGGTCCTGGAAGAGCTGGTCTTCCCAACGATGAACACAGTCGCTGTGCGAAGCGTCCTGCACGGTACCATTTCCTCCTGGCTGCGGTATATGCAGGATAACATGAGCAGTATCGTCGCTCACCAACATTTCCCTCTGCGGGAGGCCCAGAAGTTGGCGAAGTGCAATGGGCTGCTCTTCAACACGCTGTTTCTCCAGCAACGACGCCCGCCATTGCATCATCAGCAAGGGAGTGAGGTTTTGATGCGGTCAGTTGGCGGGGAGGCAGCGGTGGAATACCCGGTGTGCGTGGAGATGGAGATGACGGAGAAAGCTCTCGTCTGGAGGATTGCTTGTGACGGGGCTTATGCCTCGCAGGTGGAGACATCCCGCATGCTTCGAGATCTGGACCAGGTTCTCGGATATGTCGTCCGCTCGCCAGAGGCGCAGGCTGTTGCGTTCTTTGGACAGGAGATCTCTGTTTGCGGGCTCGATCCCGTACTTCCCAAGACGGCGAAGAATACAGCGACAGCACACCTAAACGGATCAGTCGGGACCGAGAACGAGGCTTGGTCTCCTGAAGAAGAGATCATCAGGGATGTGTTGTCACAGGTATCAGGGGTTCCTGCTGCGACCATCCTGAAGAGCAACACCATCTATCACCTGGGTCTGGACTCAATAAGCGCCATCAAGGCAGGCTCAGTCCTTCGGAAGAGAGGAATTTCAATAGGGTTCCGAGACATGCTCAAGGGGGGGTCGATAACCGAGATGGCCCAGCTTGTCCGGAAGACTCAACCATCACCTGCCAATCCATCTCAAGTCAACCACAACACTGGCTCCACGAACGGATTTGCACTTCCCGCAGATGTTGACCTTACTTCCATCCTCAGCAGTATCGGGCTTGACGAATCCAAGGTCGAAGACGTCCTCCCAGCATCGGCCATGCAGGTGCACATGCTCTCGGTCTGGCAGAACACCGGGGGCCAAGTGTTCTACCCCTGCTTTACGTACGCCCTGTCCGGACAAGTTGACATCAGCACCATCGCAGCCGCGTGGCGAGCGCTGGCGGCCGAGATTCCCATTTTGAGAACCGTGTTTGTTTCGACGAACTCGCAATCAACGCCAATTCTCCAGGTAGTGCTTCACTCTACAGCCGTCGACCAGACGACGATGGCCTCGCCTGAGGGCAACACATGGGTCAGTCGGACGACAGACGAGCTGTCACAACCCTACAACTGCCTGCATACGCAGAAAAACGGCGATAGATGGATTCTGCGACTCAAGATACATCACGCCTTATACGACGCTGTCAGTCTGCCGGCCATCATGGAACGGTTTGCTGCACTCTGCTCCAACAACAGCAGCCCAGGTCCGGGCAGTCAGCAATTCAACTGGCGTGGTGTTCTCGCCCCCACCTCGACCGAGGAAAGCCGGTCTGAACGGAAGAGGTTCTGGACAGAGTACCTCTCTGGCATCGACCCAGCCTCAACACTATGCTTCCCCCAGCAAACCAAGCAGGACCGCCACTCCCGTGTCAACCTCATCAAACCGGCCGCTCTGACGGGCATATCCGCCATTACGAAGCAGTGCAAATCCAAGGGTATCAGCCTCCAAGCCCTCTTCTTCGCAGCGTACGCACACTTCCTCGCTTCCGCGGCTGTCACGAATGGCAAAGAAAAACCTCGGCGCGTGGTCTTTGGCATCTACCTCGCCAACCGAGCCGGGGACACCAACACCAATCTTGGCGGGACAAGTTACCCCTCTCTCCGCCTCGTGCCGCTGCGCGTTGTGTTGAAGGAAGATGCGAGCTTGTTTGAGATCGCGGCAGAAATACAGAGGGATATACATGCCATTTCGGCGCCGGGGTTTGTGGAGGTTGGGTTGTGGGAGCTTAGGGAGTGGACGGAGGTTGTTGTGGATTCGTTTGTCAACTTCTTGGGTGCCAACCTGCATTCGCCGGTTGTTGTTATTGGAGATGGTGAGGAGGAGGGGGTGCGGTTGGAGGTGGTTGAGGGGCCGGTGCTGGATTTGAGTCGGGGTGCGTCTGTCGAAATCGATGATGGGTTCGGAAGGGGAGTGGGGAAAGAGATCGCCGGGAATCCGGTGAGGGATGTGTTTATGGTGAGTGACCCTCTGTGGTGGCCTTCCTGAAGTTCAATCCCGTACTGAAGATCTGGCAGGATGCTATTGACGTGGAGGTTTCGGTGCGTGGAGATGACATGACAATTGGCGTCTTCGGGCCAGGAGAGAGGCTGGGAGGTACTGGAGCGGCCAGGGTGATTGAGGGCGTTGTTGAGGGTTTGAGGGGAGTGGTTTAACCTGCAGTGCTTGTTTTCGGCGTTGATTTATTTCGTGTCTTGATTTGCTTTCTTTTGCATTGAGAATCTAGCATCAGAGATGAGAAAGTTGCTTGCTATCCTGTTATGAACATACCCCTGAAGCCCCTGAGCCCTCGAGCAGCCCCACCATTTGCTCCAGTTCATAGACAACATTCTCGTAGATAGCCCCTTGCAGCTGCGGCTTGTTGAGGTCTGCTCCAAATCCAAAGTCACAATACAGACACCTGGTGGTCAACTCGTCATATCGAGGCCCCAACCGTGACGGTTTTGACGCTGCCTTGCGCACGGCGATTATGTCTTCCGTGTCCAGACACTCCCACCGCCCGATCTGCAGCAGAGCCACGCCGAGACTGTGCAAGGTAACATTCCGGATACCGCAGAGCATTTCTGCTTGGTCGTCCAGGGGTGCTGTGGGAACTTGTGTCAGGACCCCTTGCATCGCCAGATGGTCAGTCCTGGAAACCAGTTTGGCGTCGATATGGAGCGTTGCGAGGGAGGTGGAAAGTTCTTCGTCGATTTCGAAGTACGATAGATCGGAAAGGCACCAGTTCCGGCGCCACCAGGGGGTGGAATGGTACTGGAGGACTGATCGTGCGAGGCGGAGAGCCAGTCTCAGTTGTTCATGGATTGAAATGCTGGTTTCTCTTGCTGGTTGTATGATGGAAGCAAGACTTGCCGGGGGGCAGGGACGGGTTTGAATGGCGGTGCTCTCCTTGTCTTGGGCTGCCATGAGTCGGTGTGTGAGGTTGTCGGTTGAAACCAGGTATCCAACACAGCCCTCCTGTCGAGATTGGTAGAGTGTTTTTGCGCACTCGAATACGTGCTGGCAAACGTCCTTGGCCTGGCAGAGGTTGCGGGCTAAGGGTAGAGCCTGGTCTCGTCTTTGGCAGTCTGTCTCGGAGCTTTGGCAGAGCCTGGCCGAAGACTCGCTTGGGGAATCAGCAAACCTGACCCGGCGAGTCTTGGCTGGTGGTTCTCCGGCGTCAAATGAAGAGCGACTTGAGGACGCTACCGGCGGTGGGAGACCCAAGTCAACCCAGGACAGTTCCTCAGAACGTATGCGGAGAAAGAGCAAGCTGCTAGAGGACGATGAGTTCCGGGAAGCCGGGACGGACCTACAGATGTGGGTATGAACTTACTGCTGTCTTAGGTCTCCAGATATCGCTTCGTACTCCAGGATCGTTCTGAAGTTGACACAGCTGTTGGAGGCATCACTCTCCAAGAACAGCTTGGCTGTGTGAGTGGAATGAAGGCCATTAGAATTGAGACAAGACCAGCTTCTCGTGAGAGATTCCAGAAACGATGCCGAGTGTCGGGCTACTAGACTGTACGTCCGGGGCATGGCCTTTCGCTGTTTTGAACAGGGTACTCGAGGTGCCTGGAGCTCCTTTGCTGTCTTTCTGAGTCTTCTGAACTCATTGACCGAGTCTGTAAGTGACTCGATCCCGTTCTCGAGGGCTGAATGTTTCACTGCTATTCCAACGGCTTTGCGGGCTCGTCGAACAGTGACAGCGGCCTGTATGGCGAAATGTGAGCAAGCGCCAGGTTTAGGGTCGAGCTGCTCATTATGCCACAATTTCTGAGGGAAGCCGGGAAGTAGTACTGACCTTGCCACGGTCGGAAGACTCGTCGGTCGAGTCCTCAAGATTGCTGAGTTCTTTATCGAAGTTCGCGATTTGGTCACGAATTTCTTCTGTCACCTGCTTGACTTCGGGGTATTTCTTGTCAAGAAAGGCTCGTATCTGACACTCTAGGGCTGGTCTTGTCCACTGAGAATGGCTGTAGTCCTGGACCATGTCGGCAGCCATATCGCGGTCAACTCCGGCGTCTTGGAGGAGCAACTGGGACTCATCCCGAAATATGGACACCTGTGTCTTGAATCTCTTTCTAAATCGAGAGATCTCTCCCTTGTGGTGTTTTATTTGCTTGACCTTGGATTTGGTGTGTTTTGCGCCTTTCAAGGCCGCAATGGCCAGCGGAGCTATCCCAAGGCTAAGCGAAATCGGATCCATCGTTGATGATCGACCGGAATGTTGTGAGATAGAGACAGATTTTCGAGAACCTTGTCCATCCGAGTTCGCGGTCAAGGGAGCCTTGCGACTGAAGGCAAACTGAAAGGCGGCATTGCCCATGGGCCAGGTGGATGCTCGATGCTGTGTAACCCCAGCAATTCTGCCGTAGCCGCCAGCCCCTGTCGTTGGCTGCGACACTGCCCTCCCAGCAAGACATACAGCAGTTTTTTTGCTATGGTGCCTTGCTTCCCCCTTGGCCTTCTACTATCTCTCACTTCCGCATCTACATCGTGCGATCGTCTGTCTCATGATGACCCATTCGGGCATGGCATCATCTAGCTGACGTCGGACGATGAGCTACGGGATCGAAACTTGGCAACACTCGGTGCCCGGCGAAGGGAACGCGGAGCCTTCGTCATCCCAGACGGATGGACTTGCCTCTCGTCTGAGCAGGACTGCCTCTGAGCTCTTTGCACTCGCTCTTCAGCACGCCCGGCGGCAGACATCGAAAGCAGTATTTCGGACGCTTGAGCGCGAATATGGCTATCTTCAGCTGTGGTGCGACGGCTACGGCGCGGTCACCGGTGATCTGGACGACGTCTTGGCCGAGTCAAGGAGATTGCGGTATTCCACCTACCGCTTGTTGGTCAGCCTTTGCCAAATTCTGACAGAGAGTGAGCTTAGACTGGCCTTTGATTACTACACTGGTTTCACGCGCTAACTTTTCCAGAACTTGTGGGCGTGCTGCTCCCTGGTGTTGATGATGCTGCATATCGCAGACTGAACGAGAAGGCGGCCCAGGCCAAAGACGTGGTTGAGGCGACAATTTTCGCTATCCGCAATGTCGATGGCAGCGACACAGATTCCGACTCAGAAAGCGACTGCTCATCTTTCACTTGGGAGAGTTCAGTCGAAGACATCATTGAGAACATCAAAACCGATATCCGATGTCTCGTGGACCTTGGCCCGAGGTACAAAGAACCAATTCGAGACAGAACGGTGGCCGAGGTAGCCGCAGTCCCAGGGCCTGTGTCAACTTGGGATCAGGCGGAATATCTTGCGTCTCGCATTCGCCATCGCTACCCGAATGTGGATGTTGAACTGGCTCGCATTCTCGGCCAGGCGAACTGGGACAGGTTTCGGAGATTGTCTGAGTACAAGGAACAGAACATCCGTGAAGCTCAACGGCCAGCAAACAAGCCGGAGCCAGCACTCATGCTGTCTGGGACTGTCGTTGCTTCCGACTTCCATGATTCCGGATTAGGGACCTCATTGGCCACGCCTAGCTCGTACGCTGAAACAGTCCTCTCCTACCACGGCACAAAGGGAGGTTCCATCAAGATCCCACCGGCCCCTCCCGAAGCACTCGAGGGAAAACCGTTCCTGTGCGATATATGCGGGCGCACCTGCCGCTTACCAGGCGTGAACTGGAAGTCTCTTTGGAAGTAGGCTAAGGCAACCGCCTGGGCGTTCATGGCTTCTGGTTCTAACAAGCTGACGACCACACAGAAAGCACGTCCTTTCGGATCTCGAGCCGTACGTCTGCGTCATCCCAAGCTGCCTGTATAGCACAGTTCCTTTCCCAGACAAGAACTCGTGGAAGCATCATCTCGATTTGGAACATGAATTCACCAACACCTCCTTCACATGTCCGCTGTGCCAGGAGGAGCCCACTGGCGGAAGACTAGCCCATATGGCCCGACACCTTGAAGAGGTGTCGTTGACCATCCTCCCGGCAAACGCAGGATCCGACGAGGACTTCGATGGAACTTCAAATGAATCAGACGGAGAAGCCAGTGTCTCGAACAGCTCCTTCAAGTTACCAGAGACGGACACAGTCGACGAGCCAGCGGCGAGGTTGGTGACCGATTACATAAGTTGCCCTGACCTAATGTGAAGGCTGATAAGTATCGCAGCCACAAGCAGGACAAGCTCTGGCAGTGCGAGCACCCAGGATGCGAGCGGAGCTTTGTCACAAAAACGCAGTTCGACCGCCACATCAATGACAAACACCTTACGCCGCGCCAATTCTATTGCACTCAGCTTGAGTGCGAATATTCGAGGCAAGGCACCAAAGCCTTCAATAGAAAGGACAGCTGGAAGCGGCACATGTTGAACAAGCACTCTATCGACCCCCAAGACATGACATACGACTATACGGGTTACTTTCCGGAAGGCGACTACGTCGAGGACACTTTGCTGAACTCCTTGACGCCGGACCCGCAGCCAGGAGACGGGGCAGACACGGTTGACGATAAGTCAAAGCGCATCCAAGCTTCACCGCAAGCGTCCAGCTACACATTTTCGGCAGATGCACGCCCCCGGAGGTCCGGTGGGTTAATACTTCCCCCAAATATCTCGTCGCTGCCTACATGTAGTATGTACTCAACTGACAACCTTTGTAGCCGGTTTTTACACATAGGTCAAAGCAGTCCCGAGGCCTCGGGGGAGCGGACAGAACACCATCATCGTCCACCACAACCGCTCCCACGAGGACTTAGACGAACAGATGGCCAGACGACACCACAAGTAACACAAATCGGGAGCCTTATTTGCGTTGGTTAAGGGTAATCTTGGTGGTTTTGCGTCGCAAACAAAGCCTCAAATGGTTAGCAAATACTGCCAAACCTCCATCTGACCCCTAACTCCGGCCAAACCACCTGCTTTTCTTCCCGCCTACATCTTCTGTGGACATCTCCGATGACACGTTGAACTGCTCAACACCAGGAATAAAGTGTGATGCAAAGGGCTTGAATGCGACTCTGGAGGTGGCCCGGTTTGAAAGATTGGCAAATTACATCCTAGCGTCTGCAAGTGAGATAAATCCCAGCTCACATCAAGGGCAGACCTGATCGCCCTCTTACACGGGCTAATACAGTGCTCCAACTTCAGCTCTTTTTCCATGTGTAATCGGCGCCTGTAAATTCAGTTCTAAGCTCTTAAACTTCTGCGCCTGGAAGTACTCACCAGGATGGATTCGCGGCTCTTCAATACCCTTGCGAATCTCCTTCTTCTGCCTCCAATCGCACCCAGCAAACCGCTGATCCCTCTCGTCCATAATCTTCTCCAACCCCGCCACCTGCCCCTCGGCAGTAATGCTCGTCATCAACTGCGGCTCCCCAAGCGGCAGCTTGTCCCCGCGATCGACCTGCCACAAATGGTAGACCTTGCCGTACAGCTTGATGACCTCTTCCATCTCGGCCGTCTCGGCTTTGTTCCACACGGCCTGGGGCACGAGCGGGTTGGGTTGGGGCATGACGAGCATGCCCGATTTGACCTCAAAGACGTGGCTGTGCCAGAGGCGGCGCTCTTCATGGGGCAGCGTCTCGTACAGGTGCGGTTTGATCATGTACTCGACGCCGATCAGGCGGGCGCCCGGCGAGGGGCTGTCGTAGAGCAGGCACTGGCGCACGTCCTCAGTCAGGTGGCCGCAGTAGTGGTTGGCCTCGACGACGCGCGTCGGGTCCGAGGCGTAGACGTGGAAGGCGTTGAGGTGGGCGCAGATGTTTTGGATGGGGGAGAAGTCCTGGGAGGGTGTGTCAGCCCTTCTTTCTGTACTGCTGCAGACCTCGTACTTGTGTCATGGCAGCCCCCGACTCAAGGACAGTGCTCTTGGTGCTGCGTGGCTGGCCGGCCACCTTGCTCCCGGCCTCAACGTCTTTTTGATGTGTGGCCGACTGCATGTTGACCAAATTGTGAAATGGATACCGGCTCAGAAAGCGATTGCTCTTCTTTTGCTGGGATTCGGCCGAAAAGAAAATTGAGGACATCAAAACCAATATCCAATGCCTCGAGAATTCTGAACCGAGGTTCAAGTAACCAATTCATTGTTGGGCGACTGGGCGAGAGACGGCATTCCAGTGACGTCACTGTGATGCTGCTTCCCTACGGAAACCATCGTGATCTTTTTTATGCCGTTGTTTTCCATGTCGGCAACATCAAACCGAGGTCTACCAGATGCGGTGCTTGACTACATCCAGAGCGATGATTTCTGGGCAGCATGCATGCCCAAAAGTTGATTGTTCCTCGATTTTGACATTGAAAGCCAGGACCTCCAGGGCTGGGCGCGGCCTATCTTGAACACGCGCTATCCGTGACAGGCAAGGAGGGACCCTCGCATGCGGCCTGGGCGGCCACGCGCTGCTGGTTTAACGATCCAAAGGCGTTCACTCGCCGCCATGGAGCAGGCAAAAGCGCGAGATGCAAACACAAAAAGTCCCAGTTCGGACACAATTGACTGGCCGAACAAGCTCTGTGCCGCATGCAGCTGAGAATCTTGGGAATGGTTTGAGTCGCTCGCCTGGATTGAGACTGGTCCTCTGGCCTGTGCAATGCGACCATGGCTTCGCTTCAGGGTTCCGCAGCCGCAGCTGATTTCTTGGCCTCCCCGGTCGAATCAATCTCCAGCTCCGTCATGTCCGAGAATGAGACCAGGGGAGGCGCAGGTATCTACATCACCAGCCAAGGTATCTCTTCCTGCGCGGGCCTGGTTGCTCCGCTCGACATGTTCTGACCCAGTTCCTGGACGAAGTTGAATGGGTAACTATCACTTCATTCAACAAGCTGACAGGCAGGTCTTCGGTTGATGAACCAGAAACCCGCAACGGAGAGCCTTGCGAGCCTCGCCCGGCAAAGACTCCGACACCAGCGTACTCCTCGATCCCTGAAGTCCCCAGCACGCCCTCTGCACCATGGCCGATACGGGTAACAACAGCATGAGCGCCGGCGGCGGCGGCAACAATGACAATGACGGCGTCATCAACTGGGTCGCCCTCGTCATCTCGCTGGTTGCCCTCATTGGCACCCTGGCCCAGGTCCTCCAACAATACATCGCATCGGCCGCTGGATACTCAAACTGCGGCGAGAGCGTCATGGGCAAATGGCACGAGAGCAAAAAGCGAAAATTTCGGCCGACCGAGTTGCGCTTCGAAGTCCAATTTGAGACCCCCGTCATCTTCGTCTGCGAGCCCAAAAACGACAAAGGCCCCATCAAGGGCAAGCCCATCTACTTCGTCAAGGGCACCGACGAGAGCTTGAAGGAGACACGGGCCTTGCTGCCCAAGGAAGAGGAGGCGCAGACGCAAGCGTTGCGGGAGAAAAGGGTGCACACGGCCGACAACGAGAGGGCTTCGTGGGTCATACTGCTTTCGCAGCTGCAGTCGATGGAGAAGGAGAGCCAGGACTGGCAGTACCATCACTCCAACAACGGTCCGCCACACAACTTGCCGCTCGCCGGCTTTGAAAGCCACACGCTGGCCGTCGCCCTCCAGGCCAAGAAGCGAAGCTGGGACACGATGCCTGCAGGAATCAAGAAACCCTACGCCACCACAGCCATGTGCCACCTGCTTGAGATCGCCGCCATGATGGGCATTTATTGGAAGGAGTTTGACCGGTCGCGGGACCGATACCGCGCCGAGGGGAATGGCTACATGCTGGTGGGCTCCAACGTTCCCGATCTAGGCGTCACCTTCACCCTGCAGATTTGCGGCAAGAGCCGATTCCAGGAGAACCGCGTGATCCCGGTCGACGAGGTCAAGGAGCTCTGCTGCGGCTTCGTGTCCACCTTGTTTCAGGAGGAGAACAAAGACAAGCGCAGGATAGAGGTGCCCATCGAGGACGCCAAAGATCTCAGCATTCTCCAGCTCGGCAGCACCAGGGAGATTGCTGAGACCATGGTGCTCATCGAGTGCAACACGGACACTGCCAACTACTTTCGCTCCGACGACGCCAAGCACGGTCATCTCTTCCCAGGTATGACAATTTCGGAGCCTCTCCTTGTCCTTTTTGCGCTGACCGGTAATAGTGCCCTTCGAGCTCTTGGGTATGCTTGGCAAGACGCTGCATATTCGCAACACGGCCTTCCGCATGCTGCCAAATCCTACGCCATACCACTGGGACAAGAACTTCTTTAACCTTCGCAGACTTGTGAAGGAGTACTACAAGAAAATCACCGACTCGGACTCGGAGCTCCCGCCGGTCTTCCAAATTCAGCAGTTGGAGGAAGACTCTGGACATCTGGTACGCACTCTGGCGGAGGACAAGCGGACCAAGACGCCCGGATACTCGATGAAGCTCCTCGACACGCTGCACGACGTGCTGGACAGGTGCGATGAATATCTCCGGAAAAGCAACCGAGATCTCGTCCGGGTGGTCGTCCGAGAACACTTCCAGGAAGTCCTGAAGCTTATCAACGACAAGAGCGGCGCCGATGACGCTGTCGACAACAAAAGCACGCGCACCACCGACACAAAGAAGGCCGAGCACTTCGACGAACTTACGGCCGCTAGCCCCGAACTGCGCCAGGAACTCTTCATGGATCTCTACTTCTTCAAGGTGCTGCACCAAGTGCGAACGCGCGCTGTGGCCTCGTACGAGCGGCGGCAGGACACCCACTACGCGCCGTCCGTACGCGCGCCATCCGTGCACTCACGCGAGCCGTCCATCGACAACCTCACCGAGGCCAAGTACAGCGACCCCGAGGCTAAGGCGGTATCGCTGCCACCGACGCCCTCGGCCGTGCCTTCACGGCCCATCTCGCCGGGCCCTCCCCCACCGCACCTCAAAAAGCACGAAAGCAGCCAGTCGGTGCCGGTGCTGCACATCCATCCGCCGGAGCGCGTGTTGCATCAGCATCAACTTCTTGGGATGGACCTCACCTCTAGCCTGGACTCGGAGGCCACGGCCATCTGGTGCACGCTGGTGCTTAGGATGCTGTGCTGGCTTCTGCTGCACGACTTCAACAAGAAGGATGTGCAGATCCCGAAGAGCGAGTTGCTGGGCAGTCGGCTGCCGGTGTACATTGCCTGAGAGAGCTGGTGGGGCTGGCCTCTTGCTCACGAATGGGACAATGGTTTGAGGCAGGTCGAAAAGTTGCGTGCGGAACGCTCACGATATTACGACTGGTTTCTTTCACGGGATACCCTTCGGTTTGTATATTCTCTTTTGCATAGAGTTGGATTGAGCAACTCGCATCCTGCTCTCCCTGGGCGATGGCGTGGTGCTGGGTGACTGTGAGGTGTTTCCTGGATTCGACTTTCCGTACCAGCTGATCAATAAACTGTCAACGAGAGCAGCCGAAGAGCCATGCGTTCAATCTTCGCCCGAACCGCCCAACAGCAGCGGTCCTTACAATCCGTCCTGCAGGCGCTTGTCACCCAGAGTGTCCAAAGTGGAGCTCGCTTATGCTGATGAAGTGGCAGAATTCCCTCACAATGACTGACCCCAGTCCAGTAGTGATTCCCGAGAACAGGAGCTTGGAAGCTTCCAGGAGTCGAACATGACATTCTCCGAGGATGGCCAACTCAGCAAACACGAATCCGATGAAATCGAGACTCCCAGCCACCTCAGCTCAGTCCTGTAGGGCTCAATCCCGGTTGGTTCCCTCCGCCGCCACTTACACCAGTTACAGGAGACAGCACGCTGGGCAGCCCCGCAGCTGGACCCCGCACAACCAGTGATCAGGGAGGATGCGGTGAGCAACGGCGTGACCGCCTCTGCCAGCCCGCGCCGATCGGATGCATGCCGCCTCAATCTGGACGCTTTGCCGCTTTCTGCCCGATGCCGACACCGTCCAATCATGCAGCCAGCCCTGCGTGCGATGCGCCAGCGTTTGCTGCCACTCGATATCGCATTGGGCGGCCTGAAACGTTTGCGATCAAAGTCCTGCTGTTTGACCCAGGTTCATGGCCGCTGGGCCGCCAGGTTGATGGGCGCCATATTCTCCCAACCACCGCAACATTACGTCTCCAAGCGGAGAATACCACCTTAACCGTTCAAATTCTGCGAGTGAACAGCAGCTTCGAGAGCAGTTGAGGAAACTCCTGTTGCGGTTCGAGAACGGCGCTTACGCTGGCATGGGAGGAACTTGAACGCGAGTGGTCTGAACCAGACAAACCAGCGAACTCCAACCGACGATAGGCAAATCCTCGACAACTGAAAAATGCCGACCACGGAGATCATCACCATCATCAATAACTCGGGAAAGGTCATCAGCACCGTACGTACCTGCCTTACCTTGTACGCCATCACACAAACCGGTCCATCTACTGACACCCTCCAGGGCAAGCAGCTGGTCAACATCTTCAAGGAGGCCCAGGCTGCCTACCGCGACCGGAAGGATGCCGCCAAGGCACATCGCCGTTCGATCCAGCGGGCCAACACGTTTGACGTGGCATCGCGCAGCGATCCGTACTACGACGAATACTACTACGGCAGGTACCCCGAATACATCCACCATGCGTACGACCGCCGATCCCTCCGCGATGCTTTCAGCCGCCGAAGGTCATACGACGACGACGACGGCCGCTCGCACGCACTCTCCCGCTACAGCCGCCAGTCACGGCGGCCGCACCGGCCCCAGTCCTCAGAGCGGCCTCTCCCCGCGCTGACCGAGGGCAACCTCAAGACACACTCCGAGGTCTCCGGGTCATCCCCGTCCAAGGCTTACCGGTCTCCATACGCAGAGACGGCGCCGCGGGACATGCAGCTTTCCCGGCCGACGCTTGCCCTCGGAGCCCCGCCGCCCGCCTCCGAGTCGGCTGGCCCTGTCGCATCCGGCGCGCTTGTCCCCGGCCCGGGCCCCAACCTGCAGAAGCTCGTCCAACGCCCGCGCTCCGACCCGTCCCTAGCCAAGAAGAAATCCATCGACATGGACCTCGCCTACGGCAACATTCCGCCCGATCTCGCCTTTCGCGTGGATCTCGACCCCAACGCCGGATCCCCGGAGCAGCAGCAACAAGACCCGCAAGAAGCGCAAGCCCTGACGCTAATGGACCGCATCGAATCCTTCCTCGAAGAAGCGCAGTGCGTGCACCACACCGCTAGTACCATGATCGAGCACCTGCAGCGCAACCCCGAGGCCGCCGCCGCCGTGGCGTTGAGCCTTGCTGAGCTGAGCACCCTGATCGGCAAGATGAGCCCGGCGTTTCTGGGGTTCTTGAAGGGAGGGAGCCCGGCCGTGTTTGCCCTGCTCGCTAGCCCACAGTTCCTGATCGGTACCAGCATTGCCGTCGGCGTGACGGTCGTCATGTTTGGCGGGTGGAAGATTGTCAAGCGCATCGCTGCGGCCAAGACGCTCGAGGCGCCGTTTGAGATGCGCGCGGCTGGTGTTGTTTCCGAGGCGCCGGCCGCGGAGAAGGTGGCGGCTCTCCCGCATGCTGCTGCTGGGGCCACCAGTGCGGCCAGCTATGACGAGGCGCTCGTGCTGAGGGAGGTGGAGGAGCTGAGCAGCATTGAGACGTGGCGGCGCGGGATCGTACCGTTTGGCGGCGACGAGGACCGGGAGTCGGCGGATGTGGAGCTGATGAGTCGTGAGGCGGAGCGGGCTCTCAGGGAGCGGTTCAACCGGGATCTAGACGAGGTCGAGCCGTGCGATTCTGTCTCGCAGGTCAGTCGTGCCAGGACGGAGCGGTCCAAGAAATCGTACCGCAGTCATCGGAGCGGTGCCAGTCGCAGGCATCATCACTCTCATCGTGACCACCGAGAGGAGAATGGGGAGATTCCTGAGCGGAAAAGCAGTGCTGGCAGCAGCAGCAGCAAGAAGGACAGGGATGGCGGCAAGAGCGAGGCGGCGAGCCAGAAGAGCCATCGCAGCCACCGCAGCAGCCGGAGTCGTGGCCACCACCACCACCACCACGAGGGCAGCTCGGCGGTCTCGCGCTCGTCTTCCAAGCATACGGCCAGGATTGACCTCAAGGCGATTGAGGAAGGGGATGGTGGTGGCGATGAGTCGTCGTCGGGCAGCGGGACGGGCAAGCCGAAGGAGAAGAAGAGGGACATGATCAAGCAGCTGTTCAAGATGAAGAAGGACAAGGAGGACCGGGAGAATGCTGTATCGGTTTTGGTGTGATGGTTCCTCAGTTATGGCTTGTGGAGTTGAACGGAGTGGAGTTGGTTCAGGGTTCTTATGGTTTGGTGCATGGCGAGGAGTGGATATTCTGACAAGGGATCATTGAACATCTGCGTGTGTATCGTTCCAATTTAGCATAGAAAAACTCGGCTCATTGTGATCAGTCCCGTCTCATCTTGAGGCAGCTGTCGTTGTTCTGACATTATGGGCTGGGCCTGGGATTGCTGTCGTCTTGATGTTGGTACTTGGGTCGCTTCAGCAACTGGCACGGGGCACCACTCGGGTTTGGCATGTCCTACTACCTGCGCCAAATGGCTCTGAGAAATGGTAAGGAAGCGTCCAAGCTGGAGCGTGCCATCCTTCCAGGCATCTCCTACCACAAGTATAGTAGTTCCAAGTCGTTCCGAGTCGGAGCACCGTAGGCCGGAAGGAGCGATGTTCGGATGCATCAGGTTGAAGGGCTGCATCCCCGACTTAGTGTGAGGCATTCAGTCACCATTGACTCCTGTACTTGCGCTCTCCAACATTCTTTCCCGGCCAGCAGAGCCACGTTTCTGGTTCCCCAACACTATCTCCCACCCGAGAAGACTGGAGCTGCGTGACAGCTTCCTTGGTACCTATCAACCTGGACTTTACAAGAAGACCTAGGCTTTTCACACTTTGCATCCCTTCGAGCGTTTCCTCGACCCATGGCGGAGAGTCGTCCTGATTTCCGTCAGCACCTCCAACAGAACCCTTCCTTATCAGGGTTGCAGTATCCCCCGCAACGTGGTACTTGCGGTCGTCGTGTGGAGCTGGAGCTTGTTCGCCGTTGCTTGCTCATGTGGAAACAAGCACCGCTAACCAACTTCCTGTTGCGGTCATCGATCTTTTTGCGGACTCCTCCGCCGAGGAAGTACTGCTCACACCGCAAAGCTTCCGCAGCCCTGTGGCACAGAAGTCAAAGCCAAACGCTGCCAAAGTGTCGGCACGCATGCGGTTGGCTCCCGTCGGTCCCTTGGCGCCCTTGGCCCTGGGGATTGGGGACGTTACGTCTAGGACCGGTATCACCATTGTACGACCGTCATACAGCCTTGGGAAGTGCATGGGAAGCTGCGGCGATATGGTTTGCACAGTCTCAACCGGCCCCAACTGGTCCCGGTTTCGTAAACTCATGAATCCGGCAGCTGCAGTCAGCATACTACTCGCTAAGAACCGCGAACTGGAAGGACCGTACTGCCTAATTCTCAATCTCCCAGTCCCAGGGGGCCTTCTGCCTGTCCGGCAAGCTAAGCTGGTTCTCTCATCAAGGAAGGATCCGACAGGTCGAAGGGTATAAGGATCACCGAGCTCCATGGCCAGTCTTTCAAAACATTTCCCTCACAACAAGTACTTTTGCAGCGGTTCGTGATTTTGCTATCGCAACATCAACAAGCATTTACCCAACATCGACTACGACCAACACTACTATCTTCCATCAGCAACCCCCAACCGATCCATCATGGGTGACATGTCCGCGGCTATCCACCCCGGCGCTCCGGATGACATGAGAGCGTACAGGGCGCCGTCTCTGTTCCAGCCACACCGCGTCCGCCAGGCGATCCGTGACGCGCACAAAAAGAAGATCCCCCCGCTCATCGGCTACTACGCCGGCCTCAGCTCCATTCCCATCACGCGCTTCCTTGCTCCGATGGGCTACGATTGCGTCTGGATCGACTGGGAGCACACGTCGTGCGATGTCGAGACGATGACCACTGTGAGTGACTGCAGTACTAGGCTCACATTGTTTCCTCATTTGAAAAACACGCTGACAGACCGTCAGATGGTTCATGAAATCGTGTTCATGAGCGAGGGTCGCACCATCCCCTGGGTCCGGTGAGTCGCGGCCTGCCACCATTCAACGTCACTCCCTCTGGAATGGCCTGCTGATTGTTCGTGTTGCTACAGAGTCCCTGGTCACGATCACGCTGCCATCGGGTTCGCCCTGGACGCGGGCGCGAGTATCATCATTCCGCAGGTCGAGACAGTCGAGCAGGCCAAGTATGTCGTGTCGGCAGCCAAGTTCGGCACAAAGCAGAAGGGCACTCGCTCGATGCCGCCGTTCCGGTTCGTGCCGGGCATCACCGACATGGGCGCCGACGGGAAGCGGGACGTGTGGCAGAACCTCAACGACCAGGCGGCCATCATGGTGCAGATCGAGACGCTCGAGGGCATCAACAACCTGGACGCAATCCTGACCGAGGTCCCGGACATTGATGTGGTGTGGCTCGGTAGTCTCGACTGCCGCATCAGCATGAACCTGCCGGCCAACTTTGGCCACGGCGATGAGCCCGTGTGGCTGGCGGCCGTGGACAAGTTCAACGCCACGCTCAAGAAGCACGACAAGCCCCGCGCCGGGTTTTGTCTCCAGGGGGGCGAGACGCTCACCAAGATGGCTCAGGACAACTGCTTCCTTATGCATGCGGCGGATGTCCTGAAGCTGTACGAGATGGCTCCCCAGCTCGTGTCTGCGAGGGCCGCGGTGGCGCTCAAGAAGTGATTTCTTGAGGTACTTTGGTTTAGTTTGTACGAGTAACGGGACATGAAATACACTCCAACAGTTTTTCTACTGAGCATTGCTGTCCACTGTGAGAACCTGCTGATTCCGTAGCCCCTGTTCAAAAGAGATATCGCGTACCACCGGCACAACCCCCCATACATCGCCGCCAGCAGGCCTTCGACCTTCCCTGACAGTCAATGAAGGGATCTGACTGAGACCGGACAAGGAGAGGGAATTGGGTCTCTGGAAAGCTTGGGCATGTTGTGGGCCGTCGTAAAGGGAGTCAACGGCGACACCTTACAGACAGCAGCAAAGTTGAGCTATGCGCGAGACCGGGAGCCGTGGTAGGAGCAGACGGGTTGGAATTGTGGTTCTAGCAACGGTACTTCTGTATATAAGGCTCAGCACGGCGCGTCCCTGCTTGCCCAGAGACATCTGAGGGCCAGGTTTTGCCTGTCCTGCCCGAACATCCATAATTAACAAGAACAACAACAATAACCCATACGTGGATTCACAGGGACTCTGTGTCTCTGAGCCAGAGGTGTTGCAGAGCTTTCCTTGCCGTGATCACCCTCTCGGTATCCAGAGCTTGAGACCCATGTCGGTGCTGGATTCAGGGGGACTCGGCGTCTTGGAACCAGGGGTGTTGCAGCGCCTCCCTGGTTGTGATCCTTCTCTTGGAATTCAGGCTTGTTATCTGGAAAATGAGATCCTGAAATCCCGCGTCGCGAACGGCCTCCCGGAGTTCCCATCGCCGAATTCAGCAGCCAAGGACAGAAGTCGCTCGCAAAAGGGATTCTCCTTGCTGGTATGCTTCATGAGCCCAGTGAAACCATCCTTAGTTCCGAGATACATGATGTGTTTCCGAAGGACGTGGGCCCAAGCCCTGTCGGTCTTAAGCTCTTGATTGCTTTCGAGGAACAACATGTGGTTGAGCATGATATAGATTGCCACGATGGCGAACGACTAGACCTCAGGCAACATGTCTTGTCTTGCGCGAGCCCAAGACTCGGGGCTCCGACAGAGCCCGTTTCCGGAGAGGCAACCCTCGATGCATCCGTCAGGGCCAGTAGGACCGCATCCTCGAGGTCTGACATGCGGGCCTGGGTGATGGTGAGGTCTCTGTTTCTGCTACGCGTTGCCTGTTCGTAGTCGATGTTGTCGATTAGGATGTGGTTGGGTTTGATGTCTAATCATAATAAGTCGTCAGTCTATAATTACATGTACATGTGATTACCCGGCTACGGCACGACTGGGCACATGTTGCTGACGCGGAGCGGTCTAGCATTTGGTACCCGACGGCTCCGGGCGTCTGCGAGAGAGAATGGTCATCGGCCACATGGTACGTATGCTACCCGTTGACTTACTAGTATGTATGATGCCTCTGTCGTGCAGCTCGGCCAGGCTTTCAAGGGAGCGCTTGACAATGCTATTTTCTTGTCTCACACGCGAGCGGTCGCCTGGAAAAGTGAAGGAAATGCTCGGGGAGAACTCGTAGACGAAGATGGCGTTCTCCTTGACAGTATCCACCAGCGCCCTCAGATTTTGACTGGAAGACAGAGGCTGTTGTAGGAACTTCTTTTGATAGTCGTAGTTGCCTCGGAAGATGTTTTTCAAGACAAAACTCTTTTGAGCAAAGCTAGAGTGAATGAAGGAACGGTGAGTACTTCGGCGTCAGTCTGGAATCTCAGTGAGGTGGTCTAGCTTGGGTGCCAACACATACTTACCTTGCTTTGTACAGGTACATCAGCTGATATCCGAGTCGTCGTTCTGACAGGACCTCCTGGACTCGTACATGCGCCCTGAATCCCCGCGGGTGGTGGTCCCTGGCGTGAAGGGCTCGCATCTAGTCCCGGCTAAAGGAATTGTGTTCTGAGGTCGGCGATGAAGAAAGTGCCAGGATGATGTGGTATTGGGGGGGGGAGCGGGAGGTTTTCATAGGGAAGTGGGCAGTGCCTCGAGCGAGGCGGATGCCAGGAGACCCAGCGCGACCAGAACATTGGAGCGCGAAGTGCATTTGAGATATAAGAGGGGTCAGGATCGTGGTGCTAAAACTTGAAGTGAACGTGGCCAACATTGTATTTGATGCCCGGATAGGGTCAGAGCCGGTCGGTGACTTGTAAAGAGGGAGGAGGTACTTTGTTGATTGGCGGCGCTTCATCACAATATCTTTCCACTGTCCCTCATAGGTATTTCTGTAGTGTCTAACCCCTTTCAACTTAGATTTCCTCCTTCACCGGCCGAGAACAAAATCTGCAGCCAAACATCACCACCGTATGTTTACATCAGGGGCCACCATCCAACACATGAACAACATCGTGATACACAACACAAGACCAACCATTTACTTAAGATAATCGCCTTTCAGAAGGTTGGTTAATCGGGGTTAAGTTCAGAGTGTCTGAAACCTCCCCGATGCCGATGTGGGGCCGTATGGGCCGGGCCGTCGAACTCGCCCCACTATCGGGGCTCGGCGCTCCGGACCCTCGAAGACGTGATATGTACAACATCACATCACGTCTTGGAACGTCTTGGAAGAGATGATGCATTGCGAGGGCAACGGCTCCTTCAGCTGTAGCTGTAGCTGAGGAACCTTGGTGCACAGGGAAAGTGGTGAGGTGGGGCGTAAGATTATTACCCGAAACGGCAGCCGTTCCATGCCAATAGAATCCAGACCCGCCGCAAACCCGCTGCGAGAGCGGCGATACTCCCCTTTGCGTCGAATGCTCGGTGCACGTTGAGTTTGTTATCATGAGCGTCCCGCGTCTACATAAGCACGTCGGCCGGCCAGTAAACCCGAATGGTGGTTGAGAGCCGTAAAACCTCCAATCGGAACCGAGAGGCAGCAGCACGCAGAGAGAGATGATGAAGTGAAGGGCATCGTGGTCGTGGAGGTTGTAGCAATTGGTCAGGGGCCGTTGGAGCTGCGAATATAAAGAAAGGGTGCCATCCACTCCAAGGAACCTCGATCGAAGCAACCATCAACCTCTTGATCCGCCACTCGCCTGAAAGACCTGACCTTTGATACTCCCAAGTCCCAACCATCCGCCGCACAAGACCGCAATGAAGCTCACCCTACTCCCCCTGCTTCCCTTGGTGCTGCAAGTGTCAGCAATGGCAAGTTTTGATCAAAAAGTCCTAAGACCATCACCTGGGGTCCAGCATCACTGATATTCCTGTTACCCAGACCTTGCCTCGTGATGCCGCTTCGGAACGCGGTGAACTCGACACCCGCAACGCCGTCGGCCTGACCTGGATCGGCCAAGTCAAGGAAGGCCAGCCGAATGTGACCTTGACGGGCACCGCAGAGGAGATCGTCCAGCAGATCCTCGCTGCCAACCCGGATTACCAGTTCCCCACCGTATCCAACAAGACGCACCGGGCGCTTGAGGAACGGCAGGATCCGCGTCTCAACCCGCCACCCCCAACCAAGTGGGGGACGCGCGAGAACAGCGTAGCCAGCTCGGACGACGACTGGCTCCTGGTATGATATGACAGAGGTCGCACCTATACCATCATTGTACGAGCAGCCTGGCTGACTCAACTTCAGACTCGGTGGGACTGCAACTACGGCACGGGCGTCTGGTTCGATTTGACCGATGGCAACGTCGCATGTTAGTTGCATTTCAAGTTCTTAAGACAAAGACCACATTGACCTTTATGCTAAACAATTTCAACAAGACCTCGAAAAGCTCGGAAACGGCGCCTGCGTCGTGCCGCGGGGTCCCAACGGCCTGGCCCGGGTGGCTTGCTCCTCGAGCGCATCCGTCTTCGTCGTCAACGACAACAACTACCAAGTTCAAATACCCTGCATTCAGGTCGCCCACATGGCCTGGCATCCCATGTACAACTGCCGATGGGTGAGTCGACGGACGTGCTCTGTCTGACCTCTAGTCTAGGTCTGCGTCACCCAGACCTCTGTCTCAACTGACCTGGTATCGCAGGAACAATTCTCCGCTTCCCTAGGGAGGTTTCACGGCTTCACTCGCGGCCGGGTAAGTCCAACCATGACCGAGAGCAACATCGAGTGCTACGATCAACTTGTGCCGTAACGTGAATCCCAGCTGGCTTTTGCTTACAACGATACAGTCCAACACCATTGGAAACTGGTGGGTAAACATCAACAGGGACAGCTGCTGATCGAGCTTCGGCTCGTAAAAACATAAACCTCACGACTGGAGACAGAGAGCATTGGCTTTGCTTTGCGTCGTGAGTTCTTCGCAAGGTCCGTGGTCTGTATGATGGGGAAGAGGTGTCAAGAGCATGACTGTTTGCTCTCTTAGAACATAAAGTCAATTCAACATTGAACCGAGGGTATAGAGGTTAGTTTGATAGAGTATCCTTCTTCATCTTCGCTATAGGTGGCGTTTAGTTAGTCCCTGCCAGGAAACCGTAGGCAACTCTGTCCGTGACGGAAGGGTGAAGAGTGGAAGACTAGACTAGACCATATCTCATATATTTTCCACAGTGACCCCGGACCCGTTAACCCGGGCCCCTTCCCAACCCACTCCCGTTAGCTCCTCCACCTATCAACACATCGAAATAACCTATAAAGCATAAAGTGAGAACTTTGTGTGTTACGCCAACATTACACATATGAAGCGAGTAAAGAAGGTATGTTGAGAAGGAGTCAACTCGAATATGGCCATATTTTAACAATGTCAACAACAGGTACAGTGCACCTGTCGCCACGGTGATATCGACTGCACACCAAGGGCGGGTCCTCGCCGACTAATACACTCCGGCGTGAGTGGTCGTAAAGGATCCGTAAGAGATTGCTTAGCCTGCGTTCTTGCCCCTCGAACTGGCGAGCAGTCGAGTTCTCGCTTCCCTGTCAATAAATCGCCAATACCACCTTTCTTGCTTGTTGTCCCCTCGCTCCTCGTCACCACAAATACTGAACCACCTCAGGATAGCAAGATGGACGACCATAACAGCGAGGAGGCAACAAGCCATGGTGGCACCGCTCAGAGCGTCAGAGAAAGCCAGCGTGCCGGGCGTTCCACGCGAGATCCGGCTGCGCATCTACTCGCTCCTCCTCAAGGCTGACACGCTCATCGACACCTTTCTAGTCAGGGCCAATGAAGCCACGATTGCCGAGGTCCGCTGGGCCAGCGGTGTGCGTCAATCAATCAAGGTTAATTCATGCGGTCCTCGCTAGAGTGAGAACAGGGTGAGATGAGAAGATATTTTTCTGGTCTGCCGCTTGCTCTGTGTTAAGGGGAGCACCTTCTACTACAACCATAACCTCTTTGACTGCCACTCGTCAAAGCAGTGCCTCAGCTGGTAGGTCACTTCCACCCCTCCCATGTCTTCACCCGGTATCATATCGCGGCAATAGTCATGGGGTTCTGACTAGATGTGAAATTGCAGGCTCAACACTTTGACCCCACGCACCCGCCGCCTGGACCGCCACATCGCGGTGCCTCTTACCCAGACAGGCTCGTAGAAAACCTCGCTGGACAATATTGAGCTTATGCGGATCCTCCCCGAACTCACTGCCAACCTGCGGACCGTGTACCTCCCCAGCACCATCGTCACTTCCGAGCTGTCGTACTGGCACCGATGGTTCGCACGTCGGGGTGAGCCTCAGTATTACATGGTGCAGTGGTGACATCCCAATCCCGGTGGACGGTCCTTTTTGCATGATTTCCGCCGCGACGATGACAGCCAGCCCCGCCGCCGCTGCTGAGGCCGAGGACAATCATGCAGAGGTGCAGGTCCCCAAGGTCGGCCTGGCTTCCTCCTCTGTTACTTGGACGATTTGCTGTGCCTCCAGGCTGTTGATCTCGGTCACAGTCTTAAAACCGATTGGAATGACGAGATTTCTCGGATCTTGGCTCGCCTCGCGGCATTGGGAGATAGTGTGGTCAACAGTATCTTCGGTCCGAGAGAGGATTGACTGGGGTGAAGGTATGGGTTTCTGGTAGAAGGACATGGATTGGACACGGAAACACAAGAGCGACGGGGAAGAGACATGGCGAAGGGGAAGGATACAACCAGGAGGAAAGATGTGCGAAGGGTTAGCGACTTAGCGACGGGGAAAGACTGCGCGACCGGGGCATGGACACATTTTGCATGGGCATGGCAATAGGGGCGTGGTGTGGAGTGTAAAGCTACGGTCTACCTTAAGTTACCATTAATCACGATGTCACATTGACACGCAGGACTTGGAGCACACGAATGATATGGCTGTGTCATGTTCACCCCCTCTCAACCGCCCATACCACTTGACTATTAACGGAAACGCACCCAACTTGAGAGAAACTTTTATATTTTTCTTCAGCTCCAAGTAGTTACTTGTTGTTGCTGGAAGTCAACCGGATTACCAGGTTCCAACATTGCCCCTCTCTTCATTCTCTTTCCACATGGCAGCCCACGACTCCCGCATCTCTTCCTCTCCCGTTCCGTCTCGGTGCCAGGCAAGGCTGAACCCAGCGTCCATGTAAGCTGTCCCAATCAGCGTCCAATGGTGTGTCCCGGCAACAGGCCGCAGGATATAGCGTTTTGTCGAGCCCCTGAGCAGGCACAGCATGTCTCCCGGCTCCGGTGAAATAGAGGTGCTTCGGCAGAAGTCGATGTGGCCATTCTTACAAACGAAGAAGACGTAGCCGTCGAACTCCTCCGCAATCGATCCTGCGAGAGGTTGTGTGACAGCTTCGCGCGGATGATATGTGCCATTCAATAAGTAATTTTGGATGAGTATTATGTCATCGGTAAAACCGGAGGCAAAGGGGCGTCTCATCAGGACTTCATAGAGTGTTTCCTAGGGTAGAGGCGGCGCCTTATAGTAATCCCTGAGTGTAACGGCAAAGCTGCCGGCAAAGTACTGGCTCAGATGCTGCCGGGGAGAGTTGGAAGTTGATTCCTCGGACACATGATCCTTGCGCAACTGAGGTGCTTGCTTTGCCGGACTCTTCGAGCCGGTCCCGCAGCTCATGTCTGCCCCAGCATCAGAAGCCTGCACTTGCAACACCGTTTTCAGCAGGCCCTCACACTCCAGAAGGTACCGCCTACACGTCTCTGCAAGAATCCTCCCGGCCTCGGCGGCCGAGTCTGGGAGGCCTGACGCCTTTCTTCGTGGATTGTGCAGCGGGGCCCAACAGCCCCGACCGTAGTGATTGGTAGTGCCTCAATCTCGAGTAGCGTGTCATTAGCGACGAGTCTGGCTGGATTCGAGTTTCGAGGTTGCGGTAGAACACGCCCTTTCTCCCGACGAGATTGGGGACCCAAGAGGGTCGACCGGGTTGGGGCCCCGAGCCGAGGCCCAACACGTCGAGGCATGTGCCTTCCCTGAGCATCCAAGCCGTGTATTCGTGGTACACCCTGTGCAGGGGCTTAGAGTAATCCGGTGCGAGATACGCAGGGATCGTCTCGTTACCGACCAGTAGGCCCAGCAGCGAGTATATTCTGTTCCTGGGGTCCGTTGCTTCAAAGAGGGTGAACTGCGAAAAAAGCATCGCCAGTTGCTCCGCGAAACCAACGTACTTCTCGTCGCCCGCAAGGTGCGTAAAGACGTGCTTGTACCGTCACGCCTGCACGATCGAATACAGCCCACTGCGGTAGGAGAGGATCTCCGGGAGCGCCCCGTCGTCGGGCTCCGGCCGGATGTAACGGACGTGCCTGAACGCATGGTACATAACAAACCACGGAACCGTCAGGTGTCCGACCATCAGCCTGACCTTCTCGTCATCATGTCGGATATGCCGCACCGCCACCTCCTGCACCACTCACACACGCGTGAACCATGGCCGGGCGAGCAGCCCATCCATGGCATCCCTTCCCCTTGCCAACCTGGCGTTTTGCTCGTCACTGTACAGTAGCCGCTTGGCTACTGTCCTGGTCGGGTGCATGGCGCGGTTGGCTCGCTCGCACGCCTGCTGATAGCCCAGGTGCAAGTCGTGTTTCGGGATGTTTCCGTAATCGCCCAGCCAGACGGTGACCTGGCTCGCCAAACTGTAGATCTCGCGCATGCGGGCGACTTGGGCGCTGCGCTCGGCGAGATTTTGCTGGTTGATGCAGAGGCTGTCGATCCAGAAACACGTTTCGTCGCTGCTGTTGCGGAGGTAGGTCAGCGCCGCGAAGAGGTTGCACGTGACCGGATACGCGGCCGAGTCGAGCGTGATGGGGCGGGTTTGAGCAGCGTCACCCCAGACGTACGAGACGGCTACATATGGGTTGGCGTCGCGGGCATTGCTAAGCCGGGTGTGTTCGAGGGTTCAAACAATTGGGTCGTGGAAGGCGCCCGGATGGAGCTTCACGACGCGGATCTCGTCTGGATGCCTCAGGGGGCGATGAGGGCTTTGGTCTGCAAATGCATCCATGGCTACTGAGAAGAGTGAGTGAAAAACCAGAGGATCCTAATGAACATGAAGTACCTAGGTACTAGTAGGCACTGCTGTTGGTATCTCCGGGGCCATTGGGTGGGGGGTCACGGCGGCACTTGACCTCATGGGTCCTAGGGACCAGATGATGCTTAAGCACCACCAAGCCCTGGCTCAGCCCCATTTATGGGCCCTCATTCACATGCAAGGCTCTTCGAGCATATTAAGCGGCTGAGCCTGAGGGAGCCCGTTCATTGACGGACTATCGACTAATCCGATCTCTACTTGGCTTCACGTAAGTGTGTTAGGACCCATGTTCATAAGTTCCAAAACAACTATAAGACTGGTACTAGTCAAGGAGGGGCATAGAGTACGTTATAGATCTTATAAGCCACTCTAGAGTCCCCCTTAACCCTCGACATAGAGTGGGTGAGCATCCAGGCCACACTGGTCTCGCCGCAGTTCGGCATGCGCCGCAGAGCCTGATGCTGTTAGGCGCCAGGTTACTCGGAATGCGGCCCGCGGAGAGGGCATAATTTGTTGTCTCTGTCTGGCGCGCACAAGGGCGTCAAACCCCGCTTCCTCAGTCCTCAGTCCTCACAGCAGGACTATCTGAGAGCAACTGAGTCCCCCCAATGCCTCTACCACGCAGCTTGCTTCATAACCTCCACAAAATACCGGCAGAAGCATCCAGATCTTTGACAAGCAGCCTAGGCTATTCTTGCTTTGGATGGGAATATTATCAAATCCGGCGTTAATCCGCAAAGTTAGGAACGAATCGACCCAGAAATGGCCGTCTCCATCAGGATTCAACCGTCCGACTTCATCGTGTCGACCGGCCCAGCCGTGATTCTGGTCAAGACCGACCGGGAGTCCTTTCGGCATCTCGTTCCTTCCACGAACCCCCTGTCGGAAGTCGATAGCGTTTAGGCTGTCCTAAGAAACGGCAAACTCGCCGTCGCGTATGCCATCCGCCGATTGAGCGACATCCGCATCGGAGCTTATCGACAACTACCTTGACTTTCACGCCGTTGAGGTTGCTGACGAGGAGTACAAGTGGCGCACCATTCCGTCCATTTCTGTTGATGAGGCGCGCCTAGAAGAGGATTAGACTCGGGATCAGGCTCAGGATCCGTGCATAGAGGTATGGGCCAGGCCAACTGACTGCGGTCAAATGCGGCATAATATTTCACTCTGACTGCTCCGCATGGCCATCTTGTTCCATGCGGCTGTGTGGCGTCGTGCCAGATTGTCCCTGTTGGCCTGCCGCGGCCTTGAAGGGGCCCCGTGCTCAGCCTTGCTTCCGTATTCAGTACAAGAACAGCGGAGTAGGGTCGCAAACGCGTTTGGTTGGCTAAGGAGAAAGTTACCCCTAGACGGTTACTTCCTTCTTCGCTTATGAGAATGGTGACATGGGTTTCTGCTGGAGCAGCGGTTGTCCCCCAGGTGGGAGGGAGACAAACATGGAGTGTGCCTGCACAGGGGCTCCAGTCGACACACACGTATATTTCACGGCCTATTGGCGAGACGGGCCAGTGACGTGGGTTGGCACACCTTACATGGACTGCCGAATTCAGCCATGCGTGGCACCGAGACGGCATGGCAGCAGAGGCGGAAACCTTGAATGCGCCGGCCGTGGGGTGCCATGTGGGGAGAAGGGAAATGTACCTGGTTATCCGTTAAAGCCAACAACAACTAGCGGCAACCCAGGGAGCTGAGTGGAAATAAAACTAAAGATCCATTTCATGCTGCCGGACAGCTGTCGATTAGGATGTTCATCCTCCTAGATTCGATTCACTACCAAGATCCGCTGGAATATAGTGAAAGCGAAGAACATTCCGCGGGCACATGTCGTTCGCCACATAGTCGTTAGTTCAGCTATCATGGGAATAACCATGGTCTCCCAAGTGACCCAATTCGGCGTGTGGTGTGCCAACAAGTCTAACGGGCGGCGCTGACCTCGCTGTTCTGGGTAAGTTGGCTCCATCATCTGCGCATTGTGAACCCCGGTATTGGACGGTGGAGATTGTATTTTCCAAGTCCAACAGCCCGGGGTCTTTAAGCCGTGGGGCGTTGTGGAGGCATCTGGCCCATGGTGGTCTTAGGCTCTAAGTTTCCGTTTTGGATACCCCAATACCCCCGACTCGTGGGAGAACATGTCATACCTGCCCAGGCACTCCAGGCCAGCCTTGAATATGTAGCCATTGCCTGCCTGAGCTTGGCCGCAACACAGTCACATCTACCCAGGAGTGACGTGACCAGGCCGTGCTTTGCCATGCTCGTAGCCAACGATCCAAAGCCATCTTTCGCGCGCTGCTTCCGCTCCGTCGCCTGGCTCCATCGGAAAACGGCCGTCGCCACTCTGCCTGCTGAATTAGGGTTCTGCATTGGCAGAGTTCGAGTCGTGCTTGATTGAAGAGTCGATTCCCATGCGAGGCATCCCTAAGGCAATTTCCGACGTCCGACAAAGTGTGTAGTGATACGGCCGAGCGGTTAAAACAGGTACTCGTCCCATCGGTCCTCATGGTAGGCGTAGAACAGTTCATCCAGGCTGTGCCCATGGTCTTCGCCGAGCCGCTGCAGGAAATCGTTGAATGTCGGTGGTCGGCGTGCCTCCCTCTCGGGGTCCGACTCCTCGTCGCCCGAGAAATAGTACTCGGATGCCTCATCTTCTTCTTCTAGCTCCAGTTCTTCCTCCCCTGCAACCGGCTCGACCCCTCCGTCATCCGAATCTTCCCCCCCTTGCTGCGCTTCGAGTTCCTCCTCCTCTTCCCCACTCGGCGGAACTTCGTCTTCGTCTTGGTACGTCGGGAGCAGATCAAACGTTCTGAACACGATGCCCGCCCTGGCGCAGAGCTGCCGCGCCGTTTCCACCTCCCGCTTGAAGCGCTTGTGAAACCTGCGTTCTGCCGGCCACGAGTGTATCGCGAGCGAGATACTGGACAGCTGCCGATGCGCCGGGCTGGCGCACAGACACCTGACGCCGTGCAGCACCATGTCCAGGTCCGCAAGGTAGCTCTGCTTCCAGTCCCTCGCGGTTCCCCACTCGCAGACCAGGGTGAAATCGCGCAGGGACGGGGGAAGGAGCTGGCACAGCCGCTCCCCGTCGTCCTCTTCCAGGATCCCCAGCGTCCCGAACACGCCGCGGTAGTCCAGCGTCAGAGTTTCGAGGTGCGCGAGCTCGGGGATGCACCGTAGCCGGTGGTTCTCGGGCTTCCTTGGCCGTTCCGTCCCGCGGGTCAGGTAATGGCCTTCGGACAGTGCGACCAGTTCCAGCGTGCGCAGGGACCCCGCAAGGCCAGCAAGCGCGTTGCTCAGCGTCTTGCCCTCCGGCAATACGTCCCGGTCCTCGTCGGTAGAGCTCGACTCAAAATGCACGACCAGGGTCTGGAGGTTGACGCACGCAAGACACAGCGCGACAAGTCTCGGCTCGTGGATGTCACTGCCGTAGAGACGGAGGTGCTCAATGTGCGGAAGCGGCGGGAGCTCGATGGAATGGTCCAAGACGGGGTGGGCTGCTGCACAGCACAGCTCCAACGTCTTGACCTGCGTCAACTGGTTCAGCGTCTCGACAGTGCGGTCGGCTAACAGGCGCGAAAGGCTCAGCTGCCGACTGCCATTCTCCCGGTGGCAGTATATGCGCAGCGATGCGAGGTTCTGCATGTCGCCAAAAGAAAAATAGTCAAATAGGTTTGACACGGCCAGTTCGTAGTCTTCGGCCTGAAGGTACAGGATATCCCGAACCTCAGAAACCGGCAGCTCTAGATGTTCCGCGCCAAGCGGAGAGTCCGGACAGGCCATCAGGAAGTCGCGCAGGTTGGGCGCATTTTCGAGGATGACCTTGAGGAGGATTAACGCGATGTTGTCATAGGTGTCATACGTTCCGCTATGTCGGGCCCAAGATACTGGCCACAGTTAATCAACGGTCAGGCGGCGGCTCGTTTGGCACCGATAATTAAATAGTCCTACCTCCAGTCTGTCTTTGCCACTCTTCATGCACCTCGCCGACGGTCATGATGCTGGCGACGTTGACGAGACAAGTAATGCTCCGAATCCACGGTCGTATAGCCGGGCAGCTCTCGATGCGGCGGAACAGGGTAACCAAGGCGCGCGGTGTGGGGATGACGAGGGTGTGGTAGAGCAGGGGCTTGGCGATGGCGGCCATGCGGCGCGAAGTCTGGGCAAACGACTGCAGTTCGCGATGGCAGGCAAGCCAGTCGGCCCACTGGTGGTTGGCATTCCGAGACTCCCAGGTGCCCGAGGCACGAAGCGCAAACCGAGTCGTCGAAGGGCACGCGGGGACCAGGGCCTCGGCAATGGGCCGCAGCAGCTCGCTCGGGAGGCGATCCAGGGATCGGCAGAACTGGCTTGGAGGTTCTGATGATACAGGCGGCTGTGGGCCGGTCGCTCGCGAGTTCGGCGATGCCATCTGGGGTTTTGGCTTGCGGTTCGGGTCGCCGGGTGCGCGCCGCTCAGGCTAGGGTGCCGTGCAGGCAGGCACTGCCCCAACGACCCGATCTCGTCGTTGGATATATATTGGGTTACGAAAACAATGCCGGGCAAGTTGAGATGCCAGGGGCCATGGTAAGAGCCGCATCAGTGCCGGCACCCAGAGACGCTCGATGAATCATTCGATGGCCCTGCTGGCGGGGCTTGCTTGAGAAGGGCGCAATGCTTACGGCCAATCGGGACAATTGTGCGTCTTTTGAGCAACGCAAATGCCAACGGCAAGTTCCGATCTCGGCGCCAGGTTCTGCTGCTTTCGTAGCCATTTGCGACAAACCTGTGCACCGATTTATGGCCCGTTGGACGAAGAAGGAAGCTGCTCACCAGGACGCGTGTTAGTGGTAGGGCATGAGGTTGGCCATCAAGGCCCACGCCGATACAGAGTACCACAGTAGGGCCACGTTACAGGGCTGCCAGGAATAGCAGCTGGCGCGGCCGGGGAAATAGCCAGGGGGGTGATATGCACGCTTGCAGCAGTACAACTCCGCAGGCAGCGATGCGGGTCTAGGTTGGAAGACGCGCCGACATCGCTGACATGGAGTCATTATTACACGCGGTGCAGCAAATTCTACCGCGGCGCAACATCGGGCTCCAGCGAACCGACCCCAGATCTTGATGCGGTGCTAGGTCATGGCGTCGGGCCACCTGCGAGTGGTCGCACACGGTGGGCCGACGAATGCAGCCTGGGCGGCTCCGCACCGCTGCCGAGCCGGGACGGACCCAACGGTGGTCGTCCAGATTTAGCAGGTGATACGGGCCTCATCTGGTTCACTGGACGCAAGAGCTGCCACCAACGGGGATAATTGTCCAATGGCGTGGTCATGGAAAGACGATCTAATGCGCCGGACTGAGCGTCGTCACCGGTGGTTTGGCTTTCTCAGCTCAGATTGCGAGAGGACGGTCCTGCATGACTAACACTGTCGGAGCAAAACCAACGACAGTCTCGAACTAGGGATCGGCCTCGTCAGCGGGCTCGACGGGTGACGCGAAGCAGTCAGACGGTCGAGCTGGCGATTCTGGTCCCGGTTGCGAAAGAGTGCAACCGCGGCGGGTTGACGCGATGCGGAAGGACACGACAAGGTTTGACACAGTTCGGTGCCCGGGCCGCGGAAGACCACAGGGTTGAGTCATGCGGAGACGACAAACACGGGCTCCTTGGGGATTTATTCGGCGCCGGTTGGAGGACACTAGCGGATGCTTCGGATGCAGTGACCCCCGAGCCAGGTTGCTGTTGCGCCGGTTGGCGACCGGGCACGGTCCACATCTGAACATCCCAAAGTATGCAGCCCGAATGCAGCGCATTGGTGGGTAGGGAGTAAAGGCAACCATACAGATAGCCAGCCGTGCTCAAAAGCTGTGGGAAGAGCGGTCGCCGTGGAAAAGTATGAGGTAAGCCATTACCGTGCTGTTGGTTGTGGCATGGAGAAGCCAGCCGGGTGGATTGGGAGGGTATGGAGAGAGCACGTTTCCACCGGATACCCTCAAACCACCTGCTCTGTTCCGTCGAGTCGATTGGCGCACATTGAAGAGGAGTCGAACCATGCAACGGGCCGACCTGATGAAAATCATCCAGATTCAAGCTGCAGCTGCCTAATCCAGCGACGCCGAGCACGCCTATGGATGCCGAACCTCGTACCGGGAGCGTGTCTCCCAACTCGACCGTTCTCATTCTCAGGCTCCTTCCGACAAAGCTCTTATTTTTCCATTGCGACTCGTCGGCGAATTTGCCGGCGCCCGTGGCGTCGCGGCGGCATCTTGTAGCAGAATTCGGGTTGAGGTCGTCACCCGCCACCTTGGGGTCCCTCAGGGAAGCAAAGGGGGCGGTCGGTTGACGCGACACGAAATGATTGCCGGTTGCAATCGCGGTCGGGTGGAGGGGGTGGAAACGCAAGTCGGGGTTGTCGCAAGACGGCCTGTTGATCGTCGATGAGGGGGGGATGTATGCGCAGTGCCTGTGCGAAGCATCGCAGTTCTTACATCGCTCGCCAGCAATTGCGTTTTGAGGTACGCATGACGACACGGCGGTATCCGCGAATGTGGCTGTGGTGGAAGGAGTTTCAGCGTACTCGTCGGGGGTTTGTTTCATCGAGTTGAATGCCAAGCTTGATCCGCTTGGATGTTTCGGTTCTCTGGCACTGCGGGGCCCAGGCAACAGCGGGAATGTCCCGGAGAGGTGGAGCCGGCTTTGCTGAATGGTCTTCCCGTCGACTTGGAAATTCAACTTCACAGGCTTTCCATCAATCGGCCGGCCGACAGAATGCAGGAATCAATCTACCCATGGACTGAAATTTTCTTGAACGGGCAATTCAGCGCCGCAATGGAAGAAAACGCGGCATAACTTTGATAATACAGGGTCGACACACGCAAGATTCAAGCCACAATCTGACCCACCCCTTGGACATCGCCAGCTCTCAAAACCCGTCTGCGCCAACGTCGTGCTTGCCCGCTTCACCAGTCATCAGCAAATCCCTAAGGCCCTTCTCAAGTTGCCATGGGTATGACCGCCTGCCCCGCGCATTTCCTGCGAGCAGGGACACCCGTCTGTCAGACGGTATTACCAAGTCTGCTAGCTCCCCACTCCGATTCGAGCTCGTGAGTAGCACTCTGAGCCCCGGACCAGAACGGTGACCGTCTTCCACCATGCTGAGCAAAGCATTGCCGATGAGGCAGGTCTCCTCCTGCCAGCCATCCAGCACCGTCTCAATCTCGGACACACCGTCGATAATGCAGAAGACCGGACGGGAAGCGTCCAGGCGGACAACAAGTTCGGAGAACACACGGCAAAGGCTGGGGATGTCGTGCTCGCCCACGCCGTCGAGGAGCTCATCATCGATAAAATCCAGTGATGGCTGCGGGCCGGGTGTGCAGATTTCGACGTCGGTGGTTTGCACCAACAATTGGTGTACCAAGGAGCGGATGAGACCCCCCGGGCCCCTTAGCGAGTCCCGCTGTGTACGGTGCTGTCCACAGAAGTGGTGGAGGACTATGGCGGCTGGTCGATCTTGGCTTGAGTCGCCCTCCCCGTCCATCAGGACCCCAATGAGGAAGGCGCAGATGGCCGACATAGCTGACACGTTGTCCGCGGCAACATCGCCGCAGTGGCCATCAACAAGCACTAAATCGGATGCCCACCATGGCGCCCCAAGCCAGTCTCTGAAACGCGTCATTGTCACCAGTCGGCTACCCCGGCCGCCGGCATCCAGTCTCGGGTGACAGCTTCGCTGCATGACGCGAGCCAGAGCCCCAGCCGCCGCGGCCTCTGGCACATCAAGCTCCTGCAACAGACCGTCGATGCTCACTCGTGATGGTGATACCGGGGACGAGACCCATCCTGAGGATGCTGCTGTCTCCATCAGTCGCGGTGTTGCAACGATCGCGGCTTGAACCCAAGGCAGCGCAGCCTGTTGTTGTCCTGCTGCCATTCAATGAATCAGTGCTGATCTCTGGTGCGAGCGCCGTCTGGACATCGACAATCACTTACTGACAGAACCGAGGTACTGCTGCTGATGCCACCCAAGTTTCAGAATCTGATTCGCGGCTTCGAGCATCTTGCGGCTGCTCTCAGCCACGGTACGGATATGCGTCCCTGCGTCAGTCTCACGCCACTGTGATTCCAGTCGCGTTACCCCATTGGCTATCGCGGCCTGGATTCCGTCCATGCCGGACTTTACCCCCCGCATACTCTCGCTTATGTTATGTTGCTCTTGCCGTATTTCGCCCACCGCCCGCTCCAGCGCTGCTGTCGAGCATCGAGAGACCCGATCCGCCGCTCGGGACACCTCGTCGAGACAGCTCTGAACAACCTCCACCTCCCTACCCGGAAGATGTCTTAAGAACCGAACCACTGCATGAATGTCCACGGTCAGGACCAGCATGCTACTTCATGCACAGGGCGGATGAACGCTAACCTTTGTTCCTGTTGGGATGGCTGCGCAGCAAAACTTCTATCAGTGTCGCAACCTTCTCGACCAGCGTGTGATAGAGCCGCCTGACTGCCTCAAGCAGGTCCGAAGCATCGGGAAAGCGCATGCTGGCTTGCACGGCCTCTATTAATGTCTCAGGAATGCTCTCGAACGCCTCGAGGATCATTGCGCGGGTTTCGATACGTAAAGAGACCATCTGTCAACCGTCAACTCATCTTCAGTTTCGGCCGGCACCATAACCAAGTCTGGGGCTTTGGCACTGACCTTAAATAGCGTCGTCAACCCCCCGCGGAGAACGCCGAGACCGTCTTGATCTGGAATCATACCCGCCAAAGACTCCAACAAGGCGATCTCAGGCCCCGACTTCCTCAACCGACCTCGGATTTTGGACCTGTCAGACTTGGCATTGTCCTGCGCTTTGGCTGTCTCGATGGCATCAACGACATCCCGCCAGCCATGGAGACCTTGGAGGAGGTTGGCATCTACGGCTGCGACTTCGTCCAACGCTTCCACTAGAGATCTGCTCGAGCTGGGTGTGAGTTCAATCATACCCTGGTTTGATCCCAAACCATCGCCGCATCCATGTGCCAGATTGAGTACCTGTAAGTGTAGAAGGGAACTCACTTGTATGGCCGAACGATAACCAGGGATTGCTCCGTTTGCATCCTCCAAAGCCCTCGCTGTGATTACAATCAAATGTTTGCTGGCTGGAGTGTCCTCTCTGACTATATCGGCAGAAGAAGCAATGGACAGGCGCCGGAGTTGTCAATAACGGAAGCCACAAGCGACTTTACTCTGCTCTATTCATCGTCGGATTCTCCAGGATCAGGATTTGCCGGGGCACCCACTGAAGTTAGTCAAGCACACACGCAACGGCCCCCACTCAGTGATGCCATGCCAGAGGCCTCAGCAGCACCGCCCTTCGGCGTACTGCTGCGACCACCGGAGACAGGCTAATCGCGCGTCAAAGTAGCTTCCTGCCCAGAATCGACTGCAGACTACATAAGCAAGATAGCGGCCTTCGGCGCTGATCCTCCATTTCCGGGCAATTCCCCGCACCGCCTTCGCGGAGGAAGAGTGGCTGAGGACAGGCAGGATTCGGGGCTGACACATGACCGATGCACTGCAAAGGCGTGGACATGAATGATTGGCATTCCGCAGCCATGTTCTACGCCTTCGGGGGCAAACGGCCCTCCAATGTGGCTGGGTCTGCGTTTCAATGGTTACCTGGTACGTTAGCCCCGAAACGCCCAAACAGCCCTCGGCCGATGCGCAGGAAGCCAGCCCTGGCTCTCCGAAATGCTAGGCACATCACAAGGTTTAAACGCTCTACACTGGCCCGTTATGTTATTACCCCATCTCGACAAACCGGACCCGACTCACCGTTGCCTGTTATAGTGGCAGTATCAACGACTCAACGTTCAAAATAACCTCCCTGTGCGCCTACGCTTGTTGAAAAACTCGCCGTTCGACCTCTCGAATAAGATGCCGCCTTCACTCGTGGACGAAAACTCTTTGGAAGATGTGGCTTCGGCCACGCTTGAGCCTTCAGAACAGGTCTGCACCCGCCCGATGTCTGGGCTCAGTTCTTCAGAGAACAAGATGCGTTCCATAGAGCAAGTCCCTCAACAACAGAGAGGAGACGACACCGTAGGCGACCAAGAGCTGGAAGCCGCGGCCGTTCTCCAAACACCGCCGGATGTGCCTATCATCCCACAAGCTCGGAGATGCACCTTTGAGCAATTTGTCAACCGCTTTGCTCCAGAAGATGGCCGCTATGCCATCGAATACCTCGAGGCCGGGATAGAGCTCGGCTTTGAAATGGCCAGCGAGAACATGAAACGGCATCTCGCCAAGGTCAAGGGGTACGAAGATCAGACCACGGCCGAGTACAAGAGCAGACGATTTGACGGCGGTTTGTCGAGCGGGGCCTGGCTCCAGGCTGTGCGTATCCAATCTCCGACGGTCCTCAAGGCCCTGGCCGAGGTCAGCGGGTACAACTGGGGCACTGAAGCGCACACGTTTATGCGGCCGTACGGACATCTCATCCACTTCCAGCCGCAAATCAGGGACAGGCTCGAGTCGCTTAGGGACGCGTATGGACAGGAGCAGGAGGGGAACGCGGATGGGGATGCAGGCCGTCAAGAAGCGATGGAGCATCTTCAGTGCTACGTCTCGTTTGTCGAGGAGCACCTTCTCCCCCTTGTCGATCAGTTCGCCGACGCCGATTACTCCAATCCGAAGCGGATTCGATACGAAGACTTGTGGTACCTCTTCAAGCCCGGCGAGCTGGTGTACATGCCGCGAAGGACACTCGAAAAGCAACTGAACTCGAGAGGCAATAAGGACGCCTTTGCAGAGAACGCAGTCTGCCAAACCGTCTGGAGGCTCGAGGTCTTCCAGCCTCATATGAGCGATCTTGAGCTCCCCGTGATTGGGAGGCCGCCAACCGACTCCGAGGCCAAGGCGAAACTCTATTTTGTCGATTTCGACGGCTCCTCCTACAAGCCTGTGCCCATTAACGTGGTCATCGATCATTTTGACGGTGAAAGAGACATCCGAAGCTTGGCCGTATTCCCAATCCGATTCGCAGCCCCTGACAGCGAAGCGATTATCCAAGACTGCCGAGAATTCGGCCGCAAGTTCACTGAGTGCATCGAGCAGCGGCACGTCTCATACAAGGCTTGGACGCTCCTCAATGACCCTCTCGGATGGCGAGACGGGAACTTCGTCAAGGGGAGGCCTGCCAACAGCCCCGAGTTCATCGACGGCGAGGTCATAATCGACTTTCAGGAAGCCTTCAACGCCCATCCGTCTTGGAAGTACAGCTACGGCCTGCGGTCTGATACGTGGTCCAGCGATGTCTTGACGGTGCGCGACAAGTTCCCTATCCTGCTCTGGTCGGACGCCTCGCGTGCCAAGCTGGTGTACGAATGGTCCCACATTGTTGTATCGGACGACGACATCGACTTCCTTGAGGGAAGAGAGTTCGGCAAGAAGCATCCGTACGGGCCAAATGGCCTCGACAAACCGCCTCCCGAAGATCTCGTCCTCTTACCCCGGCGTCTGTGCGGCTATGGGCTGCGTGAGCGCCGGTTCCTGTACCTGGACGTGAAATACGTCAAGGTTGGCCGCGAACACGTTGACGCATTCCGCTTCCTCCAGATAGACCCCAATAATAGGCGCATCATCCACTGTCTCTTGACAGATCACTTCAACACTAAACAGGCGAGGAAGATGCGGGAGATTGCAAGCCAGGACCCGATTCCCGGTAAAGGTCACAACCTTGTTTTCCTTCTCCATGGGCCCCCCGGAGTGGGCAAGACGGCCACCGTCGAGGCGGTAGCGCAGAAGTATCGGAAACCCCTTTTCTCAATCACATCCGGGGATCTCGGCTCTACGCCGGACGCAGTGGAGTCTTCCCTGACCGAGATCTTCCACCTCGCCAATGTATGGGATTGCATCCTCTTGCTTGACGAAGCCGACGTGTTCCTCGAGGAGCGGGAGAAGAGCGACCTGAAGCGAAACGCAGTCGTCTCGGGTAAGTCCCAGCTTAAACCCCACATGTAGGGCCAACAACCTACTAAGACCACCGTTTGATAGTGTTCCTGCGCGTCATGGAATATTACAATGGCATTCTTTTTTTGACTACAAACAGACCGGGCCAGCTCGACGAGGCCATCAAGTCTCGGGTCCACAGCGCACTCCTGTACCAGACACTGAGCCTCCAGCAAACCCTCGAAATTTTCCGCATGAATATTGAGAGACTCGAACTAATCGAGAAGCAACGCCGAAGCATCTTGGACCCACCCCAGGCATACCTCCAGGCGGACAAGACGGGCATCCTAGCCTTTGCGGAGAAGCACTGGCGACAGCACGAGTTCGACGAGCTCGGCCGCTGGAACGGGCGACAAATTCGCAACGCCTTCATCAGCGCCGCGGCGCTCGCACGCGGCGATCTCGACGAGGTTGTCCATGGCGACAACAACGGAGGGGCAGCCGCCGTGGTCGCCGTCCTCACGGAGCGGCACTTCCAGGACGTGGCAAACAGCGTCACGGCCTTTGACAAGTACATGGCCCGGGCCCGCGGGGGCAAGGACTCAGAGCGCGCTCTCAACCGCTTCGACCGGCTGGACAACTTTGTCCTGGGCGCGGACGAACCGGAGACGCGGCCGCGGAACCAACGGGCATCGCGCAATTCTGACCTGGCACGTCCGTCTGTCAGGAATGTCGGCGCCGGCGGCGCGCCGCACACGCCAACATCTAGTCCCCGTCACCATAATCATTATGCGCCCGTCTCCCCTTCACCCTCGTATTACGTCCAGCCTACGGCCCAGGGATTATCGGTAGCAGGCCAGCAAGCGCACGCGCTCGGTGGCGGCTATATGTATCCTGTCCAAGGGTATGGCGGCGCTGCGGCGGTTCACGTGCCTGCCTGGCAGGCATTGCCGCCGGGACCCCAAGGTGGTGGTGCACAGGGCTCGCCGCCTGTGATTCAGTTGCCTCCGCATGGGCAACAGTTTGCCGGCGTGGTCCAGCAAGGCGGCAATGGTGCTGCTACGATGCCGGTCGGACATATTTCGGCCGGGGCGGCGCAACCGGCGCCCTCCCCTGGAACTCAGGATGGTCCCAGCCCACAAACAGGTACGCACCTGGAGTGATTACCAGAGTACTCGTATTCTCCCCAGTGTGCCAAGCCCGTATGCGGGACGTCCGACTAGAGTGAGGCGCCGTGTCTGCCGGCTCGGCCCCACATCGGGGCTTCGATCATAAATGCGGCAGCAACCACAACCGACCCTCCGAACCAGCCACGCCTTTGAGCGGATCGGCTAGGGCTATGGATCGCATAGCGTTTTGATGTCAGCAGAAGAATGGCGAGCCAGTTGAGGAGCATAATGTAGCACTGTGTGAACGAAAGTTCCTATCCATCGCGCAAACAAGATACGTATCCCTCGCGTTTCTCGACGGAAGTTCACACTCGGATTATACATTAGTATTACTATTTCTCTTCTTGAAAGTGCAATACGACTGAAATTGGGGTATTTAGAACCAAGCTACATCTCGAACACAAACTTCACGCCAGTGAGGACAATAGCCACCCCTGAGTCGCTGATCATCCAACCGGAGACTTCAACAAACATTTTTCCCTCTCATCGTCGCCCACGCTCAACCAGAAACGAAGCAACATCCCAAGATCTCGACGCACTTCTTGCACGTTCCCCATGCGCGCTTGCCCCTCCCAACCGGTTGTGCCCGTCCGGCGGGTGGCGGAGCGAGCAAGGGTCCCGATGAATCTGTGGCGGTTCTTCGGGTGGCCATGGTGGTACCGGGGGAAATACGATACCTCTCCGGTCCGCTTTGCGTCTGCGTTTCTAGGGCCAGAGGCAGTGGAGGGTGAGGTGGGACTTGCTGCGTGGCCGGAGTGCCTGAGACCTGGTCTGGGTTCTGCGCTGGACCGGCGGTTTCCACTAGACTCGGGGTTTCCGCTGAGGACCCGGGGGTTTCTGGTAGGATTGCAGAGGAAGGCATGTCGAGGGGTTCGGCCGCCGGGGACGACGAGTCATGCCCTTCCGGTGGAGGCGTACAGGCGCGCGAGTTCCGACTAACAGGGCTTAGGCTCCTGGGGCTCTGGGCTTCGGCTTGCTGCTGGGCCAGGATGCTGTTGTGGCTGTTTATGGTCTCAACCCGGTCGAGGGGATACTAGTAGTTGTGTACTACTCAGCGGTGTTGCCTTCAGCGAAAGAAGCCAAGGATGGCAACTTAAGGCGGGTTACGTACCGACACGGTAAATGTTTCCAACGGCCCGCCCTCCCAGATAGAGGGTGCAACGCAGTACGTCTCGCTGCTGTTGCACTTTTGGCGGATCTTACCGAGCTCGTTTACGATTTGGGTGCAATCCCACCTTTGCCTCTTGTCAGGATGTAGGAGACCTTCGTGAATGATCCTCAGGAGATCGTGCGCGAATTCTGGGCAATAGTCGAGCTTGTGCAGTTCCTCCATCCACTGTTTACCGACAACAGTTGTCAGCTCGCTTTTCCACGCACAACCTGGTAGACAATACAAGGCAAAGAGTGAAAACAGGGTTGCATGAGTGCTAGCCTGACCTTGATCACCGACGGTTTTAACTGCGCGCTCACACACTTGCCATCATCTCTCAGTTTGTAGAACTTGTCTTCGTAGTACGGCCTCTCATGGTCCGAAATGGAGCCCGGGTTGAAGGGAACCCATCCTTCGTCGGCAAGGCGAGCGTCGGTGAACTGAGTGTCAACAGCGTACCAGCCGCGGAGGTACCAAGTAAGGAAGTCGAGCAACAGACAGCCCAGCGTCCAGATGTCGTATTTCACCGAGATTCTAAGCCGGTAGAGGTCGCATTCGGGCGGGCGATAGCTAGGGGAGCAGCCGGGAAGTTTGTCTATGGATTGCGACTGGTAGCTGTGGAACCTGCTCAAGCCAAAGTCGCAGATGAGCAGGTGGTTGTCGCTGCCGTTGTACGTTTTGAACCACAGGATATTCTCAGGCTTGATGTCGCCGTGTCGACCCGTGTTCTTATCGTTCGAGCTCAGTCCGGCGACATGCCCGTCGCCATGAATTTTTTGCAGACCGTCAGCAATGCCGAAGCACTGGGTAACCATCCAACGTGCCATGTCCTGGGTTCTCTGTGGCGCCGGTTCATTCTCCCAGAAGTCGCGCAGGTTTCCATTAGCCCAGGGGAAGGTCATATGGTAAGCGTCCTTGTGCTGGTAAGTGAGGAGAAGCCGGATGAGGTGCGGGTGACCTTCGTGTCGGCCGCTGAATCGTTGGAGAACTTCTACCTCTCTCTCGTACTCTTCCCTTCGTCGAGTATGGAGGGTTTTGACGGCGAAGTATTGTTTATCGGTGCCCTAATCACATTAGACAAGTTAGGGCCATACCTCACGTACTAGCTACGAAGGGTTAATGCCTCGATCTTACTGGCTGTGTTGGGAAGTTATGATGAGCCGGATGGATCAAGACCTTCCAAACATTGGCGTGGCCCCCCATCGCTACAAGCTCAGATTCGATGAAGGGCAGCCTGCTGTCTCTGGGTAGCGTGTAGAGGTATAAGCTTCCTGGTCCGAGGTCGAAAAACGGAGATGCCACGGCGTGCTGCCATTCCAAGAACCATTCCACCTCGCTAGTCTTCCACTTGCCAAAGCAGTCGAGAGGTTTTTCATATTCAACATCGCCCCTGGGATGCACTTTAGCTGACTCGGAGGGATCAGGAGCTTGGGTGAACGGGAAGTCCATGTCTGTGACGCCGGACTTGACGAAGCACTTGATACATTTCGCGCTCAAGTTCAGCACCAAGAGCGCGAACAGTCGCCGTCGGGATGGGCAAATGTCTTGGGTTAATTTGTCGAGCTCTGGTTTTCCCTCAGCGCCCTGCAGTTCGGGGAACTCTTGCCCCAAAACATCTCGCACAGTTTCTTGCGTGATAATGCGTTCAATGTCGCTGATAGGAATGAAGACTGCCCGGTCCCGAGGATCCTTGTCGCTGGCTCCTACGCGGGCTTTCCGCAGACGCCTGGCCAACTGCTTTTGGCCGTTGGGCCCCTCAGTTTCATGGTTTGAGTGAAGTGAGCTGGCGTTGCTCTCGCTGCGGACGTTTCTCGGGTGCAATGATTCCGGGCTTCGGTCGACCGGGTCAGCCGTGAGCTTCGCATGAGCTTGTCTCTCAAACCCAAGATCCGTGATGGTCTTGATACTGGCGAAGCTGTGTTCGCTTCCATTGTTTGAATGGTTATAAAAGTCATTCCTTCCGGCCGTGACTTCTTCTGACTGTTAGTCACAATGTCCACATGACGACAGTGTAGAATGGGACATGTTCATACCGCTTGCTGGATCGTCGTCGCGGTAAATTGCTGTCGTTTTCCCGAAGGGATCCTGAACGTTTACCACAGACGGCGTCCGAGGACGACTGGGACTTCGTGATTCGTCATATGGATCATCAGTCCGTGATGCCGGTGCCAGGTGAGTGCTAGCGATACTGAGAGTGAGGTGATTCTGCTGCTGAGAGAAGTTCAAGTGTGAGCAAACGCCGAGTTCTGGCCGAGCTCTATGGGGTACGACAATTGGAGTCCTGCATTCGCTCCATCGCCGTTGATGGACTTGTAAATTGGACTCACGGTTGGCGATGCCCTGCTGCTTGCGTGCTTGCTAGGACCCGGACAGTTACCCAATCCGCCACTGTTATCTCTGCGGTGTTGGTCCTGGTCACCGTGGCCGTGCATTGTCTTTATGTTGCCACACCGACGCAATTCCGAGCCCGTCGCTACGCACAAGATGGGTTACAGGCAGTGTGAATTGCGATTGATAGGTCACCTAGCTTCAGTCAGCCCCGGAGGAAACGAGTTGCGAAACGTATGAAGCTAACAAACGAGGAGAAATGACGTGAGGGGTCCGGTCGAGGTTTCACTTGATTGGGGCGAGAACTTCTAACTGGAGCAGTAATCAGCAGGTCGTTGAGGCACTGAACCACCGCCGATGGTCTTGGAGGTTGTCCTTACGGTACACTGCCATTGAGGCTCGGGCAATGCACACTTATGTTGCTATCACCTAGTCTCCAGTCCCTTTCCAGGGTAACTTCTCTGGGCGCACCTGTTTGTGTGTGTGTGTGTGATTGTGTGAGTGACACAAAGGCATTTCTGGTGGTGCTGGATGGCCGGACCGGCCAGGGGCCCGAAGCGCCTGGTTGCTGCAAGCCTGCAAGCCACCAGCGCGAGTTGGTCGACCGCAATATCCAAACGCCACCTGGAGGCTGGGGTCGGCTAATTCACCCGCGGCAAGTCTGGCTGCGCTTCGATTTGATGGCCACGTTGTGATATCCCAAAGGCACCCGGGTTGTTGATGGGCATCAAGGGCAGGGGACGCATACTTGAACCGTCACACTGGAACGGAAAGATCAAACCCACATCGCTACTCCATCACAACTCTACCATGTACACCGTGAATGCCGTGGGCTGGAGCGAGGATGGATTGATTCGAGATACGTCCTGGGCACGAGATTCAAGCTAGGCTTCTGCGAAACGTCAAGTGACAAGCCTCTGAGTAGGACCTGAAAAGGGGTTTTGGTTGTCGTAGCCTCCCTGTGGACAGTGTGCCTCGAGGCGGGAGGGCTGGAACGCAGCCGCAGCCTTGCCACGCGAATTGGCGTCTAAGGAGTGGGCGCTGGGATTTCCCGGGCGATGTTGGAGGATGAGCCCCCTGAGCAGCTGATGGATGAGTCTGAGTCTGTCAATGATTTAACGTGCCATGCAATAGTCTTCCAAGTTCACACAGCATCCACTTCCAGTAGACTGGAGGTTATTACGGACAGACATGCATGTGGACTGTCCCCAAGAACCGGAGTCTCAGAAGGGCTTCCGCCTGTTACTGGACTTAAGGGAGAGGATGAGTATGCTGGAATGATGTCTCAAAGGGGGTCACGACTCCCGCTCGCCCCCAAGTCAGCCCTTGTGCACCACAACGGGTTCTGCCACACCCCCTCGTTTGCAGTACTGCGGTAGCGCAAACCCCATTGGTTGCTGTGGTGTGACCAATCAAAGCGCAAATATTGTGCACCCCCCCATGGTCGATGGCTGGCATGGCATTTGTTGCTTGTTTCGGCGAGCGGCAGGGTGGGATATTGCATGCGCGGTGGGATTCGGGACTCAGCCCCGCCAGATCTGATGTTGAGCACATCAATTGAAATGAGGGAAATGTTCGACTAGTCTTGCTGCCCGGCGGAACAAGTTTCGGGGATATTAAGTGCTAGTCCCATCTCAAGGCACCCCCTGGCGGACCAGTCCTTCTCGCATACCACCACGTCCCCGGGAACCGAATCGGGTTCTTTTAATACAGACAGACGTCCCTCGAGTTCTCAAACATACCAACAAACCAGCCCTGGAATTCTTTTGGCCTAGAGTCTGGTAATACCGGATGCCTGCCAAAATCGAAGAAGCGGGAACACGCCCAAGGGCCTCAACACCCCTTGACGTCGAGAGCAGGAGTACCTCTCAGCGCGTGAAGGTCCATTCTCGATGCGCCAAAGATCCCGAACGGTTGAAGTCGACTCTGGTGCAGCTCTATGGCGGAGGTTTTACCATTGAGATGCGCCATAATATGTACATAATCAACTCTGTGGCGCTCATGGACCAGAGGCAGATCGTAAGTGTTCGGTCCTAATGAACTGGAAGTGGGACTTTCAGAGACCCAACCTTTTACTCACAATTGCCAGGTGGAACGTCTCCTCGCTCCTACTAGCGTGCCAACAATCGAGTAAATGCCATACTATCTTCGGAATCATCACAATCAGCCGTTCTATGAGAAAATGAGTTTGAGTGGAAACACCAGGCGGCACGCCGGAGTGCCCACACGCCCACTGAGCCCCGGCAAACATTGCCGTCCCAGTCGGCATCTGCTGGGCCCATACAAGCGCCTTTTCCTTTTTTGAATTCTTTATTGTACCGGGATCTGCATATTTCCTCTGACTTCGATAGAGGGGTTGTTGTCTGTTATTGTCAGGTGTCTCTACATGTATAGTATCACCTTTCTCCTCAAGTTAGCTTGGGGTTTTCCAGTTCCGCTTGGCCAGGACACATCGACAATGAGGTACTGCTAATAGTTTATTTTCTTTACATTGTAGAATAATGTAGCCATTGAACTTTAGGCATAAGGAATATCTACGGCAGATGTAGAAGTAACCCATGACATGGCAATTGAAAGGGCAGCGCTCCTCTCGCCAAGGACTCAGAGCCCTTGCAGGTTTGGAGCAAAGGATGGGACTGACTATGCGGAGTGGAAGTCCCTGGAAGGTAAGACAATGAAGGACATGTAAAGTAGCTGAAGAAAATGTACCAGTACAAATCAACTACAATAAACAATTCGGTCTTCGGGCCATACCGGGGTCGGGCTCGAGGTCAAACTCTCAGGCAATATGATTCCATGCCTCTCTAACAAGTGCCTGCCAACTACCAACGGACCTCCGTCGCTACTGGTCGATCCGGCGCGGAACTTTTGCAATCTGCCTGACCTGCATGCAGGCAGACCCCGTACCCGTACGTAAGTGGAAACCTCGAGAGTGGCTTGGCTCTTCCAAGTGTCGCCCTATAGGCGAGCTTCGACAACGGTTCGCGGTTAGAGGTTCTGCCCCCAGTCACCCTGTGGCCTGTGAAACGCTGAGAAACCGCTCGCCACTTGAGCGGGCACCTGAGCCCAACGAGTCAACCTACAGGTGTTACGTGTAAGTACCAAGGCAGTCTGCTTGGGCGCTGGGCTCAATCCATGGCTGACTCTGCGAGCACAATTGGATCTCGTTAGTCGACTCATTTTCTTGACAGTGGTCACCACATCTCAATTTTATGTCTCACAAGTGCTATTCTGGTGGTCTCATCAACACTCGCCATTTGATCTACATCGCCTTCTCATTTGATCACACGCAGCACCTTACTTTACCTGGGAAAGATGTCCTACGTCAAATCTTTCTCGGCTCGATACGCCGACGAGAGCACCATCTATGAGCAGCTCACCAAGATATTCCCAATGGTGACCGGGATTACCATCGTCGTAAGTGAGCATCCTTCCCCCTAGCCCTATCTGATCGCTGTAGGCCGAGACTACCCGGTAGACAGCAGTCTCACTAACACGTTCTCCAGTACCAGCGCGGCCGTTTCATCTGCACCACGCCGAGAGAGCTTACGGATGTAAGACACAGAAATGTTTGTCTGGAAGTATTTTCCTAATACTTTACAGGAGGAGACAAAAACTATCAAGGCTGCCATCAAGGCAAACCATTACGCAGATGAAGGTTTATGAAGGCGGAGGAGCTGGATTCACGCAAAAGGTCATATCATTGAGAGAGGGCGAAGTTGGTTGAGAGATAATACAGAGAAGATGACTTGCTGAGCCTCCTTACCTACCAGACCAACTTTAGAACAGTGCATGCAATGTCACGGTTGGTACTTCTTTGCCGTTCAAGCCCTGGTCATGTCGTTGATCCTTAGCGTGTGCCACATCTGTTTATGTGCTATGTTCCTTGACAATCCTCTCTCCTCTGATGCTATAGCTTGGATCACGGTTCATGTATGTGCAAGGATGATGTTGGAAATCGGTGGGACGTCGGGACGCTGACGAGTATCTCTAAAGCCAAAAGAGAGACCCAAGTCACTTCACAAAAAGTACCTTTCGATCTGAACGATAGACGGCCCCGAGATTTGCACTTTGATGAAATAGGAAAAAAAAGACTGAGAACACTCAAGGTTCTCTCAAAGAGGTTAACTTAAATCTCGAGTTGCGATCGACCTGATGTTGCTACTGTAGTTACAGTATGTGCTGTACTTCTCAATCTCCCTCCCTACCACCCCGCTTCTTCCTTTCCTTCTCTTTTTTTTTCATCATAACGTCATAACAAAAGCCAATTATATCGAAATCCAGTCCAATTCAGTCCATTGCTGAACATCCATGGACCGACGTAGTAAATGTCATTGAGCGACACAGGGTTGGAGGGGGGAAGGAAAAAAGAAGGCGTTTGATGGTATAATATACGGTTGGTACGAGACGTGTGACGGATTCAAACGAACCTATTACCTTACCTTGGTGAAATGTTTTGGCGGAATACCTCACGCCGGCGGTTTGAGATAAGCCGCCTCGTTCCGCTGCGGCCTCACCTCCGCCTGTCCAGTGTATCGTGGGAGGGCCTGTGACGCCCTTCTGATTGCCACCCGAGTGTGGATATTGAGCGTTTGGGCAGCGGGGATCTGGGCGACGACCGCATCACCAGTTCTGGTTGATGGCTCCGTATAGTACGAAGAGTCTTGATCACAGTTTGCTTTGATGGCGCTGAACCTGGGTAGCAGCTGATCGACTGTGGCCCTATCCTTCTTCTCGATCACCAACATGTGGTTAGCGATGATGTCGAGAAAATCATGGATGAAGTTGGTGGCTTCGGTCCTTTCGCGCAGATTCTTGATCCACTATGAGCGAAATCAGTGAATGAATTAGTAAAACAGGGACAGTAGGTAGGTACTGTAGCGAAACAGTCTGGGTCAAAATACGTACCTCTTGGACCTTCGGCTTGACAACCGTTACGTGCTTTTGGTTTTCCGCTGTAGGGACTTCGAGTTCTTGCACCTCCCAGAAAACGTCATTCGAGTGGAGGGATCCCAGAAAGGGAGACAACCGAGCCCCTTGGAATTCACCCACAAGGGATGAGCCTCCGACGACCCAGGTGACGAATTCCAGGTAGACGCACCCCAGCGCCCAGATATCAATCGACCTCGAGATGAGTTCATCTGGCAGAACACTCTCCGGAGATGCGTAGGTTGTCGTGTGCTGAAAATCCCCGTTTTTGACGTTGGACCGGCTTTGGCGATGGTTGAGTGCGCTCAGCCCAAAATCCGAGAGGACAAGCTCCCCAGATGCGAGGGCGTGGGGTCCGTCCAGGTCCTGCTTATACCACAGAATGTTCTCAGGCTTGATATCGCCATGCCGTCCGTAAAGTGGTTGGTTTTGCCGGTCCTTGACCATATTGCTGGGATCGCACCCGTGGATCCAATGTAGTGCCTCAAGAAGACCATGGCACTGATGAGCGACCCAGAGAATAAGCGTGGGCGTTTTTCCTTGGTGGCCGGTGTCGCGGTCGCGTTTCCAATACATGAGGAGATCACATTCCGCCCATGGAAAGAGCAGGGAGTAAGTTCGGCCATGCCGAAACGTGGCGAGAAGTTTGACTGTGTGGGGTTTCTTGCCGCCCAGCTGTCGAAGCATGGCAACTTCACGTTTAAAGTCCTCTTCTTTGTCGGTTATTAACCTTTTGACGGCAAATGTCACCACTCTCCGATCCCCCGGCGCCTTTAGTTACGTGCAATGTTAGATCTGCATGTGTCTCCTAACAAAAATAAGCGTTGGTCTGATCACTTACGGGATGGAGGCCATGGAAGCTCCAGTGGCCGTCATGGATGAAGACGCGGCTCACCACACTGTTTCCGCCTGCCGGAGCATCCGTGCCGCCGTCGGTTGAAGTCGTCGAGCTTTCATCTCCCCGCACATGATAGTCATGCCAGGGCATGACTGTATCTCCGTCAAAGTCCTGATGTTCTTCTGTGTCCTTAAAGCACGGAAGAAAAACCCTCCACTGCTGGCTGGCAAACGACTCGCAGGAAGTGGGTGTCCAGGGTGGGTCACCTGGTTGGAAGTCTGGTATGTTGCGTGGCCAGGACTTGGACCGAATGCTGTCGCCGTCTTCCCCAAGTTTGAATGGGAAGGCATCGTCGCTCATCTTCGGCTCGCAGCTGAAGAACTCAAAGATGTCCTGCGGCATATCGCAGAGAAGCAATACGGTGAAAACCCGCGCGTACAAGCCGAGTCCATTCGGCGCGTCACTGCCGCGAATGAGTCGATAACAATCCTCAGGGGTGTAAGTATAACCCCTGGCCTCCGCTGAAGTGAAGCATAAGCTCGAGAGGATTCTGTCCTTGGTTAAGACCTCCACCAGTAGGCCGTGGGGGAAGAAAGTCTTGTTGCTCTCTGTGGTGCCATCCCAGTACAAGTTGAGTTCTCTGGATGCGGCCCTGAGTAAGGCACCCACGAAGCTTTTTGTGTTCAGACCCTTGGGACGATTCTTGAGCTGAGTTTCGCAACTTTTCACGACTTCGGCAATTCGCCTCCGAGAGGGGGGTGTGAAAGACGCGACCTCCGAGCCAGCTATCACTGCTGATACCAGAGGCAACCTTGCCGGGGTCTCCTCTCCGCTGGGAGCGTGGACCGTGACGGTCACGCCAGCGTGTTGTTGGTTCACTGAGATGGCGGCGGGGTCAGCACGTGGAACGCAGCTAAATAAGTTGAGCTTGCCACTTACCCATTTTTATGTTAGTTTATGGACATGAGATGACAATAGGGTGGAGCAAAGTGGCTGTAACTGCCTTACTACCAAGCGATTAGATGCGAAACGTAGTAACGTTGCCTAGTACCTTTACGAACTGGCTTACGAATATCCAGGATTGCTTGCTCTGTTCTAAGTTGGTGAAGGTGGCCATTAAAGAGAGCCTACTTTAAGGAGGGTTGTGTTGCGCTGGTTGTCATCCGCCTTCAAGCCGGTACCCAAGGTAGGTACCGTACCTTATATAAAACAGGTCCCTGACGCCGATAGAGAAGCGTGGATGCTGCCTTCTGGCTAACGCTGAAGTTCGCGCACCATCTTGGCAACCATAAGGCTCTGAAATTCCAAAATCCAGGAGTCGAGTTTGTTCCAATCCGAGCAACGGGACTCAACGCCGCACAGCCCTGCTGCCAACCCCAAAGCCCCAACCAAACGGACTCGGCATGGGGCGGGCGACCAATTACTGTACCTATTCTCCGCTGCGTTGCAGTGAGCCTTGCTTGATCGCGGCATTGTGCACAAACGCCCACCCGCGAAAGATATGCCTACAGTAATGCCTTAACGCTCACCAATGTCAGCCTCACCAGGCCACCATACTGGAGAGATTGTAGTATGAGCTGAGAAAGCTGGGTACCTATCTTCAGTTTTGAAAGGCTCCCCAAGCTGGGAAGACATCCAATGACGTGAAGCGAAAGTTAGGGTAGGGAGACACAATCGCGGTAAAGCACTTAACCAGCATTGCATTCCATTGTCACCTCGCGGGGCAGGGCAGATTTCATCAGCCCGACTCTCGTGACACGCAAATGAAGTAATTTCGAATGTCCATTGGCGAACGAAGCTGACAATCCAGCCCAAGGAGGCACACTTAAATATCACGGAGAGTGCACCACAGGGGGTACCATTATGTACTGTGGTATGCGCAGGCATATTGCAACCTTCACGCCACCGTACCACTTACTCGGGGCACTGCAGTCCACGTAGGCTGGTGGGACTGGAATGGGAAAGGTGGCGGCGGTCGCCCGATCACCATGTCTCCATTGCGGATCGCACTGCTGCACGTGGGTGTCCTTTGCCAATAATTAAGGAGGACTGGTCGGCCCGTCGGGTTTCACTGCGTGGCTGGTGGCGGAGCAGAAGCCTGCTTTGCAGATAAATGATTGGCTGGCTACCTTACATTCAACCGCAAGCCACGGCTTGGGCCCAGCAACGACACCAGAACCACCAACCTGCCACTGGCATTTCTACACCGCGGCATCTACGAATCGACGCATTAGGCCTCTTCCGAAAAGAAACTACGTCCTCATCTCAAAACTGCCCGGGACTGTCCGAGATCGAAGGCGTCCCCCCAACTCAGTCTACCTAGGTACTTTGCGATGGACGGGCAGCGGCCGATGGAAGAACTGAGCGAGGCTCGGAACCTTGAGAAAGTTCTGAGTTTTCGCGATGCTCGAGAAGGGGATAGAGATTTTGCTGTTGAGGAGATCATAGATCAGACTCGAACCACCATAACCACAGTGCTAAGGACTCCTAGGGTCGACGACGTAAGCATACTAGGACTTCCACCCAGCTCTTGCCATTTCACGCTGTACCCTTACCCTTCTAACGGACTCTAGGACGTCGATCAGCGAAAACTCTGCGGCCGCGAAGACTGGGAAGAATTTTTCGCGGACATATTGCCATCGGTCGAGAACGAGTATCCAAAACCTGATCGTATCTCCAAAGGGAACCCAAGTCCAACCTCGAGACTCTTTTTAATGTACGTTGTTCTCCTTCCCCAACAAATTCGGAAAATAGCCGAAACTTTCAGATCCAATTGCTAAGCCGCGAAAATAGAATAGCGCGGCCTGAAAAAACAGAAAATCGGGTGCTGAGACCTACAGATACTCTCGTTGAGGGTCGTTGCAGTGGCGTGGATATCAACGATGAACGCCTTGGCTCATGGTTTCTTAGCCGCGGTCGTAGGGTCACTACCGTCGCAGCATCCTTCTTCAGGAGAGGGGAGGACATACTTCCTAACGAGAAAGCTGAAGCCCGGCCAGCGAGCGACTTCAAAGTATCGGTTTCCAAAACTCCTCGTGGTGATCATCGGAAAAGGCTACGAAACATGCCGTTCACAGCCGATACCTTTCGGCTCCTTTCCAGAAGGATGTCTATTCACAGTTGGATTGGTCGGCTTATAAGTCGAGCCAATGTACCGGCTTTTGAACGCACGTTGACCGAGATGCCACTGTACACAAGTACTGGCGAAAGCATGGTTCGTCAGAAGGCAATAAGTGAGTTGATCTGCTCGTCTGCTTCAAAGGACTTATGTTGACATCCATAGTTTACAATTGCCGGACATCTAACGAATGGAAAGACGATATGGCCCTAGCTGTCACACACTTTCCCAAACAAAGATTGACTTTCGCCCTACTATTCGGTGCCTCAGAGGACCAGGAGAGGAGCGTGCTGGCAAGACTTGGGAGAGCCGGCCCTGATACGGCCCATCCCATGCTTCTCCCGGGAATCCTGGTAGAGCTAGAACGCAAGAGGCAAATGGACATTGCCGACGAGATGATTGACGAATTAGAGATGCAAATATTCCAGCTCGACAACGAGACCATCACGAGCTGGAAGCAAAGCGTGCAGACCACGGCCGAACGGAACAAGCAGAAGACTAAAGCCTGGCTTGACGCGGCCTTCTCGAGGAACATCCTTCTGGCTACCAAGACTGTTCTATTCAGCATGTGTCGGCATCTGGACGAGTACTCGATGTTGGTGAATCCCAGGGTGCGGAGAGAGCACGATTTTCATCACCAGGACCGTGACCACTTCGCCCAAGGGGGATTACGACCGGGCACACCACTCTCCGTTACTAGCAGCCACTGGCAAGTTCACAGTCAAATATCCTTCTCGGAGTACTCGGGCTCGGAACCCCTCGAGGCCTCAAATCCTGACAGCACATGCGACCCAGATGCCAGATACCAGGAACTCCTGCAACAAGCTGGAATGAGAATGGAGGATAGGCTTGTTTCTATCATCGGTGAGTATGAAGACAAGATCAGGGCTTGCACCATGGAAATCGATGGAATGGCGATGGCTACACAATGGGTGGGTCTCCCTATCTTACAGCGCAAGTCCACGAGTGCTGATTCTGGCTTGACTCCAGTCTCACGGAGAAACCAACATGGAAATTGCCACGGCAAGTGGCGAGGACTCGCGGCAGATGCGGTCCATCGCACTGGTCACCATGGTATTCCTCCCAGGGACCTTCTTCGCTGTAGGCATCCCATATTCCACGCGCCCCTCTAAACGTGCCGTTTATACTGACACCGTTCGCAATTGAAGAGCATGTTCTCCATGACCTTTTTCAACTGGAACGCTGGTTCCGACGGCGGCGGCGGCGGCGGTAACAATTCCAGCCCTACTGTCTCCTCAGAGATATGGATCTATTTCCTGATCACTGCCGTCTCCACCCTCATCACTCTTTTGCTTTTCTGGTATTTCATTCTGTCTCGTCAGCGTAATAGGAGGAAGCTACAACGGGATCTGAGCTCGGTTTGATGAAGCCATACTGCATCGCTTTTCCAGGGGCGAGAGCTCCAGTCTACGAAACACGGGCATATTCCCTTTGAGGTCAATAGCCCTAATTCACACCCCAATCCAGCTGACTGGGGTTGTTTGTCGAACGGGATCACATTGACTTATATGGGCAGACTGGTTGATGGCTGAGGGCTCCTCAACGTTCAACCGTCCGTTATCTCACTTGATCCACCACTCAACACTTATAACCCTCGCAGCCAGTCATCAATAGCAACATGAACGCGTCATGAGACAGCCGCACGCCTGCTGAATTGGCATACGTCTGAGTATGGTACCGGATTTCGCACCACTTAAGCCAAGGCGGCAGGGGGAAGATGTCAATGACTCAAGGCGTCCTTGTCAGGGACTCTGTAGATGCCCAACGTGGAGTGTCGAAAATGGGGTCACCCGCTCAGACCTCCTTTTGCCATTTCTATATGACTACGTTGAGTTCTCAGCCCCGAAAGTATGAATTACAGAATAAGGTATGTAGGCCGCTTAAGGGAGTACTGCTCGTATTCAATGGGCGACTCGGAGGTAACCCCTTATCGGTTTAGGAAATTCGAAACTCTTCAAAGTAAACATTCCGCTGCAGCCATTTTCGCTCTGCACGAACCCAGTGCCTAGCGATAGTCCTTAATAACCTGGAAGATACCCACTTCTAGATGGACAACCTCCCATCCTCTTCAATTCACCTGGCACATGGGCATCTAGCCAAGTTAGACACCCATTCACACCATCAACTCCAAGTTCGCTTGAGAAGGCACCTTCGCAGTGACCTCATACATGTTCTTCCGCACCTTACGGGCGCGAAGCACTCCAATGTTAGTAACTTCAACTAGAATATCCCCCGAAAGACATGAGAGATATTTGCCACCAACCTCAACATAGAAGTTCCCCCTTCCGTAGCGCCTCTGAAGGGTGTGAAGGAGATGAGGCGGATCCGGCACCAATCTGTAGTGGATCTTCTGAACCTTGATCCAATTCTCACATTCATCGTGCCTACAGGGGCTGAACGTGTTCCCGCCTGGAATCCAGTTCGTGAGGCAGTTGATTGACATATTGAAAAGAATCTGGAAATGTTCAAAACTGGCGAGTGACTTTATATCGAGAGGGCGCCTCGTACGTCGGGTATAGAGAGTGTCGCTAACAAACAACAAATCGGCACGACTGGCAGATCGGTTGGGAGGTGAATTTTATGTGGTAAATTAAATGTCGCGACGCTTTACGGTTCAAATTCGTAAAGAAGGGAGGACGAAGCGACAGCGGCCTTGGTTCAATAATACCACGGCATGCCGATATTAATGCCCAGCAGCCAGCAAAGCAAGCTTTGGGCAGTCAAATTGAAACACGGCCATCCATGTGGCTCTCTAGTTCTACGTTGTACACTACATGCCAACAAGTTCAGGTCGCGCTTTTGGGTCTCGGGACGTGTCTCCCAAGATACGCAGAGCGCCACACGCAATGTGAGAAATGCCTGATCCATCGACTGGTTCAGTATTCCGTTACGCAGCCAGAAGTGATATCCCCACCACCCAACCAAAGCAAACGCCCGGTTTGTACCAATGCAGGTGCCTTATGTTGTTAATGACATCTGTTTAGAGAGTGGTTGTCGGCATCCCCATGTAAGGCACACATGCTGGCAGACTCTTGTGCCTGACGGCAGCTGAGGGCTACCCAACTTGAAAACTGACCGGATTGGCACAAAAGACACTTGGGCTCGTTCTTGAGCGAGCTGCGACTCAGTTCCAATCTGGGTCAATAAATGACTCATTGGGATCAGGAGCGTGGTGACATTTGTCAGGAGCGGTCTCAAGTACTGGGCAACTGCCCAAATTGGTGTTTTTTTTTTTTTTTCCCGCTCGTCGGCACCGCCCGAGTCGTCGCAGTCAAACCGTAACAGCCAGTCTGTAGCGAAGACACTCACATCCGCATCAGCGGGGCGGCGGGCAGCAGCTTCTTGGCTCAGGGACCCCAGCGTGGAACGATAACTCCAATAAAGCACGAAATACCGTACCACGTGAGAGTATCAGAAAGACCGAGCCTGAGTGACGAGCAGCCGATTGGAGTTTAATCAGATTTCTTCTTGATCACCCCGTCCTTCAGTTCAAACTTATTAGAAAACCTCCTCCGCTGATAATCGCGCACCACACCTCGCGACAGACTCGTCAGAGCCGTGAGCGGCAACAGCGCAAGCAGTCCGAGGACAATCACGCCTCCCAGCCCGGCACTACCAGCCCAGCCAATACGCTTCGTGGTCGCCGTCAAGTGGCCCGCCGGGACTTCTCGCGGCCACGAAAAGAACTGAGCCTCCTCCCTCCACTGCCTGACAAGGCTGAAGTAAGCCTGCGCCGTGTCGACCAAGATGTGCTCGATCAGCTCGTGTAGCTCGAGCGTCCGGCCGCGGAGTAGATCCCACACCTCGAGAGAGGTCATGCCGGCAGCCGTCATGCCGGCGATCATGGCGCCTCCGTCGCGGCCGAGGGCTTTCTCGATGGCTGAAGCCGCAGGGTACAGGTCCTCCATGTCCAGGGCGCCCTTGGTGTCTCTGATGTCCCCGATGGAGATGGGCTCCAAGGGTGCGGTCATAGTGACTTGCCTGATGACGTCGAAGCCTCCGTACCGACAGTCGATAAAAATGGCTTTGGGGACACGTTTGATTGGGTGAACGTTGGTGAAGACAAAGAGTTGGTGTACCTCCATGTTATTTGCATGCTCAGGCTCATCGCCGTCCTTCTTCAGGGCTTGCCAGGTCTCGAGGTGGAATGTCTGGTCCGCGTCGACGTATGTGACGGTTCGATTCGGCCCCCGAGTGTGCCAGTCTGTCTTGGGGAAGAAGTGGAAACGGTGTATGATGGTGTTGGGTTGATCAGGTTCTTCCGTCGAGGCAAACTCGTGAACCTCGTAACCCCAGGCCCAGTCCTTGGTGCTCTCGCTGCACTGGACAGTCACATTGGTCGCCGCCACAATGGGCTCGTAGGCCAGCACACGGCTCTGGTCAACTGGCACGCGGTAACCGCTCCGCTCCCATGGGGCAGGCGCGACTCCCACGCCGTGCGTCCGAATGGTTGGGTAGACGGTCCTCCCGACTCGCACACCCTCCCCATTTGTGAGATGGCGCGTGAGGTAGCGATGTGTGACATGTAGACCATGCGGCTTCTGCAAAACAACGCGCTCAAAGGCGCTGCGCAGCATCAGGGACGTCATGTCCCAAGGGGTCGCGGCCGGGACGCGCGTGAGCTCGTCCGTGATGGCGGCAGTGGAAACGGCACCGATGGGGCTCGTTGTCGTCCATGTCGTGGGGTGCATTCCGAACAGGCTGCTGAAGACCCCCGCGCCAACAGAAATACATGCGAAGATGGTGGTGATACCTGTTTTGCCGCTGAAGTTCAAGCCGAACCGGCTCCATGTACTTCCTGTTACCGAGCTGAGCGATGGGCGCAAACTGGAGCCTGAAGTTGACTGAGCCCTCCACTGTGATTGACCATTGCGGTAACGCTGAAACGCAAAAAGAGTAATTGCTGCAATGGCACCTCCGCAAATCTGGACGGCGTAATTCCAGAAATCAGCATCATAGCGTGCCAGCTTGCGCGAGTGGACAACTGTTCCTATCTTTTGGTAGGAAAGGTGGGTGGGCACGTCCCATGCCAGAAGCGGTTTGTTGTGGTATCGAACAGCATAGTAAATTCCGGTCAAGAGACAGGCCAATGAGACGGTGTTAAGTGCGAAGAGCCATATGCTGGAAGTGGCCATTGTCAACCTGCCTGTTCAGAAAGGTTCCTGGTTTTTGTCTTCTCGGCAAAATTCTCATCCCAACGACTCTTGCTTCGTTCATGAGGACACGTGACCGCTACCGAAGGGTGACATGGTCATTGGGTCGGTACCGGATAATATCTGTGGGATTTTGGTATGAGCGATTGGCACCTCAGCTGGATGTCTTCTGGCTTGACCTCGTAGGAGGTGGGGTCGCCAAGGAGATAAATATCTCCACCAGGCTGAAGGCGAAGAGTAGGGAGACAGGAGTACATGGTGAGAGAACAAATAGATAAGAGTACTTTCTTTAGTAAGGCAGTGTAAAAGAGATTTCATGTTTCCTCTCATGACTTCTAGCCTCGCCGCGGTGTTGTGGGCGACGCGCTGTCTGCATCTCGAGGCGTGTGCCTCTCTTGCGATGACGTGACCATGATATTATAGACGAGATTGTCGGAACTATTTATCGTGTAGGTAACAGCCCGTTGCAGATAACAAAAGCCAATGTTGAGCACGCTCACTATATGTATACTTCCACCGGAGTTACAAAGCGCACTCATTACTGCTCTCAGACGGCCCTATCTATAACAATGCTCTGACCCTAGAGTATAAATCCATCCTCCCAAATCCCAGAAAAAGAAACTCTTAACTTCACTCAGAATTCTATAAGGTATATTACCAGCGAGTGACCCATATCAGCGAGTGACTCAGCTTAACAGTTTTACCATAACGGAAGTTGTGAAGCTCCCCTGAATCCTTCGCTACACAAGATGGCGTTTCTGCTTCAAATTCAAGTGGTTATATGATTCCCTATCTTCATACATGATACGTCTTCAAGTTCAATATTCGGGCAATACCCGTTCGGAAGCGCTGCCGTCGATTATCGGAGGCCAGGCCGGCAAAATCCCGGCAAGTGGGCCCTCGGACCAGCCCAACCTCAAGGACCCGGCCACAAGGGCCCGGCCGGGCCCAGCCAATCAAGTACAGCCATAGTGTACACGTATTGTAGTGCGTTTCGATACAGATTGGAAAATGCACTGGGAGAGATTCGCCGGCTTTGGGCCCGTCTTGGCAATTTCAGTTTCAAGGGCTCTATCAGCAGGTAGTGACGTCACATATTCCACTCTGTCACCACGGCCTCATAGGCAAACAAACGAGCCGGATTCCCAAACCACCCGTGCTCGGAATCAGCCACCCTTCAACAGAGCACATTCAGACAACACTTGTATCCACGTCGAACGAAACAGAGAACCCACCATGTCTGACATCGTCGAAGCCATCAAAGACGCCGTCAACCCCAAACGGCGCGAACAAGCCACGGTCGAGACCTACGACCCCCACAAACGGGGCCCTTACCCCGACCAGCCTCCGACCGGCGACGGCCAGCCCGGACTCTCACCGTCGACGACGACTGAAGCGCAGAACCCGGGAACCGCCGAGCGGAGCGACCTCAGCAGCACCGTCGCCGCGGGGGGCCAGCACAGCGGATCCGTCACGAGCCAGACGCTGAATTCGGCCCAGCCGTCCGCTGCCCAGAGCTCGGCGGGACGGAGTCGATCGCGCGTCGCGGAGGCACTTGATCCCCGCGCCGAGTCGACCGGGAATGGCAGCGGAAGTCAGGGGCTGGGTGACTATGGCGGGGCAGCGACCAAGCCGGTGCATAAGGAGGGTGGAAAGTACGGTTTGTCTTGAAGTGAGTTCGGACGGTGGTCTGCAATGACTCGGAAGGCATCACAGAGACGCGGAGGAGGGGAGTGGTGAAATTGCAATGCACCTTGGCTTTTGGGGGCAGGCGGAGTTGGGCGTTGATTTTGTTGGTTTGGTTCTGATATATTGCACTCTTGTTGTGCCACTAGCGGTATGGGCCAGAGCCGACGACCATGGCATGAACTTCCACAGTCTCCTCTCCGTTTATGATTAAGCGCCCCTTCTTCGCCCCTCAGCGTATCAGACTCTACAGGCAAGGTCCCTCGTGAAGAACGGTCTGTGCCGGTGCCTTGTCGTCCACAAACGGAATCTGTATGAGGACTGTGGGCTCGTCGCTCGGGAACTCGGTGAAGTGGCCGGCCAGTGTGCTGGCCGACTTGAGGTCGGCAGCGATGAGGACTGATGAGCGAAGGGTCCCTGGCATAGCATAGAACACCCTCGTGTCTGGCCGCTCCTTGCGACCCGGATGATCTTGAAGACACATCGAGGCGTCGGGCCCATCGGCAACAGGCGCGGGAGCTGTGATCCTGATGAGGCCGTTCAGGACGACCGAGAGTCTTTTGAAACGTCAGCGATATTAGCCCTTGGCTCCCCTTGGAAGGGCTCACTGGATATGCGGCGCCCACGCCTCGCCCACAGTGGTTCGTGGTTCGATCCGCGACCATGTGGCTACGGTGGTGTTTCCGACCGCGTAGTTAACGGCAGCCATGTAGGCGGCCGGGACTGAGGACAGCTGCCAGCACTCAATCACCGAATACCCCGCGCGGGAAGATAAGGCAGTGATGTTGAGCGGCACCGTCGTGGACTCTGCCGCAGCGACATGGCTCATGGCGAGCGTGACGACCACACAATGTAGCTTCATGCTGAGTTCTTGGTCGTTTGCCTAGTCTAAGCTCTTGTCGGGGGGGAGAAGACGAGTTCAAAGAACAAGAACTATGGAGCTACCCGACGTTGGTTTCCGAGACCGGACCGCCACAAAATCCGGCGAGCTGCATGAACCAACTCAAGTTATCTGCATCAACGCCACAACAAAACCGGTGCGGGGCTGCCGACTCGGACAGACTCGACAAATGCAGTTATGCATCAGTACTGGTAGGCTCTTCGTCGATATCCGATTGGCCACCACGCATAAAAAAACCTGGTACTTAGCCCGAGCTTTTACTGTTCGTGGCACAACAGGAATGAACTCAACGGTTCTTTCCTCATCCAAGTCCTTATTCGAGTGCAAGCAGACAATGAGAGAGTCGTCTTCCGTGCTCGGGACAGAACAGTCAACTCCGGCGACCAGAAGCCACGACTCATTGGTGAAACCCGCCATGTATCCTTTCTTGACTTCGGACAGCAAGGCATCCAAAACGTTGGCAGGTGTTGGTGGCTAGTTGTGCAATTCGACAAGCGACCGGGCTCGGAAGACCGCTATGACACATAAAGTCATCGATTTCCATGTTCTCAGGGACCTCGGGGCCGAAGTGGTGCAATGATTGCCCTGGCACAGCGACGGCGATCCGAAGAGAACTTGATGACAGGGAACTCCTTGAGGAACCACAAGAGTGAGTGTCGCCATTTCGGGCTGTACGGTGCTGCCGGTAGTATCGGTAGTGCCAGTGGCCTCCCTGGAGGAAAGATGTCAGCGTCTGGCATCTGTACCGACCTTGGATCGGGCCGCTCAACGTAATGGAATACTACATGTGGATGATCAGGTACCGTTCAGCTATTCAAGATTGGTGGGGCTGTTGTTGGCGCGTGGTATGACTGGGAAACTTCTTATCCCAATCGTACATCAGAAGGGAACGGGTAATCAATGAGGAGTTTGAGCTTCGAGCAGGTTCTCGACCACAGTAGGTAGTTGCGCCTCCCTCATGCTTCCACTGCAATTGCACCAACTTTCCACCTACATTTCCGCTTTCGGGTGAGGCGGCCCCAACCAGCTGCACCAGAACTTTGCAACCAACACCACCGCAGCAAACCATCCGAGTAGTACAGTAATTGGGTCATCGTACAAGCGTATTGTAAGTGGATAAAATCACTCAGCTGTCACAGCCGGCAGCAGCCGGCAAAGACTCCCCGCGATCGTAGCAACACTGATGCCGTCCCGCCTACTGTTGTCGTCAACACCCATTCATCGTCAGCAAATTCTACAGCGCCCATAACGTCGATACGACACCCATCATCCTCCGGCATTCTTTCAAGCGTTTTCACAAGTCCTAGTCAGAGAGAATGGCGTCCACTTCGACCACTACTGGCGAGTGGAAGAAACGCTCCGTCGTCTCATCCTTCATCATGCAGAACCATGACGGAAAACCCCGCGTAGCTCTCTTTCAACGCAGCGACCGTGTTTCAACATACAAGTAAGCAGACGGTTGCCCTTCCAAACTTTACATCAAATTGATCAGATTGACGAAACCCATAAGACACCACTGGGCCCCCATCTCCGGCAGCATCGACCCGTCGGACCCAACGCCCCTCGCAGCCGCTTGGCGCGAAATCGCCGAGGAAACCACGCTCACGCCCACCGCCCTATCTCTTCTCCGCCAGGGCAAGCCCTTCACCTTCCACGACGGCTCCGTCCGCCGCGTATGGACCGTCTTCCCCTTCCTCTTCCGGCTCAACAAAGAGACGCCCACCGCCGAGACCGAGCAGCAGCAGCAGCAGCAGATCCAGACCGACTGGGAGCACGAGGCGTGGGGCTGGCACGATCCCGACGCCGTCATCAGGGATGCTGCGGCGGGTACCTTGCGCGCGGTGCCGCGACTGGCCGAGAGTCTGAGGCGCGTGTGGTTTGAGACAGACCTCGGGCCGGCGGCCGGCAAGGTCCTTTCCGATGGGCTTGAGGCGCTGGCTCGGGACCACGAGAGCGGAGCGCGGCAGCTGGCTGGGGTCGCGCTGCGGGTATTTCAGGATGTGGTTGCGCGAATGGACTACACGTACGCTCCGGCTCCCGATGACGACGGCGGGTCGGCGGCGGCGACGGAGAGAGAGGAGGGGTGGTGGGTCAAGGTGCGTTTTGCGGCGTGGCATCTGTGGAAGAACGGGAGGGAGAGCATGGGCGCCGCCATCCTGAGCGTCCTGCTGGCTGCGCTGGCGAGGGTCGAGCAGGTGAGGCAAAGGTCGGAACGAGGGTCGTTGCGTGAGAACGTGCTTTGTGAACTGGAAGCTCAGATCGCGGAACGGCAGGAATCGGCCAAGCGCATCTCGCAGGCATTTGCCGCATATCTCAACAAGACCTTTGCCTCAAAGCGGGCATCGCATGAACCGATCTCGATTTTGACACTGTCTGAAAGCTCAACCATCCGCCAGGGCTTTCGGCACGCCGCCGAAGCAGGATTTGTCCTCGACCTCCGAATCCTCGAGTCCCGCCCGCTGCACGAAGGGGTCTCACTGACCGGGGCACTCGTCAACGACCTCACCACAAATTCACCCCCTCCAGGAAATCCAACACACAAAATAACCATCTACACTGACGCCTCAGCCGCCCTAGCATCTTCAGACATCGACCTACTCGTCCTCGGCGCCGACCGCATCGCAGCTTCAGGCGCAGTCAGCAACAAGACAGGCTCGCTCCCGGCCGCGCTGAGCGCAAAGCACGTCAGCCCGACCGCCAAGGTCGTCGTGCTGGGGGAGTCGGACAAGATCGCGCCGCCGGGCCGACCGGATGACCACGTCGTCGAGGACAACGACCCATCCCAGGTCAACCGCGCGTGGCTGGCCGAGTACAACAGCCAACGAGTCCGGAATGCAGCATCGACGATCCAGGACGCACAGGCTTCGCCCGGCAGCGACAGCACAGTCAAGCTGGCTATCCGCAATATCTTTTTCGAGTGGATTCCCGCCAGCCTGGTCGATGAGTACCTCATGGAAACCGGGGAATGGACGACAGAGCAGATCGCACAGCAATCTGCAAAGCTCGAGGCCGAAGAGAAACAGTTCTTCGGAAGCTTATAAGGCCATCCATCAATCACCCCAGAGAGCCTGAAAGAGCGAACCCGTTGTACAAGAGGAAAAAGACCGTGGTATCTTTTGCATCGCCGAACTCAACACCAAGCCAAATCTGCGCCCAACTCGGAAAACCTAAGAAAGAAAAGTACTGTAAAACTGCATATAGTCGGCCTGCCACCAACAAGACAGCGTCTGGTACATGGCAGCCACCCTCTGGTACAGCTGCGGCCCACGCTTCACCTGATGCCCCGGATTCTCCGCCTCGCCGTTGGTGGTAGCAGACCCACGACTACTGCTTCCATCCACCACAGCAGCGGAGGCCGCTTCGCTCGGCAGCAGATCACGCAGGGCACCTTCGTCAGACAAGAGGACCCGCTTAGTGCCCGGGTCGTGGATGGGGTTCCGCAGGCGCTGAGCAAGGTACTTGAAGTCGTGCAAAACACGCGCGCAGTCCTTGGCGTACTCACTGCCCGTCTCGGCTTCCGTGTCAAACACCTCGATGGTCCATCCCACATCATCCAGATCCTGGGTTCTCAGGTTGACAAAGACCATCTGGTGCATGATAAGGACGATGGCGGCGTTGAAGATGTTGTGCAGGTCGGGCAGCAGCAGCTTTTGCCGGGGGCTGTGGAGCCGCATCAGCCGGCCCAGTCGCAGGTTGCGTCGGGCGGCGTCGCTGCAGGCGCGGATCGGCTCAAGGTGAGGGTGGTTCTCCATGTCGAAGGGCAAGTTGTCGCAGACGATGCTGGCGACGGCCTTCCAGACGGCCATCAGCATTGCAGGCCGGATTGCCAGAATCACGAGCTGAGGATTATGTCAGAAGCGCACCCTCCACCGAAGGAGACAACCACCAACTCACCTGATTGTAGCTCATGTGCAGAGACCAGCAGGCCCGGTCACGCCCGAAGCTGGCCGCGCCGGTCAGCAGCCCGGCTGGATCCTGCCCGAACGAGGCGGCCATGGTAAATATGTCGACCGGGAGGAGCGTTAGGGGGTCCGCCGGGAGCTGGAGGGCGGGCGGCAAGTTCGCACGCCAAGTCCTCAGCATTTCCAGCGCCTTGCCTACGCGAACCGTCGCATTTGTCAGAAGATCTGGCAGCCCGGATTCCCTGTAGCTGCTGTAGACGATGTAGTCCGATATCTTACACAGCTCCACATGCGCACGGAGACCGGCCGGCGACGGAAGCCCGCTTCGAATCGTCAGCATGTGGATATGGGGGAATTTTGGGGGTACATACGGGTACTCTCGAGGAAGAGGAAGAGTAATGGCGTCATCTGGTGTCGTGGGCGGCCGGCCCATGACACATCCCAGCCATCTACAATAGTCAGCGCCGTAGATGTCGGGTTCAGGGGCAGCCGAGCCTACCTGTCCAGGACGTAGACGGTCCAGAATGTCCGCACGCCAATTTCATTGCCCGAACCTCCCTTGTGGAGGCCGTGCATGACGCTGATGGTCATGGCATTGCTAATGGCCATGTAGGCTGCGTCTCGGCGATTGTTCTCAATCAGGTACAGCGCCATGAGAGCCAGCACCGCGATGTCGGTGATGGTGTATGTGGTACGGTCGAGCAGGTTGCCCAGTAGCGAGCGAGCCCTGGCAAAGTACTCCTCCCCGAGCTGGCCATCGACAGCAGAACCGGGATCCCTGATGTTCAACATTCGGACAAAGGCAAACGAGGCATGATACAGGGCCAGAGGGCGATGGTGAGGTCCCGGTCGTTTCGGTTCACCGGGGCCCTGCGTGCCCGGGAGTGAAGCAAGCGAGAGGATCTCCTGGATATCAACAAAGGGCCAGAACATGATGCCGCCACTCGCAAAGATACCGTTGCCGTCCTGGATGAAGTAACGAGCCTGCGACAAAGCCGACGACATCTCGGCTTCCGAAGGTAACGCCAGGGGATCGACAGCCACCGGCAACACCAATGGGCGGGAGTCGTGCGTCTGGTACTGGCCGAGAGACCCAAGGAAGGCGGCGCCTGCCGGGTTTCTCCCCGAGTCGCCATCAAGCACCTTGGCCAATGGCGCTGCCGTGACGATGAGCTCCTTAAGCGTGTCGAGGAAAGTCGCCCCGGACGTCTCTCCGAGGTAGCGAGAAGTGCCGGCGGGGTCGGCAAGCATCCTGCCGTCGATGCCTCCCAGCCGTACGGTGTGCGGCGTGCCGCCAGTCAAGGACGATGGCGTGCTGTTGGATGATGTCGGAGGCGAGGCGGCCTGCTGCCCGGGTTCTAGCCGAGGGTCACTCCGCTCAGTGGCGGCCAACTGGCGCTCGAGCGAGGCGCACCGGCGTTGCAGCGACTCGAGCTCAGCCCTGGGGATGGTGACGCGCTCGACGGGCTCCGGGTACAGACACTCGCGCTGGGCGCTGGTGCACTGGCGGCACGGCCGCTCGCCGCTGCACTTGATGCGGCGCACATTGCAGCTATTGCAGCTGCGGTCATGAAACAGTGCACGTTAGAATGAGATGTGTTAAGAGCAGGCGTCATGTGTGACGACGCGAGGAAAGGACTGCAGAGGGAGCAATCCTCTATCGCTATACTTACGCAGTGGCCACACGCTTGCGTTCATCAGGTGCGACCTTCTTCCTGCGGGGATTGACAGGCAGGCGATGTAGCGGCGACGGCGCCGAGGCCGATGAGATGCTGGAGTTTGCAGGCGTATTCGATAGCCTTGTCATGGTCTGGCATCGGGGTTAGGCGCGGAGGGTTGGCTGGATCGAATGCACTCGATAAATGTTGAGGCAGATGGGATTAACGGTGTTGGGGTTAAGCTTTTCGGTGTCTGTACCCGTGGTGGAGGAGGGAACGGGGCGAGGTCGGGTGACTGAGCGGGGAAGGAGGAAAATGAGGTTAGGCGGACGGGTGGGGCGTCCGAGACGTGGAGAACAGGGGCTCCGGGCCACCTCATCCGACCCTTGCCCCATCGCGCCGCCATCTCACCGTTCCTCATCGAATGGCCCTTGATTGGTTCAAACCCCTTGCACACAGCCTGTTAACAACCTGATAAGCGCCCGTCTGGGGGAAGGCGCAGGGGAGTGGGGGTCAAATTCTGCAACTGTACTCACCTCCTTCCACCATTCCGATCTTCCAACTGGTTCGCAAGGCAGTGCCGGGAATGGATCCATAAATGCATTGATATTCTCCTGTCTTGTCATCTATGGGTGCAGTCGTGCGCGATCGTCCATTCTCAGTCTGCGTGCCTCACTTCGCTGGCTGCTCAGCCTCGAGTTTTGACTGTTTTGGACTTCATGATGGCTACCCTGCCTGCTTGCGTCTGTTGACTGCCTGCAGCGTGACCCGATATTTGATGGGCATGGAGCGCCAGTGCCGCTGCGATATAACTGAAAGTAGGGCGTACTGTAGTCGGAAGAGTTGCGAGTCGACCGGATGATCCCCAACAAATCACCACAGCCGTTGACCCCCAGGACGAGCCCCCGCTTCCCCGTAGGTGGAGTGTGTGAATGCTGCTGAGCCACGTACCATTGAGCGGGGGCGGGACTCGCCTGGGGTGCGGGGGAGGGAAACGCAGAGTGCCGCATACAAGTGGCTGCCTTGCTTGACGCGCTGACGACCAACACCGAATCCAGCCAGGGCCATGAGGATCTCGGCCGTGAGGTGGTGACCTCGTTCCACGCGGCGACTTTTGAGCTCAAGGCCAACAGATAGAGTCTAATGCCACGGCACCCTGCGGGCGGCGCCGACTCTACATCTTGCTGGGTTTCGCGATGGCTGCTCCATGCATATCACTCACATCGGACGGTCCAGTGGGACAACGGCTTGAGAGATGCGCTTCGACCGTCCACATACCACGTCCCCGGATGGATGGGCGAGTTGCTCGCAACGCCCCATGACTCATGTTTCCTTGGTGCTTTTTAAAGACGGTCAATGCAGACGCCAGGGAGAGTTTCCAAAGCCCCGGGGCTGCTAACCATGAGAATGGGGATCCAGTGCCACGGTCCCAGCCTCCACTCACCGCTGCCGCAGCGGCTGGGACATGTCGAAGGCGACAAAGCAGGGCGTGACAGCAAGATTGAGTTTCTTCGAGTTAGTCAATCAGTGATGAAGCCTGCGCTGTATCCTGATATCAATACGGTAGTCGCTGACAAGCTCGCATCACGACAGGCAAGTATCAACCTGAGTCTCGGCTTTTCCAATGCTGCCTCTGTCCAGACCGTGGGACAGCTACGATAGGAATAGCAGCGGGAGCAGATCCGGGGTTCGCTTGCCCGGTAATGTCGGCCTCTTTTTCGCAAGGGTCGGTGGCCAGGAGGGGCTGGCAGGCTCCTCTACATTATTTGACTCCCAAAGCTTGCCTATGGAGGCTCACAGATTGCAGATGTGCTGGCATCTCTGCAATACACTCTCCGTGACCATCTAGGTGTGACTAACAAACGCAGTGCGTGACCGAGACAATCTTATATTCGCTATAAGCAATATGAGGTTCCGTGACCGTGCTTTTCTTCTCCAGCTGTTGTGCTACAATAGCTACAGTACAATACGGCGGTGTGCTTCACTCATGACCCCAATGCCTCCTTCCAAACTCATGATCCCGCTTCCCGACCGCGTCGGCAAAGTCCCTTAAGAACCGCCACCGCACCCTCCTCAGCCACCCCTTCTTCACAAAATCGTTCATCGTGCCATGGGGGAAGAAGACGATATGATCCAGCAACGCCTCGTCATGGGCGCCCGCAACAAAGACATTGTCATGAGCATCAGCCTCCTGCAACTTCTCAATCACCCGCAACAACTCGTCCATGTCGTGGTGGAACGACCTGCCCCCCGTCTCCGCCTCCCCCGCCGGCTTATAGATAGGTCTGTTCGCCGGTCGCCCTCGTCCGGCAAAGAGCGCGTCAAACACGGCGCCGGGACAGGCGTAGTGGGATTCCAGCGGGTGGGGATCCGGGGCGAACGGGTCCGGGATGATGTCCTTGGGCAGCGGGAGGTACTTGCTTGGGCGGATCTCACCCGGGTGGTGAATGGCGTCGCCGGCGAGCAAGACAAACGAGGCCGGGCTAGACGTGACGCGGGCGAGGGCGCAGATGTGGCCGACGGCGTGGCCCGGCGAGTCGAGGAGGTAGAAGGAGCCGTCACTGAAGTAGTCGAGGGCGCGGAAGCGGCCGATGGTGAGGCGCTGGAAGGTGTGCGCTCCTGAGGTGCCCGAGTCAAAGTCTAGCTCGATCAGCTCCCGGCCGGATAAGTCGCTTTCGAGGATGGGCGAGTTTGGGTTGGTGGGATATCCGGGGAGCACCGACTTGAAGCCCGGGCCGACTATGAGCGAGGTGCTCGATGGGAACGTGTTGGGGTTGCCGGTATGGTCAGCGTGATGGTGGCTCCAGATGATGGCCTCTACTTTGTTGACATTGACACCGGCGTCGTGAAGTATCTCGCTGACATCCTTGTCCACATGCACATTCCATCCGTGGTTCTTCAGCTGGGACAGCACCGCTGGGCTTAGGTTCTCCCAGTCTTTGCGGATGCCCAGATCGAAGACGATGGAGCGATCCAGGCTGGGGTGCTTGACAAGAAAGGAGAAGACAGGAAGAGCCAGCCAATCGTACCCTTTGACGGGCGGGGTGAGAAACAGCTGCGATGGAACCCCTCGGATGGTGCCGGTTGTGTCAATGATGGCCACGTCGACGGTATGCGGAGAGGGGAGGATGCCCATGTCAGGGGCACTCTGCGCGCTTTCGGTCATTGCGAGCGGCGTCAAGGAGAATGGCTGATGTGAGGATTCGATCAATCACTGTGCTCGCGATTGACCATGCACAGGAGAGAACATCCCGCGATGCCCCCTCGTGTCTCCCAGGTGATTATGTCGTTCAGACGTCACCTGCAGGGTCCAGTTGGCTCACTCAGCCCCCACAGGTTCGCCTGGCACCGAGTGGAGACAGAACCCGACAACACAAGCCTCCAAGCTTTCTATCCGCCGTGATCGTTGGGGCTTCTCGGGGCCTGCTGTAAGGTACACATTCTTCAATAGTCCAGTCCTCCACCTGTTTGCACGGGAAAAAGTTGAACTTCCTATGACAACACCAGACTCCGGTGAAGCCAACCCATAAAGCTTTGAAAGTAGCGAAGCTTAGATCTGATACGGATCACGTTCTAAGACATAGTCGAGGACGGCATTTGGCTCGCTTTCCAACCAGGCGATCTGCTTGCCCAGCCAGATATACATTCCCTCGAACTTGTCGTAGTCCTCAACCCACAACTTGAACCAGCTCTTCAGAATCTCTTCCCGTCTGCCAGAGTCGACTTTGTCATCGTAGATGAACTCCCTGTAACGTTCGAAACGACGGCGCAAGTCCAAGAGGTCAGACTTTTCAAGGTCAGGGAAGCGGCGTCTATCGCCGTAGCCGTTGACCTCCGTGACCCACTCAAGCCCGTCTAGGATCTCGTTCCCTATGGCCTTGAACTCAGCGAGCGAAGTGACGACATTCGCTGCATTGTTGAAGTCGTTGTATATGTAGTCCCAGCCGAAGCGAAGTTGGCCGCCAATTTCTCTCCGGTGTTCTTGGAACATGGCGAGGGCGCCAGCAGACAACTCCCGGGCAAGCCTAGCGGAACCACCACCGCTTTCGAGGTAGCATCGGTTGCAGATGAGGGGATCGATGGTGAATCTAGCGGGGAGAGGCCATTCCCATTCTTGTAGCTTCCAGTTCCGGAAAGCGCTGTCCATCAGCCATTTCTTGCAGAACCGACAGAAGACAACGTATACGTTGAGGAAAAGGCCGAGCGCGGGCCGCGATCCCCGAAAGCTCCTCCACACCCGGGGTCGCTCCTCAGGCGGGGGCGGCTCGACGAGGCCGGGGAAGTGTCGATCCCACATACTCAGAAACAGGCCTTGCCGGCTTATCACCGCTGTTGCCGTAGGGCTGACAGTGACTTCGATGGTGCACGGGGGCCTGGTCCGGATGTTGAGGAGACGTTTGCACTCGATGCATCTGCGTTTTTGACGCGCGGTGCCCGTCAGGTACGCCCGGACTGGGTATTCCTCGTCTTCGTCAGGGTGGTCGCGTGCGGCGAGTGGAAATTGGTAACCAGTCCGATTCCCAATAACATAGTCCCTCCTCCATTCAACGATGCGAGCCCATTTTCTCTGCTCCTCCCGTACCCGGGCCTCCCGCGCTTGAATACGCCTCCATCGGGCGCTCGGCTCGAGCGGTTCCCAGTCTGTGATGGCGGCCTTCTCCGCCTCGACACTCCACGGCGGGGGCTTTCGGTACGGACGGCGAAGAATAGCATGGTTGTCAAACATCATATGGGACTGCAGCTTCATGCAGCCGCAGCACGCGTACTTGTTGGACTTCCACTCGCTGCCGTCCCACGGCGGACACAACTTTTGGGAGAGCTCGTCGAACATCGGCACAATGCCGCCATGCTCTGGCATCAGCTCGAGGGCGAGCAGCCGCTGGACATAGTCGTGTTGAATGGGGCTGATGAAGGCACGCCATGACTTGGAGGTTTGAGAGAGGGCGATCAACGATATTGGGTCGAGCTGACGGACAATTTGCTGCACGACCTCTGGGGGAATATGAGTGTTGAAAAATAGCAACATTGCTGAAGGCAGATGAGAATACGCTGTAGATGGTTATAGACACAGACAGCCCTGACAGCGTTGTAGTTGTACAAGACACTAAGTTAGTTATGGCTTCCTGAAGTTTTCGGCAAGCAATGCTGGAAACTGCGGGGTTGTGGCTTCGCTTTGTGTTGAATCCAATTGGGTTACGTCAACGTTGCTGTGAGGTGAGCAGACCTTGAGCTGCCAGCGAGAGCAAGGCTTCACACAACAAACACAAACAACTTGACATCAAACCTGAGCCCAGAGTTTAACTATATTTGACCTGCTGCATCGAGCCGTCTTGGCCACGGTCGGTAGGGGGTTTGCTGTGCTGATGTTGGGGAGGTACTTAAATCCAAACGACTCAAACTGGCCTGTGAAGAATGTTTATTAACATTGCCGCCTCACATTAGTCTTCGACCCTTGAGACACTGGCATGTGATGAATCTCGCGGGACTCCTGCAACCTCAGCACACCGGATCCCGAGCTTGACATAACCGGATGCCTGGACGTGCTATGGCTTTCCCGCTCGCTTCCCATTTTCACTTTTCAATTTTCATTTTCACGGCTCGTATCCCCAGTTTGGCATCGCACTCTTCTGCCAGGGCAGACATGGTTGCTCAAGCACAAGCACATGCTCAAGAAATTGGCGATTTCCCGGGGGCTTGGTTCAGCCGTGTCGTGGACCGTAATCTGTGCGCTTCCCACATGTTGTGGCTTCCCGTGTTGGGGCGAATGCGGAGCAAGGACGACGCCGGTACGGCAGCAAGACGGTTGTACAATGCAGATCTGCTCCAAAACCCGGTTTCCCGATGTTTTTCTCGGGGGACATTCTGTGATTGCTTCGCTCGGTCCATCAATCGAGCCTGGAATCGGCAGTGTCAAATCTGCGGCATCCCGGTTGTGACGAATGCTTCGAGAGTCAGAACCAAACCCTTGGTTCCTTTGAAGCTCGCATTGGAGGCTGTTTTGAGTTTGGGGCGTGTGGGGCAGCAGTTCCAGAAACGTCCTGTCGTTGTCAACGCACAGATCGCTGGGATTTCACGAGAAAAGTCCCTCCCTCGAGGTTTCCAACATGAGCCCTGGTCGCGGTGTCATCTGGTGGGCTTTTCCTGGAACACGATCGCATTGGTCATCGTACATTTCCCCAGGAATTTTCTGCACCGGGAATGGCCCCACTTCTGTCAAATCGAAAAGCGGGGGCGCAATACACGACTGTGAATTGATTGGTCAATCGGCCTACTCTCCCCGGGATCCCACGTGGGGCGTCTTTCTTTTCTTCGCTCGTTCGGGCTCATCCGCCTTCTCGTCTTCAATGGCCGTTGCAGTTTGAGCTCAGGAAACGGTGCTGGAAATGGCATGACAGTATTTGCGCTCAAGAACACAGCAAGGGAGGGTCCAAGACTTGAAGATGGCTCGCCAACTAGTGGATTTTTCTCCGAGGAATCTCATTGGCACCAGTGCGAAATTGCGTCTGTGCCCGCATTGACCGAGGTGGGTCAACTTGCTGACCCCGGATCAACGTCCCTGCTTCCCGACTTTGTGAGCCTGGCCCGGATTCGGGAAGCCGACCATTGCGACCCAGTTCCTTGCACGGAACTGGCAACAGCACCAACTGCATACCGAGAGTTTATCCGTCACTCACGCTGCATTTCAGCTCTTTGTGCAGGATGCAGCCATCACCGCCGACAGGGGGAAGCAAGCGGCGAAGCGAGTGTTGGCTGACCGAGACTCCCTTCCCCCTGCAGCAGAATTGCATTGACACTGATAAATCCCAGAATCACATCGTGGCACAGTTTCAGCATTGTCCAATCGACGCCCAGCATCAACGGTAGTGCCTTCGTCCCATGCAGTTGGTCATGTCCGCCAAGACGCTGACAGATTGACATGGTATCGCGTTGCCGGTTTCTGCTCGTTGTCGACCAGTTTGTTTTAGTACGGTCTTTGCTTTGACCTGTCCTGGAGCACCAATACGGACACCCCGCCCAGCTGCATCCTTCGCCCCTTGGCAGAACGGAGCAATATCGACCCATCCATCTCGCCCACCATGTCAAACCAAAAACCCGCCGTCTGGTGGCCGAAAAATGCGGATCGTTTACGGACAGACACCTTTACAGACTACACGGTCATTGTCGATGACAGGAGGGTCTGCTCGGCTGTCCAGCTCTATGCACTCTGTTAGTTTTTCCATCCGGCTTTCTGAGGCTGGTTCAAGTTGACAATTGTATGCACGTCAGACTCGCTTTTTCACAAGCGAAAGTACATGACATCGGGAAGAAATGCTAATCACCCGTCCAGGCCGGGCCCTCTAGAGGTCGCGTGTCCGTCACGTTGTGGATTGCGGGGCAGTCGATCACATCGCGGGTGCCCTTTGCTTTTTCCAGCCCAAGGAAGCTTCTTCCCGAGTTCCAGGCACGCCCAGGCGCCAACTTTCGCAAGGCGATCCCCGTCAACCCACGTCTCCCGTCCCGTTTCCATCTGAAAGAGACCTGTCATTCTCAGCGATGCTGTTAACTCGAGTCATCTGTGGCCGGCACCACATACCTACCAATGAGTGAAGGAGCAGTGATTAGCTGCCCTCGGCATGGATCGTCCGCATCGCAGTTTGGGCTTGGTGCCAAGGGTTTCGGTCGTTCGACGACTGGCCAGCCGGAATGCTTAGAACGTTGGGTTGCATTGCAGGTCAATGCAACCCCGGACTGCTCCCTGTTCGGTTCACTGCCCGTTGACCACGACTCTCCTTTGCTCGTGCTCCCCCGGGCCTTGGAGGACAGGGGCCTCTTTACCAAGAAGACAATGCAACCCCAAACCCAGAGAGTTCCATGTCGACAAGGCGCCAGGCTTAGGGTTGACGGGGTGGGATTGCCCGGCCCATCCCTCGCCGGTTATTAATGTTCCCTCACCTCCATCCACGCAGGGCTGCCGACGGCTCTTCTCCCCTTGCTGTCGTTTCGTCGACTCGTCCGCCGATCCTAACCCAACCCCGACCGGCACGCACGCAGAAGAGACCTAAACAATCGAGGAGAACAACGGGCGCAGGCCACAATGGAGTCGAGGGTCAGGCCGGACTCCGCCTCGGCCGAGTTCGAAGTGGTGCAGGAAACGCCGCGCTTCCAGAGGGTCTACTGGACGAGGGAGCCGCATCTTAGAAAGCTCTATGGGCTGGCCGTCATCTTGATGGTGGCCTCAGCGACCACCGGGTACGATGGCATGCTGGTAAACACGTCGCAACAGATCGACGCCTGGAACCACTTCTTCTTCCCCGAACTCAAGGACAATCCGGATCTCGTGGATCCCGTGCTCGATAGCAAGCTGGCCATCCTTGTCAACATGTTCAACATTGGTTCCATCGTCTCCTTCTTCATCACACCCTACGTCGCCGACCACTTCGGCCGTAGGACGGCCATCATCATTGGCTGTATCTTCATGATTGGAGGCGGGTTCTTGACTGCTTTTGCCAATGGCTACGGAAGTGAGTTGGCACCATGACTCGCTGTTTTTCGGTTCAACGGCCTAACCCCTTTTCCAGTGTTCATGGGTGGACGTTTCGTCCTCGGCTTTGGCAACTCGCTCGCGCAGATGGCCTCGCCTCTCTTGCTAACCGAGATCTGCCACCCGCAGCACCGCGGCCCTGTCACAGCCATCTACAACTGCTTGTGGAACGCCGGCGCGCTGCTCGTGTCATGCATCGCCTGGGGCACTGCCAACATCAAGAACGAGTGGTCGTGGAGGTCCATAACGCTGATCCAGGTCGTCCCGTCGCTCATCCAGCTCTGCGGCATCTGGTGGATTCCCGAGTCGCCCCGGTATCTGGTCAACAAGGAGCGCCACCAGGAGGCGCTGCACATTCTGACCAAGTGGCACGCCGGCGGCGACCCGCACAATGCGACGGTGCAATTTGAGTTCCGCGAGATCAGGGAGACGATCCGGATCCAGAAGGAGACGGAGCGATCTACCAGCTACCGCGACTTTCTGCGCACGCGCGGCAACCGCTGGCGCCTGGCCATCATTGTCTCGCTCGGCGTCATCTCGCAGTACAGCGGCAACGCCCTCTTCTCCAACTACATGAACGCCATCTACATTGGCGCCGGCATCACCAACCAGAACCAGAAACTGGCCATGTCGACGGGCAAGACCATCCTCGACCTCATCGTCACCATCGCCGCCGCCCTCAACGTCGACCGGTTCGGTCGCCGGCCACTGTTTCTCATCTCCATGGTGGGCATGGTCATGTCGTTTGTCTGCTGGACCATCACGGGCGCCATCTACGAGAACTCGGGCGAGCTCGATGTCCAGGCCGGCTACGCACAGCTCGTCTTTATCTGGATCTTTGGCATCTTTTACGACATTGGCTTTTCCGGGCTGCTGGTCGCCTATGCGCTCGAGATTCTCCCTTTCCACTTGCGTGCCAAGGGCATGATGATTATGAACATCACCGTCCAGGCCATGCTGGCCATCTCCAAGTACGTTTCCTGTCCCATTACCAGGAACCAGACGATCCTTTGGTGCCGCCTGCTGACAGCAATGCTCCTCCCAGTCAAACAAACAAGCTCGCGTGGGAGAACTTGCCAAACCACTGGAACTTCATGCTCTTCTACACGCTCTGGGATCTTTGCGAGCTGGTCTTTGTGTGGTTCTTTTACGTCGAGACCAAGGGTCCCACGCTCGAGGAGATTGCGCGCATCTTCGACGGCGACGGCGCTGTCGCTCACATTGACATGAACGAGGTGCAAAAGGATATTTACGCCATGGAAGACCGCGACCACGACATGCTGCCGGGCCGAGCACTATAATCCGCATTGCTGTTTTTTTCCCCTGTATATTTGGAGTCTGGCGCTGGGCTTGCTGAGCCGTGGAGCTATTTTCATGATACCTTTGATCTACTTCTGATACCATTGATCGTTAGTTATAGCGAACATGTTTATCCTTCGATATGTGTGACCTGGCTCTCGTTATTCAACCGTTTGGCTACCTGATACCTAACTAAGTGGCCCCTTCGCGTTCATCCTTCCCCATCCGCGACATCTGGCTCCGCCACACGGGACTCGACGCATCAACCACGGTACGCACCCACTCCTCCTCCCCCGTGGCCTCATTCTCGACACTGGCGTAGCCGGCGCCCATCAGCTCGGGCGGCATATTGACATAAATAGTCTCATACCCACCCGCCGGCGCGCAAAACGCCTCATGAAAGATGCCAATGTGCTTGTGCCCGCGCTTCTGGAGAACGGTCCGGTTGAACCAGCCCCACGTGTGCCGGTGGATGCCGTCGTGCGCGAAGCGGTTCAACCCGTCCACGTCGCGGAAGTAGTAGATGATTAGCAGGGTGTTGTTGCGGGCCGCCTCGTCGCCGTGCCACGTCGTCGCCCCGAGACAGCCGTACTCCCTCGCCCGCTTCAAGAGGTCCCCGTGGCAGGCCTGGAACTGGTCGGCAACCTCCTTGGCGCTTGGTGAGAGGGGTCCGAGGGGGTGGTTGAAGCGGATGCCGAGGTGGAAGACGACGACTCCCTTTGAGGCTGGCTTTGACCCGAATGGGGATGGTGATGACGACGATGATGCCCTTTCGGAGGAGGCGAGGGGGTCATAGCTGGTGGAGGGGAGCTGCGCTGAGGTCCGCCCGGGGATCACGCTCTGCTTTTGGAGAAGTGGTCTGTCGGGGAGGAGAGGTCCAGAGCGGTGAGAACCACTGCGCGCAGGAGCAGGAAGAGCAGCGGTAGCAGCGCATAGCGCGCAGGGAGGATGAGCGACAGCAGGCCCTGGCCAAGACCGCCGAGTAGCATCAGAGTTGGGAGGGTAAACGAGTCTTTTAAAAGACCCTGTCCGGGTTAGCTCCATGTCATCCAAGGCTCGAGACGACCTACACTGTATCCAGGGCCCGCAGCCCGATGCCGCTTTTGTGAGGGCGGGAAGACGGCTCTGAAGTTTGCAGACGACATGTCCAATGCTGTGTTGTCTCGACCGATACCCGAAGGGGTTATATCAGTAACAGCTCGTTTTCTCAGAGCCGAATGTGGGCGGCTATTGTTGGGAGTTGAAGCGAGGCTGGCTGTTCGTTTAAAGAGGGGAATTTCCAACGTTTGTGTCGCCCGGAGGCCAATCCCGCCAAGCAACCACACTGTTGGCGAATGCGAGTGCGATAATCCGTACAGTGTCGTCGTGTCAGCCTTTCGAACTTCTGGTAAAGCCACTTACTCATTCCTGGTTCCGGAGTTAGAGGTGCCAGCAGCATTAATTCCACATTTCAATGTGTCAGCACTCGACTCCAATCTCCTTCCCACGCTCGATACTTGAAACTTCCAGGTGTCTCGGAACGCCGGGACTCGAGAGACTTAAGTACTTGAGGGTGTGGGGCCCCCAAACACTTTGCAGTGACTTCTTCACCGTTCTCGTTTCCTAGGGGCCGCTGAGAGCCCGAATTGAGGCGATGCATCGACGGAAATAGAGGCCATTGCCAAGATAAGGTACCGTGACACATTGCCCTCAACTCATCATGACATATCCCACAGCCGTGCTGCTTTGTGCTTCCTCATTTTGTTTTGAATTGGAAGGTACTTTATTTTGCTGGAGACTTGACGATGAGGTACAGTACCTACTGAAGGACGGTGAAAACCACGGGCGCTGTACTTTGAAAGGCGTGAGCGTCCAGGTTCCGTTCCTATTGGCAAGGCACCAAATATGACTAGTGATTCTTAAGCCAACTGGCAACTCTTGTCTTTGAGTTAAATCCTGAGGTGGCAACTATCGCGAAGGTACTACCTTATTCACATCGAGCAAGATGCCTGGCAATGACATAACAAGCTCGAAGTCATCTTAAGAAACCAACCCGGAGGAAGATACACCAAATCCTCCAACCACCGATCCCTCCGCAAACTGTGCACCGCCTAGATTAATCACGCGGCTTGAGAGATGGAGGAGCTTCATCAACCAAACATGCCCGTCTGACCTCAAAACCAAGAATGGAAGTTGCCTCCAAGGGCTAACTAGGTAATTCGCAAACTGCCCCGCGAGCAACTCAGACGGAGGTACTGCTGAAGCAAACGTAAACTTAGGTTTCCAGAGCCACACCGCCGCACACGTGGCCACTCCGAAAGTTACACCACACCTCAAACCGCGGCGGTCGTTGTCTGTTGTCCATCTGTCGGCACCGTGGTTGCGCCTCCGGTGGTGGTGGTCAGCGGGCGGTCCTTCTCATGGTCGCCAGCAACCCGATTCCTCCGATGGGTTGCCCACATCAATGTCTCCAGGATGGTATTGGAGAGAAGAAACACGCTGATTGTTTTGTTCTGTTAGCATCCCGCCCCGTGACACGCACACACCGGGGACGAGGATTTTGCGTACAATCCAATGATGTAGAAGGCCTGCACCGTGTGCTTCCGGCCGCACCACAAGGGGAGGCACCGTCCGCCGCTCCAGTCCTGCGACGTGAAGATGAGCGACGTGAGCCACAGGTACGACAGCACCCAGTTCAGCGGCACCATGTAGCCGCGGTACGACTTGATGAACGGCAGAACCATGGCGATTAAGTAGAAGAAAAGCGTGATCACTCCCTAGAAAAAGCTGTTAATTAAGATACCTATGATGTGCCTTCGTGATGTTGTGCTCAAGTGACGTACAATGACAAGGTTGTAAATGTTGTGCCTGCCTCTGAGGCCACGGCGTACGAAATACGCCATAAGTGCCGTGATGATGACAGACGAGGCCAGAATAACAAAGTTGTTGAGCGTAAGAACGGCCCGGGCGATCCGCCCACTGAAGAAGCCGCCCCGTTTACCAGAATCCATTGCCGCGAAGTTATCAAGTCCACAGTGAGATCGGGAGGTTGAATTGCGTCTCGAGGGCTCAACCGTTCCAAAACCATGCGAGGATAGAGAATGGATGAGCCTATGGAAGACTCTGATTTCGGGTTATATCAACCGTTGTGGAAGCTGCCGTTGCTGATGGAGCTATGACGCCCGTCGGATCTCATTTCCCAAGGTCAAAGCGCTCACTGCCCAACGCCATTGGTACGTTTTCCCAGGCATGAGCTCAACTTGAGTCATAGAAGCCTTGGGTCTAAAGGGATGCGGAGAATGACGTTAAGGTCAAGCGTCCAGATCCTTGGATATGACGACAGCCTTGGGTACACCTACCTCAAAACTCCGTCCTTTCGGATTGTGCGGACTGTTTGAGGGGGCAGTTCTCGATAATGTGAGAAGGTGGCCATGGATTTTTCCTCCGGTCAGATCCGGCAGTCCACGAGACTCTTGAAGATTTGGTCTCTAGCTCCTCAATTATGCTTGGACAAGGCGTCGGGGCAAAACCTAAGAAATGGTTCAGCAACAAAGTTCCGGCGACCCCCAGCAGTCTCGGTCGGAAGGAGAAAGAACCGATCCTTCGGTAAAGAGCAGTCATAACAACGTACACCTAACGCTATCCTAGTTTTATGGATCCTAGCCCGTTACTTAGGGCCACAACTTTCCATATTTCGACCAGCCACTGATGCGATTATCTATCCAGGTTACTTTTCTAACGTGTACAATAAGCGAGTGTGCATGATAAGCGAGTGAGCAACAAGCAGCAGGACAGCTTTTTTACGGAGCAAAGTGCTGTGTCGTGGCCCACATATAACTCATAGGATCGCAGGGTCGGAGCGACTTGCGATTCGACACCCTTTTTCAGGGAGATGCGGCATAGCCGAGTGGGCTGGTTATCCACGTATCATTACACTGATGCACTGGAGGGCCGTACGATGGTTCGGTGCTAGAGTATGTACAACAAGCTTGGCTATAATGCCCGCACTTGCTAGGAGACTGGAAGTAGATGATGGCTGCAGAAGTATCTGATTCAGTTGTTTCTGTTAGTGTTATTATATTGCAATCCAGGACCAATATTTCCTCGACGACTGGGAGCCGGGATTCGATGTCGAGCAGAAGGTGACGCTGGCCGAAGTAGCGGAGGCGATAAGG